CACCGTATTGAACCGTGCATCTGTAGCGAGACCTACACTTGTGCCCATGTCCCATCGCCCTGACGTGCTGTATTCTCAGACGCCCCAGAGTTCAGGTCGAGGAAGCCAGTGCGGGAAGGAGACACGGACATGAGTGCCCATTTTAGATCTGCAGCCGATGCGCACAAGCTCTGTTGGATGGTCCTAGATCAGCGCCGCTTCGACGCAGCGGCGGGAAGACCAGGGCAGGATTACGCTACGGTAGAATCGCTTCCACAAGTTGCCCTCACGTCTCACATCAAACAACGATGATCCTTATCGCAATCAGCACAATAGAGCTTTCCATGAACAGACAAGGAAAGTTACACCCGTCGGATGCCATTTCGAGCGGTTCGTCGGCCCCGTATGTAAAACCCCTATACAGATGTCCAAGGCACGGTGCGCGGCTATGAGCGTGTTGCTCCTAGGTCGTTCCAAGCAAAGTCTTACCCCAGAAAAGGGGTCTTGGCTCTGACGACAGCCAAATTGCGAACACCTCTTCCGAAATCGATGTTGCGCTGACCAGGATCTATTTGTCCGAGTCGTATCATTTATCGGCAACCGCTCGGCTTGGTCAATGCCGCTCGCGTGCCGTTACGCAAGTGCCATGATTCAAAACACCACTTGACACGTGAATGGCTTGTGGCAATGAACACACAAACACTTTCTGTCGAGGGTACAGCATATTCATAGGGGCATGCCTGCTATAAACCACCTGATATCAATTCGACGATGTTACCTCGTCGTAACAACTAGACTCAGGCGCGCTCGTTTGGTCACACCTCCAAAACTCAAGACGTCCACTAACCGGTCACTACCGAAAACGCTTAGCATCTACTGGATGGGATATTCGCCATATCAATCAACCTGGTGAAGTCCGCCATCGATATGAAACATCGCTCGCGCTCCGCGGTGTTAGAGAGAGCTCACATCTTCGCGATCGACGGCTTTCGCACGACCATTCTTTTAGCAAAACGTTGAAGTTTCCATGAAGACAATGCATCCTTGTGAGTCGAGTGGTTCGACCTACTCCTACTACATGTCATCGACTATGGCAGAAAGTGAACAGGGTTCAAGAGCAGGCAGCGTATCCAATAGCCTGAAGGCATACTCAGAGCCTCGCCGTCGAATTCGAAATGTACCAACATTGTGCTGATCCAGGCTACGAATTGGACAAAAAGACCTCGTCTATCTTCCCGCAACCTGATAGCATGCAGATTTATGTGTTGACGAAGTGTCTTGCAGCAGTCCTGCTTTTTCTCTGACGACGCTGACATCAGCCACTTTTAAGTAAGGCCCCATTTCCCACCGTGCTTACAAAGAAGATTTGTTACTTGGGACCGAAGCGCATATCCAACTTCCTCCTACACACTCCATGACACAGTGTAAGAGCCTCATGTCGATAGAATTTTACAACTTGGATCCCGAGTGGGCCTTGTAAACATCCGGGTCAGCAAAACACTTGCAGCAGCCTCATCTAGTTGACAGGGCCGGTCAATGTACAAGCTACATACAGCTGCTTTTGCCCGTGGTAGCTCGAAAGCGGACGGAGGAATGGTCTGAGTGAGGCTGTATCTTGATTATAGGACGAAATTCACTATTCGATGAGTGATCACAAAACAACCTAAGAATATCCGTCAGCCACGCAGGTCCGCTGCCTCGTCTACAGTCTAAATATCCAGCAGCCTCAACTTTGTCTAGCACCTCTCTCCAAGTCGGAAAAAAAGCTAGCTGCATAAAGTTTAACTCTTCAGCTAGCATGTCGATGTGCTTTCTCGGTCGTTTGAAGTAATAAGGCTGGCGTATCGAGACTTTACCGCCACTGAGTAACGATTAATTCGTGATTGATACATATGGCCTGCCAAGTCTCACCTGCATCAGTGCTGCGCACAAAGTCCCGGTGATTGTTAGTAAGATTCAAAAAGGCATCAAAGCTGCGCCACTGTCAGAAAGAATTAGAGATCCGCAGGTCTGCCTTGAGGAACTGGTGCATTAGAGTATACGGAGATAGAAGTTGATAAAGGCCCTTGGGGTCTGCCATTTCGCTACGATGGTCTTTTATAAACACGTTTGCATCATGACGACTATCTTATTCACCTTGGTTGTAATTACACTATTCATCGCGTGTCAAGCCCAGTCGTTTCTACAGTGTCTTCTGCCGAATTCCATGACACTCCTCTTCACCAGACAATGGTATGCATTCCCTCGTACTCACACAAAAGCTTGAGCAGTCTTACATTTCAACAGGCACAATTCAGCTCGTCCGTGGTCATCGTCTCTGCTCCGCCTGGTATCTGCCCCGGTCCATTCAGCTGCCAGGATCCACAGGAGAAACATGACGACTGGGACATATGCCGGCATGTGTATAGGCTCCGGCGTCTTCATAGTCATATGCTTCGCCAGTCTAGTGATACTTGCCTGGAAAAAGGGATGGTGGCCGTTCAAGAAACGATTCAATGGCAATACCTCGAACGATGAAAAAGACATGTACGAAAAGGGGGAATTACACGGTGAAGCAATCCCTCGGTTCGAAACGATGGGGAAAGAACGCATGGAACTTGAAGCCAAGGAACATATGCCTGAGATGGATGCTGCGGATTGCGGTTTATGAGGTTGCAGGTCTGGATCTTTTACATGAACTAGATGCGCAGAGTTCGCCGCGAGAAAATAGCTGAGAATGGTGTCTCTTAAGCTCTTTTGGAAAGAAGGCTTGTCCTCTGAAGATGTACACGCAATTTGAACTATTCCACGTTGAGAACGCGATAGCGTAGCTGCGTTCAATACTCATGCGAGGTCATACTTGCAAACAAACATTTATTAATGAAGCAACAAGCGTACTGGATTCAGTTGTGTATCTAACTTTTCCCTCCCATAATGCGATATCAACTCAGCCGCATGCAAACATTCTACCTGAAAGAAAAAAGAGTTCAAGTAATAGTACACAGAGGAGTGTGAATCGATAACACATTCCCTCCATGCATGCAAGCCTCCACAATGCGCCGAACCCATAGGAACCAATATGTGTAGTGTGATGGGTATAAATAAACTCAATGTAAGCCCGCCCACTTTGACCAGATCTGTCAGACCAAAGTTGAAAATCTCACCAAGCGCTTTGGTAAGATAGTCTTCGCCGATTCAGATTCCAACTCAACGATGTTGCGTGATGCCATGCTGTGTGATACCCGAATACCCTTCGTCTGTCGCTGGGAGATAACCTGGTCTTCTTGGCGCCTGGGCGCTGGTATACTGTGTCTCGGTCTCCGGTTCCGGCGTCTCTTGGCTCAGCTTGAGAATTTGCTGCATGACTGAGATGTCCTCAATGATTGTGTTGAATGCATCTTGCACCTTGTGCAGAACCACGTTACGGTTGTAGTCGGTGCGGTTCTTCCAGATGGCGTCCATGAGCGCGGCGTTGATCTGCTCGAGCTGTTCGAGTGAGCAACCTGAAGTTGCGGTGACGAGGGACTGGTGGAAGGCGACGAGTTGAGCTTCGTCAAGAAGGAGCTGTGGCTTGGGTTCGTCGTCGTTTAGTATAGCACCTAGGTTAGAGGTGTGACGGGGTGGGGCCATAGCGTTTTGCGGTTGGGATGATTGAGACGGGTCCGAGTTGGACGGCTGGCTGCTGACATAGTGCACTTCTGTGGCGGGGCCATGGTCAGTCGTTTGTTCAAACTTAGACGGTAGGCGAGGGGGAAGACCAAGTTGGTGTATAAGGAAATTTGACGAACCTTGGGTATCGGGAAGCTGTGACCCGCCCACCTGTGGCACGAACTCTTGGAGGTCTGGAAAGCCTGCCACAAGAGCGCCGTTACTGCTTTGGGTGTTTGACTTGACATCGGAAGATCGATTTGACGTCTTTTGACCAGACGTTGTCGTTGAGGCGCTGTTGTGGTAATCGTTAGGGTGGGAGTTTGGCATCATAAACGTTCGTCCCGATGCTTGCGATTTCTGCGTCTGAGTCGCCTGTGTGTCAATTCTGTTTGGAGTCTGGAATTGGAAGTCATTCTGCGTGTCGGCGTTCAGGTCTTGACTGTCCGGCATATGGGTATCGTCATCATGCCCTGAAGGTGCTGTCGAGCCGTTCTGATGACCATGTGAGGCCTCTTCTCCACTCGTACCATTCGATAGCGCGTTGTGTGATGGCCGCAGTGGTGTGACTGGCGGAACGGCTGTATGGCCTGGAACGGGTTCACCCAGTATGATCGGCCCTGAAGTCTCTGTCGTACCAAGAGAATTCTCCGGAGGCACTCTCGCGATTTCCTCTCCATCCTTGCCCTCGGCACGCGCCTTCTGCAGCTTCTCCTTCGCTTTGCGCTCCCTCTCCAGTTCTCGTTCGTAGACTGCCTCGCACTCCTGTAGAAGAGTGGGGTTCTGAACACCGAAGAAGTTGTCAATATCAACCTCTACATTCGTGACCATCTCATTACCCTTGAGCGTTCGCTCAGCATCGCCAAATGTTCTGGCATCCTTAACCAAAGTCTTTATGTCAAACAAAAAATCTTTGGGTCGCTTGTAGTAGCCATTTGAGAGGCGCTTCTCGATGTTGCCGAGATCGAGGTTGTAGTACTTGTTGCCGCTCTCGACGTGAAGCAATACATCAACCCCTCTGGAGTCTTTTGAGAACTCCCAAGGACGAACAACACCCTGTTCTTGTTGCTGCTCAGGGGCCAGATCGGTACCGAAGTGCTCTGGATCCTGTTCCTCGAGGAGATATGCGTACCAGCTCTCTTCCAAGATGGGCTTGTAAAATTTCCTGTAGCTCTTCTTCAACTGATCCATGATCGGTTGAATCAACATCTTGACCTTGTTCAAAGTCATTCTGTCCGCCTTCTTTTGTGCTTTTTCGCGTGCGGCCAATTCCTTGGGGTCAATGACTGGAGCAGTGATAGGTGCAGGCTCCAACACAGGTAGGATACGCTTCTTCCTGTTGTCCGGATCGGGGAAGTCGGCAGGCGACATCCGAATGTATTGACTCACATTGTTGAAGAATTCGGACCTGCCCTCGCGCTCTGGGCGCTGAAGCTGATACTCGTTGTTTTGTGAAAAGCCGAATAAGTCCATCATCATTTGCTTGTCAGGTCGCTCGTGCTCGTCGAAGAGTTCCATTATACCGAGTAGCATGATCGGCTCATTTGCACCTACGCTTCGCAGAAGAAGTTTGAATGTTTTGATGGCAGTAGGAGGAAGGGTCTGATACCAGACGTCGACAGATGGTATGTATATGACGGCTGGCTTGTGGCGTCGTACTTCTGTAAAGAGCTGGGTGATGGCAGCCTCAGGGGTACGCGTGGGATCCTCAAGGATAGTCGGCAGGTCGAAGGACTGCACATGTAGACCTTCGACCTTGTTCAGTAGGGCGGCACCCAGGTATTGCTGACCCATGCCTACCAGACCGCTGATAAGTAGACGTGGCCGGAAGATTCGACTGCTCTCAAAGTTTCGCATTGTTGCTTCACGCTCAAATCCTTTCTCGTCCTCGCGATCATCGTACTCCGCTTCTTCAAGCGCAGTAAGCTTCTTCCTCCTTGGAAGCAGCTCATCGATACGTTGTATAATCTGCACCAATGGCTTTCGAAGTAATGGCTCCAAGTCCTTGGCAAGTGGTGCGGCGCTCGCAGTAGCAGTGCGCTGTGAGGATGGCACCATCTTGTTCACCGATATCATGAAATCCTTCGCGAGGACTTTGATGTTGGCGGGATCAATCAGGAGCTTTCGCTCTGAGGTGTAGATCTGTGGGAATGTACCCTGCACCGCGTTCAACGCAGCTTCTGTGCATAGAGCTCGAAGATCCGCACCACCATAGCCCTTAGTCAATTCTGCGAGAGAGTCCTTCATTGCGGGCTGCAGTGGCGGCTCCCAATTCTTTGTGTGGATGTCGAGAATCGCCCGCCGTCCTTCTACACTTGGCAATGGAAAGTAGAACTCGCGATCAAAGCGGCCTGGACGTCGAAGAGCGGGATCCACAGAATCAGGTCTGTTGGTCGCGCCAATAACAATGACTTGTCCACGTCCATCCATACCGTCCATCAGAGCTAGCAGTGTTGCTACAATAGAAGCATGAATTTGTTCTTGCTTACTCGACCGAACCGGAGCTAGACCGTCGATTTCATCGAAAAAGATGATGCTTGGGTTGTGTCTTTCGTGCCTCTTCGAAAAGAAGACGAAGCTGACGCTCAGCTTCTCCGACCCATTTGCTCAGCGCATCAGCACCCTTTCGCATGTAGAACGTAACCTTTTGTCCGTGGTTGCTGACACTGGATGCTAATGCTCGAGCAAGTAATGTTTTACCGGTACCTGGAGGTCCATGGAACAAAACTCCTCGAGGCGGGGTGATCTTGAATCGAGTGAACACTTCCGGGTACAGCAGTGGGAGCATGACCATCTCCTTGAGCTTGTTGATATGGTCATCCAGGCCACCAACACCGTCGAAATTGACGTTAGGATCAACTCCCAAGGGATCGGAGTCCGCGAGCGCTTTCTTGTCCTTGACTTTTCCAAGGTTGGCAGGACCTCCACCTGAGTTTTGTTGAGGGTCCGCATTGTGTGTTTGAGGAAATCCGAAACCAGGCGCGGTTGCTGTTGTTGGAGTCATTCCAATCATTCCACCAAAGGGCTTCGGCATCTTTTGGTTCTCGTCCTCGCTGCTGTCAGAGTCCCCACCGCCAGCACCAAGACCTGCTTCCACGCCGCCACCGAAGGGCCCTTGATTGCTGAAGAGACTGCGATAGCCCGAGCGGCCACCTTTCGGTCGTGATCTTCCAGCAGCCGGAGCCGCTGCGTCGTCGTCATCGAAGACAGCATTGAGCTCTGGGCGAACCACACGGTAATCTACATTTGTGCGATTCCTGCGGGCTGGCGCAGTGTCGTAGGCGAGATCCTTGTCTGGAACACGTCTATTAAAGCGTCGTCGCTTGTTCGGATTGAGCTCTTCAAGTTCATCCGCAACCTCGTCTGAATCAACGCCAGAGTGCTCATCAGAAGACGAGGCTCGGCGACTTCTTTGAGACTGTCGTGTTCTGCCTTGACGAGTGGACCTGCGCCCTGAGCCCGAGGCGCTCTCTGAAGGTGAACGCTTGCGCTTGCCGTGATCGGATTCTGACATGCCCTCCTCATCTTCTTTCTCTTCTTCCGGTGCCGGTTCAAAATCGCTACTTTCGTCCACGCCCTTCTTTTGTTTGGCTGATCGCGCACGAGTGGCCTATCATTGTCAGTTATCAACTCAGATACTGTCATCTCCCACCACTTACCCTCATAGTGCGGCCGCCACGGGTCACGGGTCCCTCCTCCTCATCTGAGTCCTCAGGAGCGCCCTCATGCTGCGACTCCTGTATGACACCCATGCCTTCGTCTTCATCTTCCTCGTCAGCCTTATGACCCTGAGCATCCTGTATCGGCGAGCTGTCTTTGCTGGCCTGGACCTGGGTCTCGGCTTCGTGCAAAAGGTCGTCCAAGGGACCGGCAGAGTCATCTGCATCTTCCTCTTGAAGCATGGATGTCTCTTGAGATGCCTCCATGATGGCGCTGGGGTGTTGTATTCTCGGACCTTTGGCTCCTCGGGTTGCGCGTGATATTGCTGGGTCTGGGCTTCGAGTACCCTCGCGAACGATGTTAACATGTTTGCCAGAGTCGGAGAGCGCAACTATGGGCGCCTCGACGTCGTGAGATAGGCGACTACTACGTCGCGTACCTGCCACCTCAGGAGTCTTCCCACGCGCGATAGACTTGCTGCCAGTGCGAGTGCGCAAGTTGCGACCAGAGGCATAGTCTGGCATTTTGAGTTTGACGATCAGCGAAGGCTTCTCGTTCTCTTCAATAGAGGGCTTTGCGCGCCGTCGCGAGGTAGAAATAGGCTTGTCGTCGTCGCCTTCTGATGGAGTATCCTCGATCTCGTCTTCCTCGCTCTCCTCGTACTTGATCTGCTTCTTTGTGGCGCGTCGCACGCTGCGGCCGGTCGCAGGGTTGATCTCGGGTTCTTCGGACTCGGAACGGTCAGTGAATGAGTCGTCGGACACTATTTCATCGTCGTCATCGACGTCAGAGCCGCCGTATACGCGTCGCTGGCGCTTCGATCCTTTCTTCTTGGCCCCAGGTGTGCTTGGGTTGCGACGGCGCTGTGGTGCCGGCCTCTCGGTTGCGTCGTAATCGTAGTCGTCCGGGTCCGACGCGTTGGGGTCGATATCGAACTTGCGCTTTATGCGGCTCGACATGAGGGGTCGTTGCGGTGAAGCGATGTGCGGGTCTAAAAGGCAGCAGTGAGTGAACGGTCCGCGACCCACCCAAGTGAGAGCACACTTACACCGCGATTATGGAGAATTTCAGTATCAAAATGACATCAGCAGCAAATGCGATGTTCTTTGCATGAGAATGTGCGGCAGCGATGAAGAGCGCGATGCAGACTGTTGGTTGCCCGGGTGTTGTTGTGAATCAGCGCGCAACGCCAGATACGTGATGCAGAACTGGTTCTCGTCTGAATATTAATGCAAGCGACCGCGAAAGATGGCAGATGCTTGATGATTGCCGCAAATGATTGACGAAGCCAAAATAGGCAGATGAAGTCGAGGGTCGGCGATGGGGATGGTGTTGAAGCTGCGCGCGAAACACTTGGCACGGACCAATAAAAACGCCACATGCTGGCATTTCGGTCCACGCTCTCAGGGCAGGCGCGCGATGTCTTCCATTCATCACGACAACGACATTCACAATATTCCAACCTATTCTTACATTTTCCGCTCAATCGAAGCCCAAAACAGCTGGAGATCAGCTTCGGGAATGATTTCGGCACGTTTTCGGGAGTCTTTCGATATTGTTCATGGACTTATTTCACTTCTAATTTCTTGTCTTGATCGCTCTTGCTGCTTGAAACTAAAGAGCTAAGCTTTTGAGCCGCATCGGTACCTTGCAGATGGCTCGTTGCTGGCATGGTCAAATGTGGGGAAGCCTCGTGCAGCGGATCCATCTCCCGCCACGACCCTTGAAATACAACGATCGGCGCGGCCAGCCTTCCTTACCAAGTGGAAACGTTTGCGTTCTAGTATCACGATAAATGTAATTTATGCAAAAGATAGTTCAATACACATAATAATACCCCCATCAGCCAGGCGTTTATCGCCTTGTCGCGCTGCAGGATAACGCATATCATCTCTCCTGAAATGACGAGTGTTTCTGCAGCTTCAACGTCGGCAATGTTGGCAGATACAATTTATCAATTCGTGGTTGTCGTGATGGTGGTGACTAAGCAGTGTGGTGTTGCATTTCACAAGGGGCCATTAGTTGGGATGCGCATAATGTTACGAACTCATCACTACGCATTGGCAATAGAGCAGGGTCTGGTCGTATGACCCGGTCCAATAGTACAGTTCTTCTGCGAAAGCAGTACAGAAGCTTTTATCCTTTTTGTTGCATGGTTGTAGCTCGGAAGCTTTGCACTTGCAGTTGCGGGTCTTTTTCCCGCCACATGTTGGGCGTCAGAGCCCCTCGTGTGGTAATTCCTGCTTTGGCCAGTTTGAGCATTAATTGACCAACACAAGGCTCACCAACTTGCGAGCGTTGTTCCTAGCTTCTCCATTGATGCATTTGTACGTTTGATATGCGCTGGAAGGTCTACCAAGGTACGTCTTACAGCCTCTTTGAAAGCTATTACTGCCCAGGTAGGTCCAAGCAAAATGTGTGTATAATAAGAGAAACGTATCTATACACAAGCATTATGTACAAAGAATCTCCGTGCTATTTGACATTAATCGTACATCACATCACATCTGACCTGATCATCGGCACCTTTGTTCGTGCGGGTAGACGTTGGAGAGGGCCAGGAGCATAAGCTCACATCGTACTCGCAGGCGGCCACCTACTCTTCTGGTATCAAGCGATCGATCGCTAAAAGACGTCAGCTGTGTATATGAATATCAGGTGTCGAGGGTGCAACATACCTTTGCCATCTTCGAGCAGCCATCCGGAGCAGTCGATCTTCCACTTCTCTCCCTGTACCTCGACCTTTGCAATACCGAATCGCAGCACAGCGAACTTGAACGAGAGGAAGAAGTTTGTCCACTTCTGATGCACCCATCGCGCCGAATATTCCCACGAACGTGTGATAATGGACTCATGCTCCAGGCCTTGGAACACACTTTGCTTCCGCGCTCTCTCCGCTTCCATCAATTCTTCCACCATTGGGTTCGTCTTCTCACTGATCGTTGGCCCTCCCAGGTTTGCAAATACCACCCTCTCCTTGGTCCACGGTGCCGATCTGACTGTCATGCGCAATTGCATCGGCCCTCCGTGAATGCTCGGTAAGACCTCGAGGGCGCGCATCCGGTTCACAGGGGCTGTACAAATATGAGGAGCCGATGATGATGAAGCCGATCCCAACTACAACGTAGGTGGGCCGAATGAAGAATGCCAGGTCTTTCAAGTCTTTAACGTCATCTTGGAACTTGATTGAGTATGCGCCCGTGCCTATCCACAATGCGGCAGTTCCATAGACCTTCAGATAGTACCATCTGTTCTTCGGTGCTCGGTAGATTGTCACCGGCTGCCGGGTCTGGGCAACTTGTCGCAGGACTGGATCGTTGTTCACGAAGACGCTGGGTTTCTGAGCGAGTTGGCTCTTGTACTGGTATTCATATCGGCGTAGGAATGACGAGCCAAAGTTTCGTGAGTTTCGTATCGTATTTGGCTGGAAGAACTGCTCGCGGCCTCCAAAGACGGCGGCGCGCAATGACGATGGCAATCGGAAAGACTGTTGGCGTAGGAAGCCTGCGAAGCCCCGGGAGACTGGAGACATTCTAATCTGTACTTAGTATTGAGTTCATAGGTAGGAGATAGGCTCTCGAAGCACGTACATGAAAGAAGCAACTATGCAGCAGCAATCGGCTTTCCGATGATGGTGGAGTGCTCCGCTCGAAAAGTTGAGATGGCCAAAGCTCAGGGTCCTGGGAAGCTTAGTGCTCAACATTTCAAGACCCTCCGATCTGCTCTCTATCGTGCACGCCAGGAAGCGCGACCACTTCTTCCAGCCAAACGGTCCTTATGGCTTCCTTAGCTTCGGTCTGCAGGGTATCTGCGCGCGCTGCGACGCAGCAAGCCCGCAATCATGGCGCACGAAGAGGTGAGTAACAACCAGCGCCGGACTCACAAAACGCCTACTAACAGCGATATAGCATTCCATCCCGCGCGGGCCTCGCTCGCTGCAGCAAACCTGAATATGCCCGCACTATCTCCGACGATGACCGAGGGCAATATCGCGACCTGGAAGATCAAGGAAGGTACGACTTGCACCCATACTTCACTTTGGCAGGCCACGAGCGAAAGAAGAGCATGCGGGGATAATACGGCATTCAATTGCACAGGCGCTGATATGAACAGGCGACTCATTCGCAGCTGGCGACGTGCTCCTCGAAATCGAGACAGACAAGGCGCAGATGGATGTCGAGGCTCAAGATGACGGAATTCTGGCAAAGATAATAGTACGTGGCAGCACAGAGGCCTGTATAGTCATGACTGACAGAGGCTACAGCAAGGAGATGGATCGAAAGCGGTCCAAGTCGGCAGCCGGATAGCGGTCACGGCTGAGCCTGGCGACGATGTGAGCACCCTAGAGCTCCCAGCTGAGGACAGCTCAGCGCCGAAGAAGGCCGAAGCTCCTAAGGAAGAACCAAAGGAGTCGAAATCGGTGCCCAAGGAAGAGCGAACTTCCAAGCCGGCAGCAACGTCGGACACATCCAAGTCCACCTCCAGCGGCAAAGCCAAGAAGCAAACGTACCCACTGTACCCCTCGGTGCAGCATCTTTTGAAGATCAACGGTCTGCCAAAGGAGGAGGCAGACAAGATTCCAGCCACAGGACCCAACGGCAGATTGCTGAAGGGCGACGTACTGGCTTATGTTGGCCAGATCCAGAACTCATACCCCTCGGAATCAGCTGAGCGCTTCAAGACACTGTCTCACCTTGACCTCTCCAACATCAAGGTGATGCAAAAGAAGGAAGCTCCTGCCAAGAAGCCTGTAGCTGACGATGCTCTCCCTGTCGAAGAGCCCGATGTTGAGGTAGCCCTACCAATCTCTTTCAAGGCCGTGATGGACTGCCAGAAGCGTGTGAAAGACTCGATTGGCGTTTTCTTACCGCTCTCGACCTTCATCGCTCGCGCTACAGAGCTTGCGAACGAGGAGCTGCCAAAGTCAAAGACCGCAAAGCCCTCAGCTGATGAGCTGTTTAACGCCGTACTCGGTCTCGACAAGGTTGGAAAGCAGTATTCGCGCGGCCACTTCGTTCCTCAGGTCACTGCCCTTCCACCTACAACCATTTCAACAACACGTGCACCGGGCTTGAGAAAGCCAGATGTATTCGATGTTCTCACTGCAAAGAAGTCCTCCACACGCGCTACCAAAGCACGTGCAGTCGGCGGAGCGGAGGGCGTTGTTGGACCCCTGAATGTGTTTAGCATCAGCGTACCCAAAGGTGACGAGAAGAGAGGACGCATCTTCTTGGAGCGCGTCAAGAGCGTCTTGGAAATTGAGCCTGGAAGGCTCGTTGTTTGAAGCATCTAGATATTCTTTACATAGCGTCTGTACATTATTGTATCTTGGCCCATCTGACATGACGCGATCACAGACATTTGCTCGGACCAACTCCGATTTGCAGTTGTACGTTTTTACTGCATAAGGCAATCGCTTCCGCTTCCCCAGACTCCAGAGCCAGCGCTACTTTGGTCGTCCGAGTGCACCCGATGTCGCAAGACGAGCGTGGAGTCGTCGAGCAGAAGACGGATGTCAATCTCTGTTCCCTTGTAGTACCCGTCGTGAGTCAAATTACACTAAATATGACGTCAAGCTGTTGCTGCATCTGCTCGCTGAAGTGCGACAGTCCAAACCATGGGAACAAGATGCGCGTTCCTGGACGAGCGGCGACGCTAGAGCTTTACGTAAAGTTTCTTTGGTCCGTGGTCGCATGTCACAGCCTCAGGGTGCGCACGACAGTGTCGCATCCATGCAGCAATCGATCACCCCAGATCAGGCTCGGGACACGCATGGGAGGCTCAATCGAAATCCCAGCTTGGTAATCTAGCCAGGGCTGCAGTTAATCCGGCGGTGAGATTTGTTGTGTGACACCAGGAATAAGAAAATATACTGCGAGAATTATCGCAATCAGCTGTGGACCTTGCAATCGACAGTCATGTCAGATCTGTTGCCTTTGACTGTATGACCTGACATCTGCCACCGGCTTGCATTTGTTTCCGTGCCTTCCCCACGTCTCCTCCGAATCCCCGCCGTCACTAAATTTTGTTTACCGTTAGCTCCGAAGCTCGCAACGCCCGAGCTCCCTGGACAATCTGCTCGCTGGTGGACTCACCAGCTCACAAAATCCCATTCGTGTCATCTCCCCTCCCTAGAACAATCATCTAAGAGGCCTCACGTCCAATTGGCATCCTGTCATTCCGGACCGTCTGCTAATCCCTCATCATGGCATCGGTGACGGAGCAAGTTGGCGAGGTGCTGCTGGGGACTACCGAGGAGCCCCAGCTGTCGCAGCTTACTCGCGCAGCATTCATGAAGCACGCCCAGAAGGACGAGGCAACGGGCGAATACTTCCTGACCGAGGATCAGTTCATTGATGCGGTCGCGCCGGAGAGCGAAGACTACGTAAGCCATCTATCTGTCTGCAATGTGTCGATTTGAAGCTCATGGTGCGCCCCTCCACAGCATAAAATCAAGCGCTACCAGTACGGCATCCTGTTTGCTGTAGCCGACCGCGACCGCAAGGGCCGAGTCACCATCCATGACTGGTCCGTCTTCCAGAACCTCCTCGCGAAACCCGACGCCGAGTACGAGGTCGTCTTCCGCTTCTTTGACAAGAAGCGCACCGGCTACATCAACTTCGACGAGTTCTACGAGACATGGAAGGCGCACAAGACCGAGGGCAGCTTGCCCTTCAACTGGGAGGGCGAGTGGGCTGCGCTCTACATCGGCTCCAAGAAGCACAGGCATGCCATGACGTATCCTCAGTTCGCCCAGATGCTCCGCGGGCTACAGGGTGAGAGAGTGCGACAGGGCTTCACGCACTTCGACAGCGACAAGGACGGTTTCATCGAGCCTGAAGACTTCCAGCGCATCATACGCGAAACAGCAAGTCACAAACTCTCCGACTATCTTCTTGAAAACCTGCCTACCCTATGCAACATCTCCGTTGGCAGCAAGATTTCCTATGCCAACGTTCGCGCTTTCCAGAACATGATCCAGCAGATGGACATGGTCGAGCTCATTGTGCGGAATGCCACGCTGAAGAGCGGCGATGGCAAGATTACTCGCACAGACTTCCTCAACGAGGCCGCAAGATTGAGCCGGTTCAATCTATACACCCCTATGGAGGCAGACATCCTGTTTCATTTCGCCGGCCTGGACGAGGCTTCTGGGAGACTTAGTCTGCGAGACTTTGCTCGCGTGCTGGACCCCTCGTGGCACTCAGCAGCATCTCTCGGCGCTGAGGCAGTATCTGAGGCTGGGCAAAAGGTGTTCGCAAAGTCAAAATCAATCTGGCACGATGTCCTCGAGTCTGTTCACCACTTTGCGCTGGGTTCTTTGGCCGGTGCCTTCGGTGCGTTCATGGTGTACCCCATCGATCTGGTGAAGACGCGAATGCAGAACCAGAGAAGCTCAGGCGCAGGCCACGTGCTTTACAAGAACTCGCTTGACTGCGCAAAGAAGGTCATCAAGAATGAAGGTTTCACGGGACTGTACTCTGGAGTGCTTCCTCAGCTTGTTGGTGTAGCCCCAGAAAAGGCCATCAAACTTACAGTGAATGACCTCGTTCGTGGCAAAATGACGGACAAGTCAACTGGTCAGATCAGACTACCGCATGAGATTCTCGCTGGTGGCACCGCTGGTGCATGTCAAGTTGTCTTCACGAACCCGCTCGAAATTGTCAAGATTCGCCTCCAGATCCAGGGCGAGATTGCAAAGAATGTGGAAGGCGCCCCCAGGCGATCTGCGATGTGGATTGTCAAGAATCTGGGTCTTGTGGGTCTCTACAAGGGAGCGAGTGCCTGCTTGCTCCGTGATGGTAAGTCTCAACGTACTCATAAGTGTGACATATTGCTCACGTCAGGTAGTCCCCTTCTCTGCCATTTACTTTCCCTCGTACAGCCATTTGAAGAAAGACTTCTTTGGCGAAAGCCCGCAGAAGTCACTGGGTGTGGTCCAGATGTTGACGGCCGGTGCTATTGCCGGCATGCCTGCCGCGTATCTCACCACGCCATGCGATGTCATCAAGACCCGGTTACAAGTAGAGGCGCGCAAGGGCGAGGTCTCATACAACGGCCTCCGGCATGCTGCGCAGACCATCTATCGGCAGGAAGGGTTCAAGGCCTTCTTCAAGGGTGGGCCAGCTCGTATCATGCGTTCATCGCCGCAATTCGGTTTCACTCTAGCTGGTTACGAGGTGCTGCAGCGAGGTATGTCCCCTTTCGACTCATGATCTGACAGCATACTAATACGTCTAATTAGCTCTGCCGATGCCCGGCTCCGCTTCATCTGAATCGAGCCTTGAGCCGACCGTAGGTTTCTCCGAGGCGACAGCACCCCTGCCCTACCTCCGCAGCCGAAATGCTCTCAAGGTTATTCTCGACCTGGATGAGAACTTCGGGCGTCCGAAAATGCCAGCCAAGTGGACGGGTATCCCAGGATTCTCTGGCAAGCCGAATGCGTGATCGCGCGCTGCACGGTGAGGGCAAAATGGGATTGGACGACTTTTCGTGGTAGATGTCGTTTCTGGCTGAGACATTGCTTTATCAGCCAATGAATTTGCTTTTTGGCGTTTTCCTCTTCGCTAGCTGAGCCGCAGCATGGGGGTTGGCGGGCGTGCCGTAAGGGTTCTGAACAACTTCAGTACATTTTTATAGCGTAGATGCAGCATTTCTTGAGCAGCATAGACGGCCGTAGGCACATCACAAGAGTGTATGATAGGCCAGGCATTGCAAGCGACGGCAAAAATAGTTGCGGCAGAGTTGCAGAGAGAGGGGAAATAGGCATGGCATGCAGTTGCACATGCGAGTGTAGTCAACAATCGCCCGATACGCACACATAATAGGACACTTCACGGCGTCTCGCGCCTGTCACTGGACGACCAATATATTCTCCACGTCGCTAGCCAGACGCACGCGTGCTGCAAGTCGCCTGTGACGCCCCCGTCCAACGGCCCACGCCGCACTGTGCATCGGTGAGCGACTGCTGCAGCACGAACATCAGCAACGGGGCAGGTCAGCAGCGGGCGAAGTGATTGTCGCTGGCGTTTGGGCCAGAATGCGAGCGTCCCAGGATTAGGCAGTCCTAGCAGTTCTGGGTCCGTCTCAAGCTGCTTCGGACGAGACTCCACCGATTCCCCATGGGAGAGCAGAAAGCGGGGAATGTCCGTGCTCGCGCCCTGCTTGAGCCGCACGTATCGCTCGTGGTTGGAGGCTGGAGGCTGTAAGGTAAGCCTGGCTCCCGCTGCGCCTCCAAGAGGAAGGCCGCGGTCAGGACGAGCTGTCGGACAGATTCGCATGCTGCCATCCTCTCTGCTACCTGCTCTGAAAGCTGAGGCTATACCGACGCTGTTCCCAACCACGCACCACGTGCTCGCCCGCCGTTGTCGTCAGGGCTCCCACCGAGCGCCGTATTGCCGTCCGAGATCCGCCCAGGGCCACGGCCTATTATTCAAGAACCCCCCGCATCAGCCTCCTCTGCAGCGCCAGCGCTGCTGGCCTTGAGTCCTCCAAACGTCCCTCTCACTGCTGTGAGGCTTGTCGAGCCTCACTGACAGTCGACATCACCCATGCGCATTGTGACCGGCCCAGCATTCTACCCGCGCCTTGGTTGACTGTATGCTCGCGATCGGCACCCTCAAACACCGCCTTGAGGCTGAAAAGTAGTCGTCGCACTGGCACCCCTCGGGTATGTTTTTCACCGGCAGAGCCGCAGACCCTCGCGCGTCGCTCCCAAGCGCTGTCTCCAATTTTAATCATGCTTTTGATTTCATTCTCCACTGTCAACTGTTCTCGCATACCAGAAAAACGATTTCCTTATCTTGCGCATCTTCTCTGCAGCTGTGTCTGGCTCGCAACTCGCACCGCCTGCAGCCTTGTCGTCCTCGTAGCTGCGTCCTCAAATTGTTCTCCACATAGCCTATATGTCAACCTGTCGCTCACTGCACATTGCACTTACATTCGACAACAATACTGCCAGCACGACGAATGCATTCTCATGCAATGCTGACCTTGCTTCAGACAGCCGTTGCTTTCGTCCACCGTGACACTCGCTCTCTCCGCTACCTTGCCTTGACCTGCGGGGTATACGAGAAGCCTCGTTGCGATAGAATACTACCCTTGCAGTTACTCGCGCTCCTGGCTTCCGGCTGTCAGTCTCCATGACTGACGAATTGTACTCGGAAGAAGATTTCTGTCCAGGAAGTCCCGGTCTCATACAAGTCTATCCAAAAGCGGCCCCTTCACCGTCGCCAGAGCCTGTGGTCACCAAAGTCCTCCATCCGCCAGTTAGTTCTCCTTCCAGACGACAGAAGAAGGCTAATCGACGCAAGACGCGGCCGACGCAGGGCGACTGGGTTTTGATCCGGGAAATGGCACCGAATCAGCCCGACATTGCCCAACAAGTCAGTCAGCACGCTCTTAATTCTGACACGGAATCGTCTGGTCAAGAAGACGAAGGCATGGAAGATCAATCTCCGAACACGACCGCGCCTTCTTCGGCTACTCATGTCAGTCCGGTACCACGATCGGGTACGCAGCCTTTCAGCATGCTGCAGCCGGCCAAAGGCACATTCGCTGCGCCTGGCCAACCGACTGCAACTTCTACCCATAGAGACTCGGTGCTAGAAGAAGACATTAAGAAAAGTCCTTTCTTGTCAGACAGGCGTACTTCAGAGATATCTCATGCGGGCTCACTACCGAATGGTATGCGGCATATCTCTAGTGACGGAAAGTCTATGACTGGAGTCGCCTTCGCGATACATTCACCCTCGCCCGCCGCCGATGTAACGAATCAGCGCAGAAATTCCTCTGCAATACACGATGAGCTGTCTACTGGTCTTCATCAATTGCAAATTCCCCAATCGGAGAACAGACTCCCTAGCATTCAGCCTCAGACGCCTTTGAATGATGCTCCCTCGCCAGCTGGATCACAATCTCTGCCCCCGATTTCACTCATGGTTGGAGACCTTGCACGGTCAGCATCTATAAGTGAAGATTGCAGGCCAAACGGTCTGGTTCATCGACAATCAATATCGTCGTTGACACAATCCCCAACATCACGAGTCCGGGCAAATGTCCATAAGCTCACATGCACACACGCCCGTATCTCCATTCCCGCTCAGCGCATCTTCTCCCATGAGCGCAAACAGCGACGCACAACGCGGCGACATGTTCTTGCGCTCAGGAGGCGGTAGCGTCTTTGGCGTCGACAACAGACGCCCATCCCAAGCATCAGAAACCGGGAGATATCCTCAAAGGCTAGATTCGACTTCAAACAGTGAAGGATACCAGAGCTCAGACGGTCCAAGTCCGGGCAGTCAGCAGACGCCGATTGAGCAGCGGCCGCGACATATGAGCCTAGACGGTACTTTGGCTGCTTCTGGCGCGATCATTTTGCCGCCGCCGAATGGTTCGGGAATGCAGTCGATGGGCCAGCATAGTCTGGGGACGTTTCGGTGCGATTATCCCGGGTGCAATGCGTTGCCGTTTCAGACGCAGTATTTGCTGAAGTGAGTACCTTCCGAGCTGGCGCATTTTTGTAAGCCTAGATACTAATCTGGTTTGTCTAGTTCCCACACAAATGTGCACAGCCAAAATCGACCACACTACTGCCCGGTCCAAGGTTGCCCGCGCTCCGAAGGCGGCAAGGGCTTCAAGCGCAAAAACGAAATGATTCGCCATGGCCTCGTGCATCAGTCGCCCGGTTATGTGTGTCCGTTCTGCCCGGATCGCGAACACAAGTATCCGAGACCGGATAATCTGCAGAGGTATGCACTTTCCCCAATACTTGTGCCGGATAATGTAATTAACGGTGTGGTGAAATAGACATGTACGCGTCCACCATGTGGATAAGGACAAGGACGACCCACAGCTTCGAGATGTCCTTGCGCAACGACCTGAAGGCGGGAGTCGGGGGCGCAGGAGACGGGTGAGCGTCGCTGAGTGACCCCACTGGTCGTTTGCCTAATGATGCTTCAGATCTCTGGTTGAGTGGACCCTCCACGCCACTGCGGACTTTTTGAGTCTTCTTCTTTATGCCCATCATGTTTCCTAGCGTTTTTTTCCCCTTTGGGGTTTTCTGAACTCGATATACCTTTTTCGCATGGCGTTACTTCTCTGTGCTTCGGTGAACGCTGGAGAATATGACTCTACTTCTTCTGATTCTTCTTATCTATGGATGGCCGTGTACATGGTTGTCGGTTGTCTTTTGGCTTGCATATTTACTTCTGTGTGGTCCTGATAGGTGTGTCAGGACACATTCGGGGGGGTAACATTAAACATTCGCTAGGGATTATTTATTGGATGGTAAGGGTGGGATTCTGACTTGAATGGGTTGGACAATACCATTGGATTTTACTGTTTGTACGAGACATGTTGCTCAAGGTACTCACCCATGTCTCCAAACCTATGCTCGTTTCCCTCGTGCCCCGGCAACCCCCCTTCCCCTCCCTACCTAATCTCAAACTCCCCCCATGCACAGCTCATCCCGCCCAACGCACCTCCCCCTGCTCCAAACTGCCCATACACATCCAGCAAATCTCCTCCAGACTCAACCGCCTCATGCTCCAACGTCTCCGTCAGCCTAAACGTCCCGTCAAACTTGCTTTCTTCATGCAAGACCCAGTTCGGCCTCAAAGTCACAGCCGTGCGTGCACCAAATAGCACGACGATCCAATCGAAGTAGCCATGTGCTGCGCGCCACTCGTCGCGTAGAACGGTCCATGAGCCCGGCTGGTTTGGGCACATGCATCTGCCCTCGTCATGGCGTTTGACGGCGGATGCGAAGGTGGGTATATCCGTCATGGGCATCGGATTAGTCTGCTCGAGGTTCTTGAATGCAGTTCGGAGATTTTGTGAAGAGGAGAAAGCGGGGGTTGTGTGTGTGAATGCGCAGTCTGGAAATGGTAACATTTCTCTCTGTTGGAAGTTGGACGCTTGGCCTGCGTCTGCTCTTCGGCCCAGTGCGAGTCCCCTGGCTACAAGGTGCTCGCCTTTCCACTTGACGTTGAAAGTGAATGAGGGGTGTATGTTTGTAAATTCCAGCTTTGGTAAGGATGCGAGGTCTTTCGCTATTCGATCGTCGGCGGTGGGATGGACCCAATCTGGCGTCCATGTAGGCTGGCGTGGTTCAGACATGGAGCCGAGAAGTTTTTCGTCTCCGGCTATACTTTTTGTTTCCACACATCTGGCCCATGCGTGATGTAAGATGTCGAGGTTTTGGGTTTCTTCAACGATGGCTTTAGCTGCCTGGACCATGACTTCCCGTATAGACGTGTTGTAGTTTGGTGTGATGAAGATACTACCGCGGTAGAGGCCGAGAACGCCGTAAACTTTGTCTTTTGGGTTTGATGCATGTCTGTTCCAGACAGATTTGAGGAGCTGTAGGAGGTTGCCGCCATCGGTACGGACTGTCGCAATGTTGTTGAGCTTCGCTGTGATGTGCCTGGTATGCTCGAATCCGTAGAGGTGCTTCCAGCCCGTAGTGAACGTCTCCCAGTCAAGGCTTTGTGTTCCAACGATTAATTTTGCGTGTCTTGCGAGACAGATTTCTTGAAACGTCCACACTCTGTCAAACCAGCCGCAGTAGCGCACATACGTCACACCGGCTTCCACACTATAGAGTGTGTCTTCTTCTTCTGAGAACCCCCATCTGTAGTGAAGCTTGTTGTTCTTCGCGCAGTCGGCCAGAGTCTTAAAAAGAGTGGCAACTCGTTCACCTTCGGAACCGAGCCATGCAATGACTGAACCCATGCTTTTGTAGATATCTCCCATTAGGAAGACTTGTTGACTTCTTTCCTCAATGCTCGATTGATCTATGCACAGGGCGTCTACCCAAAGTGACACTGTGCGATCTTGATATTTGGCAATGTGCCACAAAGCTGAGTATAAGTTCGGGCGAATGGGCACCAGATGATCATTGCAGCGGATATACTTTGTCTCTTCTTCTTCCTGCGCACTTGCGGAGTAGCCCTTCCAACAGTAAGATAGCGCGGAATAGTCATCTGGACTGTGTTGCACTTCATCCAGGGAAATAGTTTTGAGTAGAGTAACGAGGGGTCCACCTTCTTGTGTGGTCGTGCTTGAATTACCCCCGCTGGCGAGATCTTCAAGCAGTAAGACCCGGATGTGATTGGATGGTAGAGGGTGGTAGAGGCAGGATATCGTCTGCTCAGTAGTCATGGTGATTGATATAAGCAGTGAAGACGGTAAACATCCATATGGTCATCCATTGACACTATACCTCACACTATGCCTTAGTCCGATACGAGCGGGGGTACAGATCTGGTGAAGTTAAAGCGTAACCTATCCAGAGTATGGAGATCAAAACAAAGCTCATTTATTGGATCTGCATGTGTCAGATGCACCAAGATGAAATAGAATGTCGCAAAGGATTCTCTCAGAATGATATGTGGGCTTGCAAAGGATCGCTGCGGGAAACCAAGTGAAGTGGGTCGCTGCACAGCCACCTTAGTTGCAGATTCGGAGAGTTTTACACACGCTCTCCAAAGTGTAATATATTTCAGGAATAACTGAACGAAGGAAGAATGCCACGCTACCCGAAAAGATTCACGAAGACTGCGGTTACAAGCTGCGAACGACTCCAGAAGTTTAATTGCTAGCATCGTCGAAGAGTGTATAATGATCATAGGATATTGGAATGTATAGTAGGACGCGAGAGTAAGACGCAGACCTGCGCGATCAGCCTGGGTTAAGTGCGAGTTTCTGTTTGCTGTTCTCCTTGTGTGGCGTGCGAAGTTCAAAATCTTGGTGCTCTGAACAATGTTGTGGAGTGGAGCTCTTCATGAGGGAGGAGCGACACCGCTTGCCTGGATTCACACCAACGTCCGCTTACACGCAGCCAGCACTAAACTTAGCAAATTCTATGGTTCAGATGGTATTGGGCAGGACCAGGCTTGTCGGAGCGTCATGGGCAGCAGTACAAAACGTAGCGACACAGGATTTGCTTTTCAGGCCTTCAGAAGGCTTATTGAGACAGCAGCAAGCAGATCAGACAGGCATCACATGGGTAAGAAACGCATTTTGAATGGTGGAATGAAGTTGTTCATTTTCGTGCCAGTTTCCCAGCTCAGTCGTCAGATGCATAACTGAGGTCCCGAATGCATTACCTCACGCCATAACCCTGGAATGCTGAAAAAGACCCGAATCGCCAGAAACCGTCTAGTACCTCTTGCCCTCACGCAAGACATCGCTGAACTCCTCAAGTGGGCTCCGAATGAGCTTAGTTTCGGCCCAAAGGTTTGGTGTGAGGAAGCCGTATGAGTTTGCGACAGCAACGAAGGTAGCCTTCAGTGTGTTCTCGAGGGTCTTGGTGGAACCAGCCGAGGCAGTGTAGATGTCCTGGACACCAGCAAGCTGCAAGAGGCGCTTGACAGCGGGCGATGCGACCAATCCGGTACCACGGGGGGCGGGGATAAGACGGACGGTGACGGAACCGCACTTTCCGCTCTCCTTGGTGGGCAGAGAGTGAGGCTCACCAAGGTTGGTACCCCAGTAACCCCTTCGGATGGGGACGACGGAGAGCTTGGCGATGATGATGGCGGCGCGGATGGCAGTTGCGACTTCCTTGGAGGTCTTGATACCGAGACCGATGTGGCCCTCAGAGTCACCGATGACAACGATGGCCTTGAAGCGGGTACGCTGACCGGCACGGGTCTGCTTCTGGACGGGCTTGATCTTCATGACCTCGTCCTTGAGCTTGGGGAGGAAGAAGTCGACGATCTGGTACTCCTTGACGGGCAGAGAGTGGAGGTAGCTGGCAGATGTCAGTCAATATGCCGCGCGGTACGCGCAACGCTGTAAACATACATCTCCTCCATGCTCTTGATCTTGCCGGCCTTTACGAGACGACCGAGCTTGGTGACAGGCTGCCACTCCTTCTCCTGTGACAATTGTCAATTCTGCCCAATTTCCTCAAAATATGCTTGTGTATACCTCGCTCTTGCCGCCACGGCGACCACGTCCGCGTCCACGGCCCCGGCCACGGTCACCACCACGGTCACCGCGAGATCCGAATCCACCGCCGCCGCGAGGTGCTCCTGCATCAGCCATTTTGTATGTAGTTTGGTAGGACGGCTGCTGTAATTGTGTGGTCAGAGGAGCTTCTTCGCGAATGGCGGTATGTGTAGACGTACAATATGGTAATCCTAAGGTTAGCTGGTGTCGCGACGTCGAAATTCGAGGATAGACGAAATTCGAACCTCAATGTGGGAGACGGTCTGTGCCCGGCGCTAGTGCGTAGCGGGGCTGTTCGTTAGAGAGGACCCCTGTCGCTCATACACGACCGCCTTTCGTCACCACCAAACTACATATTAAAAGTGTACTGATTCCAGCTCCGGTCGATACTTGTTTTTAATATGTCGCGTGGGCATTGTATGTTAGTGCGAGATCATCTTCTCATATTTGGATCTGCTCAGAGCTGAAATGTCGATGGCTGACTAAGAAATCTCCAAATCGTCAACGTGGATTAGCGAAACAGGAGCGAACTACGAACAAGCAACTTGAATTAGCTGCCAGTTTGCATCTAGCCAGAGGAGCGTAGGGTTGCTGTGTTTGCGGTCTGTGGTTTCATCGGGGTGTTGCCGCCTACGAAGCTCTCCGTTATGCGTGTCGGCACGATACTGTCTGGTGATTTGTTCACATGCAGTAGGTAGCCGCAACTCAACGCGCTCGCCTCAGTCCACGCACCAACATCTCGAGACTGACACGCTCCATGCCTCTTCCTTCAACACTAAGATCGTAACAACAACACTACCATGTCATTATTTAATTCAGTGCTCGGCTCCTTCTCACCTCCTCCGAAGTTTCGTAGATCCTTTGAGGATCCACACGCACGCGACCATGAGCTTCCCACGTACAGTTCTCCACCATCGCCGCGCATACCACCCCCAGTAACGTCATCTGTACTATGGAGCGCACCGAAAACGAGCTTGTCGCCACCTCCACGTGTCCCCGACGACCTGCTCGCACTGCAGAGGCGTGCGCGACATCTCGAACAGCAGCTACAAGAGCTCTTGGACGCGCAGGCCGACGGCTTGATGAGCGGTTTATCTATGCAAGAGTCCACATCAGATGGCCAAATGTCGGCCGGCAGCACGACGCCCACAGTCAGCAGTGTACGATCGAGCGATAGAAGCGCAGGCAACGAGCCGGATACACATCAGCCAAAGAAGAAGAAAGTCGGCTTAAATGCTGCAAGGTTGGGCATATCAAGACGTGTGCGCCAGCTCGCTGGAGTCAGGGCCGAGGAACTAGACCTGCTCGAGGAGGACCTGAAGGAACTCCAGCTCACAGTGGAGAGGCTAGAGGCTTGGGCACAGAAGCGCGTGCGGTTGGAGAAGAAGATCACAGACATACAAAGCGAGGATGCTGGCGCAAAAACGCAGTCACTGCAGACTGAAGCTTCCAAACTCGAACAGGAAATCAGACAAAAAGAGGAGGAACTGCGGGTTCTCAAGCGAAGACACCGGCGCGTCCTGAACGAGCTTGCAGATACCGAGAATTCTGTTGAAGCCCGCTTGTCGTCATACAAAACTTCCTTGTCTCTACTCGATAGAGAGGTCTCCGACTTCCTCGCGCGTCCGCCAGATATCAATCACGTACCGCTGTCCTCGACGCCGTTCCACGCACTTCCCGTTAAACGACGAACACTCGGAATGGCACGCGAATACTGGAGTGATGAATATACAAGCTTGGCTGAAAAGTGTACGGAGCTCGATGCAGACCGCGGGGCGCTTGACGAGGGTGCAATCATGTGGAACGATGTGATAAACAAGGTAGCAGAGTACGAGACAACGTTGCAGAGTTTTATGCAGGACGCTGGTCGTAAGAATGCGCCAGATCCTTCGCTCCTGCTGGACCAGCTGGAAACCACCATTTCCTTTCTTGAGGAGAAGCTCGAGCTGGCTACTTCAAAGGAGTGGAATCTGCTTGTGTGTGCTATTGGAGCAGAGCTTGAGGCTTTCGTACAAGGCAAGGCCATGCTGGAGGACACGCTAGGAGTGAACCGAAAGGGCAAAGAGAAGGCGATGAATGAATTGCTGGACTTCAACGATGCAGGAACCCCACAAGAAGAGATGACAGGGTCTGCAATCAGGATCGTTCGATCGCCGCCCAAGCCCTCCCTACCGAAGCCGAAACTATACGACACCGACGACGAGGATCCCGACCCCGAGCTTATGATCTCCCATCACGACACGGACACGGATTGAGAAATTCGTATTAGACTAATTAAATCCCTAATTCTGTTTCACTCATTCTCCCGCTACCACGCACTATGCCCTCCATCAATCTTCAGATCTGACCCCGTCATGAAGCTGCTCGCATCACTTATCAAGAACACGGCAGCACCCCTGTATTCCGCCGGCTTGCTAAGTCTTCCCAGCATATTCTGCGTCGGCCACTCTACCTTCCTCTCAGGAAACTTGACAAACAGCTCCTCCACCATGGCCGTTACAATGTATCCTGGCGAGATGGTGTTGACACGGATGTTGTGCACGCCCCATTCAGATGCGAGGTTGCGGCCTAATTGAATGACACCGGCTTTGGAAGCATTGTACGCAGGGCAGATCAATCCCTACAAGTAACTGTCAGTAGGGACATTGAAAACAGGGACAGGGCGAGACGTTACCTTATTCGCAATGCTCCCACTCATACTCGCAATCATAACAATACTCCCCCCCTTGCCAAACCGAATCATCTGCTTCGCAACCGCCTGCGCCGTCATGAACACACCCGTCACATTGACTTCAAACATGCGATTCGCATCTTCGGCCGTGTAGTCCAGCGCAGTGGTTTCCTGCTGGATCCCCGCTGCGGCGATCAGTCCATCCAGACGCCCCTCGGCGTCAGCTATCCCAGAGACAACCTTGTTCAACGCGGTCACATCGCGCACGTCGATTTGGCAGTAGGATAGCGAGGTGTTGAGCTCGGAGGCGGCGCGCGCGGCGATGGTGTGGAAGTCCGGGGAGGGCTCGGGGAGGCGGTCGAGGGCGTAGACTAATTTTGGACATTAGCAATGGGGGATTTGGGCATGCGAGGGTGAAGGATAAAATCCACACCTCTTGCACCGGCTTCTAATAATGCTTCGGCTTGTGTGAGACCTAGGCCGCGTGCTGCGCCGGTGACGAGGACGACTTTGCCTGCGAGGCTGAATTCGGGGAGCCCTGTTGTTTTGGACATTGTATATCTTTCTTCAGACTAAGAGATTGGACTTTTCCCCTTGCTTTCTCTGCGCTCAATTCGAAGGCACGATGGACCGGTGAGTTTACGCAGGTGTGTGAACGTTTTCTATATCGAGGATTGGAACCTTCATTCCGGGGGCGCCGGACGTCTCCCTATTTAAACACTTTCCCAAGCGCAAGCCCACCGGCAAAGACAGAATCGTACGTTCCCACTCGGGTCATCTGATAGCGGCCTATCTCGGAGCCCTGGCCGCGCGCAATGTTGGCATCATGGGCTTGCCTTTCGCGTTGTTTGCGGGGAAGCTAGGCAAGGCGTCGGGGGGTTACCGCTTTGGGCATCCCGTGGCTGCGGGGTGGGATGGGTGTGGGATGTTTGTTGGAGATGGGGCTCGATGCGAGGGCGCTATGTGGGATGGATAGTGGAGGGTGAGGACTTGATGGATTGTTTTGCGATGAGGGTAAATGGGCGCGAGGCGAGGTATGTGCGAAGATGGCATTCAGGGTATACATACAACAATTAAAGTATCCAACTCCTAGCACCCTGATTCGAAAGATTTTCAAAAACAAGACGATATCTAATACTTCCCACCCTCATCGCAAATCTTCTTAAACACCTCTTCTGTGTGCTGCAAAACCTCCTTCTCCTTGCCTTCCTCCCGCATCTTCTTCGCAACAGGCTTATCCTCCAGAATATCATTATTCCAATAAAGCAAATAGCTTCCACTTCCCTTGACAGCATCACTCCCTACTGCTGCGTCTTTGACACTCTCGCCCGCTGCTTTCGGCGCGAAAGTTGGACTCGTAGAAGCGTACAAGTGACGCTCGCCACTCTCGATAGGCTTGACTTGCATGGCCATTCTCAACAGCCACATGAGGGGTTTCGCAACTGGTTCAAACGCGCCGAAAGCGTCTCTTCCAGCGCCTGTGTCGACGATGTGGGGGTACGCGTGGATATAGGAAGTGCCAGGGTTCTTGCTCGCCAGACTGTAGAACGCGAGGTTTGTCATGCCTGTGGCATTCACCATACAATTCTTCAACGAAAACGACGTTTTGAGACTCAAGTCCGACCACTTGGGCGCCATTTTGAGACCGGGCTGGGGGTCCAGGACAGACACGACGCGCGAGAAAGTCTTGGCGTTTGCAGCAGCGTCGAGGAGGGGTTGGAGCTGGTTGATGAAGCGCATGCGTGTGTAGTAATGCAAGGCGAATTTCTTATCGAGGCCCTCGGGTGTTTCGGTTCGCCCTTGGAAGGTGACATATCCGCATGTCATGAAGAGGAGGTTGACTTGCTTCTCTTTCGCTTTGATGTCTTGACATGCTTCGTCGACGTTCTTGAGGAGGGAGACATCCTTTTGGATGAAAGAGATTTCGGATGAAGCGTTGATGGTTTTTAGCTCCTCGATGATCTTGGTGGCTTCAGTCTGGTTGCGACCGATGAGGTAGAGACGGGGTGAAATGGTGTTACGGACGAGTTCGCGGGCTGTGTAGAGGCCTATTCCACTGGTTCCGCCCACGAAGACGGCGACGAGGTTGGCAGGGAAGGACTTCAGGGCTGAGTTGCTGGCGCGGATATCTTCGATGGCGACCATGATGGCGATGCTTGTTTGTGGTTTGGGGACTGTGTTCAAGACTAAGATCGTACTTTAATGAATTTGCTTCAAGCAGCTCCGTGGATTGGTAAAATGTTTCTAGATCACTTTGATGCAGGTGATTAACTGTTATACAGCGACAGACTCCGATGTTCGTCCGTGCGAATACTAGAGCGAAGCTGGTATGTTCAGTGTGTTCAAGTATCGCCTATCGCCGCGAGAGCTGAGTTGGATATCTGAGTTCAGACCACAGTGTATTGTACTGGTGTTGTGTTTTAAGAACGCAGACAAAGACTGAGATGGAGTTCCGCTACAAGTCGCCACTACAATGCACGTGTACCGGTGGTAAGACGGACGAAGACGGACGGAGTTGGGCCGCAATCTGAACTTAGAGAGAGACTCAAGGCGTGCCTAGCGATATGAGAATGATGGTATGGTATTCAGATCAGTTCAGGACGAAGACCTTCACGCTGATATGTTGAGTCCGTCGAATGAAAGAGCTCAAACCTCCGGGTTCGCCGAAAGACGCTAGTCTCCACCAAGGCGTCTCTTTCGTCACCCCACGTTTTCTCGAAGCTCGTGAAGATGACTCAAATCATATTAAGACGGTGTCGTCCGAAGCGCCACCGTCAACATGAATGCCCTGGGTGATGTATCTCCTCACACGGGCCCCACGCAGCTCGCTGCTGGCCATGCGCCTCCGACTCCTCCACACGAAGATCCTCTCGATGATATCTACGGGTCCGCGCCAGGATCACCAAGTCTCTTAGGAGTCGATCCACTGAATCTCGATCACCCACGCGAACGTACACACGAAATCCTCTCTGATCTTCCATCTCGCCAACGAGCACTCGACACAGATGCGTACCGTGAAGGTCTTTCAAATAGCAAAGGGCAATACGTGCAGGAGGGCTTCGATGAAGGCTACTCGCTGGGCGCAAATCTTGGCATACGCGTAGGCTATATTCTAGGTGTCTTGCAAGGATTCGTTGCAGCCTGGAGGGGCAGTAACGACAACCTCTTTAAAGACACGAAGAAGGTCTACGACACAGCGCAGAAGGAATTGGCTATACAGGAGCTTCTCAGCCAGCAGTGGGTAACTGAGGAAGGCATCTGGAACTGGGAAGTTCACGGAGTGGAAGATGATCCTACCTTCCGGGAAGTTGCCGAGCAGCATCCCGTGGTTCGAAAGTGGACAGCGACTGTTGAAAGTATGGCTGCCCAGTGGGGCGTCGATTTGCAGGCCGTGGAGAAGGTACACGGATCGAACGAGGAGGAACAATCATGAAGTTGGCTCAAAGTCTGAGAATCGACCGCAGTATTTGCAGCATCTCACGTATGCAAACGAGCAAGACGACCACAGAGCATCACCTCGGACGAATGTGCACGATCCAATACCAGATTGACACATGGAGGTCTTTCGTCAACATGGCAAAACCCAACGGCTTGTCTGCGTGTCAGAATAGCTAGAGATGCATCGACACGACGTCCTGAGCGAGGCAAGCCCTCATAGTCAGTGTGGACAAGAAGAAATATGAATGAGAAGTACAAGCACGATGGGGAGATTGCATCTGAATGTCTGGCTCTGAAAGAAATTACGAATGGCCTATGCCATGATACTTTTCGAAGCAGAGCAATATACTGTAGCCTAGATGGAAGTGGGATTACTAAACACGATATCGGCACGGAGGGTATGAAGACGACCCGCCCGAGCGCACTGACGCTTGTCGCTGTTATCGGACTTTTAGCGGCACTCAAAATGCCGTCATTGACTTGTAAGGCCGACAATGGACACACGATAAACTCAATGCGCCGTCTCCATGTCACACATTATAATTTTCGTGCTGCCTTCTTTCACCTGGAGCAGCCATGATAAATGGCTTCGCTCTTCGAAGAGCGCCAGTTCATAATGCCGCTGCACGATTGCTGACGCGCAGTGTTGCCTCTCCGCGGCCATACCAGACACCCTCAATTCGTCGCCTCCAAACACAGGCATGGGAGCCTCTTCGCCCGCCGAATCCTGCAGACCTGCCTAAGCCGAGGAAACGAAAGATCAAACCGCCTTTCACCCAGCGAAGATGGGTGCGCCGCCTCGCTATCCTGTCTGCGCTGCTTGGCGCAGGATATGCTTTCGACAAGCTATTCTACGCCTCTTCGATCACACGTAGTTTGCGCACATTCAAGACTGGTCTCACGATAGGCTTCGACTACAAGATCAACTTTCGCGCGCATCCTCCTTTCGCAAACAGTATAGAAGAGGTGCATGCCCGCAATGCGCAGAGAGTCTTCGACCTGCTGAGGTACAATGGAGGACTATACTTGAAGATTGGCCAGGCAATTGCAATGCAGAGCGCAATATTGCCGCCTGAATTTGCAAAGATGTTCCAGAAGATGTTCGACGACGCGCCGCAGAACGAATGGGCCGATGTCGAAAAAGTCGTTCGCGAAGACTTTGGCGGCAAGAGCGTGCAAGAGGTCTTTGGCGTCAGCTTCACCGGAGAGGAGGGTAAGGGTATAATGGAGAAGACAGCAAGAGCCAGCGCAAGTGTTGCGCAAGTGCATTGGGCCCGGCTCGCCGACGGACGCGAAGTTGCAATCAAGATCCAGAAGAGGGAGATTGTGCAGCAGGTTGGCTGGGATCTTTGGGCCTTCAAGGTCGTGGCGAAGGCATATACGTGGTGGTTCGGCATACCCATATATACCCTCGTCCCATACATTACCGAACGTCTCATGCTCGAAACCGACTTTGAGAATGAAGCCAACAACGCTGAGGAGATGCGCAATCTCGTGCACAATGAGAAGCGCTTGGCCGGAAGAGTGTATATTCCTGCAGTCTACCGAGAGCTCTCGAGTAAACGCGTCATGACAGCAGAGTGGATAGAAGGCATACGGTTGTGGGACAAGGAGGGCATCACGAATCGCTGGCAGGGAGGCTGGCGGACAGGCAGTCCAGGCTCAGGAGGCAGGCAGTTACCTCCGATTGCAAAGGGCAATAAGAAAGCCGACACCCATTTCCCACCAGATGCGCCAGTACACACTGCTTTGAAGCCAGATCGCTCAGACTGGAAGGGCAAGAACCACAATGGCGGCTTGGGCGTCTCATTGAAAACCACAATGACTACGATTGTCGACCTCTTCTCCGCACAAATGTTCCTCTGGGGCATTGTCCACTGCGATCCGCATCCAGGCAATATCTTCGTCCGCCGCCTTCCCAACGGCCAGCCCGAAGTCGTCCTCATTGACCACGGCCTCTACATCCGCATGAACCCCGATTTCCGACACCAATACTGTTTGTTCTGGAAATCACTGCTCGCATTTGACAACGCCACTATTCAGGATATCGCCACAGGCTGGGGCGTGGGTCATGCAGACATTTTCGCTTCTGCAACACTCATGCGCCCTTACCAGGGTGGAGATAACAGCGTAGCCAACGAGCTCAAGAAAGGCTGGGAGGGTAAAGACCAGGCTGAACGTGCTTTCCAGATGCAGTCGAGGGGTAGGGATGCAATCAAGCTCATGCTCGCAGACGACAAGAAATGGCCCCAGGAACTCATCTTCATCGGCCGCAACTTGCGCATCGTCCAAGGCAACAACCAGTTCCTCGGGTCGCCGGTCAACAGGATCAAAATCACGGGCTTGTGGGCGTCAAGAGCACTTACAGAAAGTCCGGATCTTGCGTACAGCGAGAGGTGGAAGAATTGGGTCAAGCATCTGAGATTTAGGTGTGTGTTGGTCCTCACCGACTTTGCGTTTTACTGGAGCCGCATCAAGCAATTGACGGGCTTTGGAGGCGGCATGGAAGATGACATCGAGAGCCACATGAAAGCCATGGCCAAGGACTTTGGCGTGGAATTGCAGCATGGCGTATTCGAGGGGTAGACATGAGACTTCAGATATCCAATGTAAAAACGTGCGCGAAGCTATATCCTATCCCGACTCAAATCTTCGCCCTCGCCTTACTCTTCTCCTCGAGCTCTTTCTTCTTGATTTCAAACCGCTCCTTCGGCGCGCCCTCGACGAAGCGCTCGACCAACGCGTCCACGGCATTCACTACCGCTATCATCCTCTGATCCCTAATCGGCGCGTTTTGCAGGCGCTTCATTTCAATCATGCTCTTGCCATCTTTATCTGCCAATTGCTCTTCAAGAAAGGATACAACCTTTTGCTGGAACGCGTCGCCTGTGGCGTCCCAGACGTAGTTGTACATGCCTGCATCCACCAGTTCTTGCGCGGAGAGTTTGCGGCCCGAACATGAGGAAGTCGTTTGTGCGGTGGATGCCGATGGATTGCGCAAAGGAGAGGGCGGAGCCGTTCTCTGGCACAAGGCCTAGAGCGGAGAAGGGGCATTGAAGCCATGCGGTGTTGGAGGCCAGGACGATGTCTGCGATGCCGGGGACTGGAGGTTTGGTCAGCGGAATGTCGCACACACGTGCAGTGCGTTCACGTACACCAGGCGGCACCGCCACCGACCGCAGGCCCGTTGAGCGCGAGAATGAGCACTTTGGTATGATCGATCATGCTGCGAAGTAGTTCCTGGGCTGGATATCGTTCACTCATTAGCCGTGTCTCCCTATCTCCACTGTCTTCAAGCAGGTAGTCGGAAATGCCATACCATAGCTAAACCGCCCGAGAAATCCCAACTTCTTCTCGGCATCGCTGGCATTGGCATCGCCGTCCTGCGCATTGCGATCAGCCGACGCTTTGCTCACAATCAGCACCAGACGCTAAACATACATTCCCACCAGCGATACCTTTGACATCCGCACCGGCGGAGAAAAAGCGCCCTTCGCCTGTGAGCACCGTGAAAATTGTCTCTGGATGCGAGTTGAGGACGCGCAGGGCGGCGATGGTCGAGGGGATGAGGGAGCCGCCGAAGGAGTTGAGAGACTTGGGGCGGTTGAACTGGGGGTTGGTGTGTTAGTGGGGGATTCTTTTCGCTGAAGCATGCGAGACAGAGGGTAAAGGAAGGAAGAAGGACCTTGATTATTCCGATTTTGCCTTTGATGGTGAAGTCAATGTCGGGGTAGGATTGGGATGACATGGTGCGAGGGGCCTTTGGATGGTGGTGGCTTTGGTAAGGTCTTTTTTGTGTGTGATGCGAAATGGACCGTAAAAATGTATGGGTCTACTAGAAAAGTATTGTCTGAGCGTGGGATAAGTTCTCACATTTCGAAGCGCGGTTCGTGAACAGTGAGCCCCCCCGCAGACGCGTACCTGAGCCTCGGTTCGGCGATAAACGTTGCTGGGGTGCGTAAAATCCGGGGTCAGCCTGTACTTTAAGCCATTGTCCTGATATTATCAGGCGTTGAATCGATGCAGATATAGGACGGATGAATTACAAAAGCTACTGATTGAATTTGATCGTTTTGAAGGCAAGTACTAAGCTGCCTGTCACGTGGTACTACTGACATTTAGTCCACCACAAATTACGCCCAGCGTACAGCCATTTCCAGAACGAGTCTGGTCTAATGACAGCGAGGTCGAAGGTAAACTGTTCCTACATATGGAAGATAAAAGAAAAGGGGTATGAACGCAAGCTTTAACATGCAATGCCGACAAACAAACATGTCAAATAAAACACAAATGCCAAGAGTTCGTCGTCAAATGGGGAGGTATGGTCGACTGAGTATGTCCAGATAGCAAGTCGGGGGTATATCGTCAGATACTGTTCGTGTGGTACTCCGATCACGGTTGCTCGAATTCCGTCTTGCCCGAGGTCTATTCTCCGCTAGACTAGACGGGCACGCTGCGGTGCTGACGGAACTCGCGACCTCCGCCAGCACTGGAGGCGCGGCCGTTGGCTGCCGGAACGCTGAGACCTCGCATAGTGGGTCCATCTGAGGTAGCAACTCGTCGCCTGTTGTTGCCCTTCTCCAAGCGGAGCGTCCTCCAGCCTTCGTACCACTGCTCGCGAGATGCCTCACGTAGCTCAGCACGCCACTCGCTGAAGACGCTCTCACGCAGCTTGACGAAATCGCAATGCTCGGGATTGTATGGATCGGCGAAGCCCCAGGGGAACTGACGTCCAATGACCTCAGGCTCGTACACATCTGGAGATATGATGCTGAGCGGGAGGAAAGGCACATCCGAGTCCTCGGCCTTGATTGAAGCAGACATGGCTGATGGCTTGCGGCTGTGGTTCTTCTTTGCGCTTGGTGGGGAAGTCGGTGGTGAGTTGGATCCAGTAGAATCAGCTGAGCCAATTGACCGGGCGGCTTCAGAAGAGGACCGTTCGAGAATCTTGTTTAGAATATCTGGCTTGCCTTCGCTGCCGGAGGAGTTGTAGCCATCCTCATCACGCTCGTCCAGTTTGTCGAAATCTTCCTCGTCGTCCATATCCAAGTGTAGAGCCTCGAGAGGGTCCAGCTTTTCGCGTTTGAGTGTATCCCAGACCATCTTTTTCAGGTGGCGCATGTGAGCTCCGGTGATGGTGTCTGCCTTGCTGATGACTGGGATGACAGTGGTCTTTCCTTGCAACTCACGAAGCACATTCAGGTCGAGGGTTCTCGTCGAGACCGCCAAAAATGGCACTTCCGGCCTTGACGACGTTGGGAGCGTTTGCGCGCCTCTGCAATATTCTGGTCCAAACGCGCCGGATCCAGGACCAGGAAGACACAGTGAATGTGGGTGTCCTTTACGCCAGGAGCACGGACAACCTTCTGCTCTTCGCCAAAAGTATCCTCGAATTTGCTCTCGAGGAAAGAAGTAACGATGGGCAGCTGGAAGTCGACGATATTCTTCTCCAGGCCTTCAGAGTCCCATAGCGTGACACCAACACGCTCGCCGTCAACTTCGGTTTCGAGATACTGCGAGGTGAAGGTCGAGTCCTCGCCGACGGCAGTGGCTGGTGGGGAGGGGGTGTTGGGGCGCTTCTTCTTGGGCAGTGCGAGCACGGTGCGGAGGAACTCGATGAACGAGGACTTGCCGCAATTCTTTGTGCCAATGACGAGGATGCTGCGGGCTTGTTAGCGGAAGTTGCCATGTTTAGTCTCGAGCAGCCTACTTGAAGGGCGTGGGGTCCTTCCGCCTCCGCACGCGACGCGGGCTGTTGACGGTGCTGATCTGGCTGCTGGCATAGCTGTAGCGCCCGCGGTGGGTCATGCTCTCGGTGCGCGGGTAGGGGTCGAAGTCCATGTAGGTGGCAGATGCGTTGCCTGGCATGGGCGGCGCAACGGCGTGGGCGTGGGCGTGGGCGTCGGGCTGGGGCGCCATTCTGTGCGAGTCGACGGACGGCCTGCTGAAGTTGTGTGCGTAGTTGCCGACCCTGTTGGAGACAATGGCAACCGAGTCGGGGCGGTATGCTTCGCCGCCAAAAGACTCAATCTGGGGGAGGGTCGAGTGTGAGGGCAGGCGCGGGGGTTGTCGTGGCAGCATCGCAGCTTCCCTCGCTTTCCTCTGCGCCTCCTCCTGGGCGAGCGCCTTCTGTTTCCTGCTCATCTTGCTGCCGGACGCGCTTCTGCTGGTACTACGCGCTTCTGCGGAGCTCTTCTAAAATATCGATCTACAAGTCAGCGAGTGTCGCACATGCATTCCGCAGGGTGGGTTCTTCGTACACGTCTCAGGAAATTGAACGAGGTACGGCGTGGCTGGTCGCTGTTTGCTACGCTGGGGACTGCAGACGGTTCGGGTGAGCCGTCTTTCACTGTGCGATCGGGGTAATTGGGTAGTGCGGTCGGCGTGGTGCTAGCCATGGCAGGCGCTGGCAGTACTCAAATATGCCGTGGGACGCTGCACTCGCGCGCGTGTAATCTCAGTAGATGAGAAAGGAGTAGGGCTGTGTTGGAATGGGCCCTGGCCGAACACTTTTCCTCCGACGGCAGCGGAATTTGGGTGATCAGGCAAAGCGAGCGCTGCGAAATTGGAGGGAGACCGCTGGAGCGAAGGGCATGTCAGCCGTGCTCATCGCCGTCTCTAGTGCATCGTGGAGCGCCGTGGAGGTCAGGGTCTAATTACGCACCTAGCCCGATGCTACTACTGCAGGTACGGTGCACTGGGACGCTTACAACAGCCCGAGATTCTGTTATACGCAAATTCGTGCAGACCAAACGGCGTCAGGAGACAGACAGATGGGAGAGAGGAGAGGCGAGCCGCCGACTGCCAACATGCTGTCAAACCGTGTGTGACGCGTACGAAGACAATGGCAGCCGCACTGCAGCTTCCAATTGGCCGTCGCTGCTCGAGAACGACAAGAGAAGCTGCGACCAGGATAGCACGGCCGGCCTTTGAAACTCGTCTCCCCGACACGACGTCCATTAGCAGCATTCCCTTCGCAGTGTCTGGACGACGATGAGATGGCACGCCATGGTTCTGTGTAGTTGTAGGTTCCAATTTAGCGCCGACGACCACGACTTCCTTTCGCTGGCGGCCACGGTTCAGCCAGGTCACCCACGCCTCCTCTCCCGCACTCAAATGCACATCTCAGGGGGGCTCATGTGCGCACGTGATCCCCTCATCTCTGCATGGAAGCTTTTATGAAGTGCCCATGCATCCCCACGTCTGCCGCATGAACGCCCTATCCGTTCCACTCGCGCATCCGGGAACATCCTCGATGCCGGGTTTCATGTCGATAACATGTCTTCTCCACGCTCTCGTCACCTTTGTCTCTGCCAGAGTAGCAGTCCTGTGTCTTCCTTACTCGGGGGACCACACTTTCAAAGGGGGCTGCACCAGGCCGAGGCGTTACCCAGTGTCGAGCACAACTTCTAACTTTGGGCCCAGTGACGCATGACTCGCAACCCATCGGTATCGGACGCCTTGGGATCGTTCGCCGTTGAAGTTTGCTTCTTGCCGAAAAGATCGCTGTTCATTACGATCCTTCTTCACTAATCCTGCCCAATCTCTCTTCGTGCAAGAGTTCGGATCGTCGAACCTTCGGCTGTTGCTCACTGACCAGCCATGCGCATCCCAGTGAGCTGGGTAGATGGCCCGAATCCTGCTTCCGCGAGGTGCCGCAAACACAGCGAATATGAACAGACAGTTACCTGTGGTGTGGTCTGTCGTTTCGAGTGTTACTTGACAGTCGAAAAAAAAGGACCTGTGGCTCGCGAATCATCATCAGTCTCTGACCTGCGCTAGTCGTCTTCTTCAATTCCTACGTAACGAGCAGACCTACCACAACCTTTGTTGCTGGTCGGCCTAATACACCCGTGCTGCGTCTAGTGCTTATTACCAAAGACACCAGCGAACATCTTGTCATACCTCAATTGCATTGGCTTACACGTACATATATCCATCGTGGCCAGAATATTCGTCGTCACTTCAGTCGTTTTCCTCTTTCGAGCACTAACCGTCCACAAAATGGATGTTTTCGAATACAAAGCAGTGGTGTCCACTGTAGTCGGGTTGATAGTGGCATGGCTCTTAAGTAAGGTAGCTATGCTGCTGAAAGACCGACAGCGGCTCAAGAACATGGTAAGACATTTTTTGCCCTTTTCAGCTGGTCGAGGTACAGTCCTTGCTATCCATAGGACATGCACCGAAGGAAACGAATCTCAAGACTATTGCTCTCACCCGCAAACGCAGAGTGTTCATAAACTGAGATAATCAAAGCTCATGTTTTACTGACCTGGATGACCTGGCTCACAATTTTGAACAGTCAGGTCCTCCGATGCATCCCCTCTTTGGTCATATCGTCTCAGTTGCAAAGACTGCCATGAAGCTTCCAACACGAGCGCATCCTCATGTGATGATGGCCAGCCTAAAAAGAGATTACGATTTACCGGGCATGTTCTTTGTGGACGCAAGACCTGCATCTGGTCTCGTCCTTGTCGTATCTGATCCGTAAGTGTCCTGTTAGATCCTCAAAGTATAGCACTAAGCGCATTCCAGTGACATCGATCGATACATCTCAGACTCTGGCCTTGACAAGCACCCCTCCTTGGGGGGAACGCTCGAGTCAATAGCCGGAAAATGGAACATCTTAACAACTGATGGCGCATACTGGAAGAAGTGGAGGACTGTCTTCAACCCTGGCTTTTCAATCCAGCACACGGTCAGCCAGGTGCCGGTGTAAGTGGACTGATCATAAGGTGAGGCACAACTCTTGACACTTTGTCATTTAGCATGGTCGAGTACACAGAAAGCCTAGTCAAGATCCTGGACGAGCATGCTTCAGCAGAGCGGATTTTCAGGCTGGAAGAAGAAACCACCAAGATCACAATCGATGTAATCGGCAAAGTCATCTGTGACCACGACTTCAAGTCCTTGACGACAGACAATGAGTTCATGACGACGATGAGAAACACGCTTTCCTGGATGCCTGACATGCAATCAATAAACCCGTTCCACATATACCATCCCTTGCGAGCAATGTTCCAAAAGTACTACAAGTACAAAATGGATAAGTACATTGGAAAGGTTCTCGATGAACGTTTCGCCGTGAGTGGTGCGAAGCAAGCCAGTGATAGGAAGACGCGAAAGAAGACCGGGATCGATCTTGCGCTGGAAGAGTACTTCAGCGAGAAAGGGCAAGATGTAAATGCAACCGACGTCACAATGGACACCGAATTCCGTAAAGCCGCCATTGACAATCTTCTCATCTTGCTATTTGCTGGGCATGACACAACAGCCTCGACGTTATGCTACTGGTTCGTCCCTTTGACCCTTTCTCAACCCAAGCATACACTGACTGAACTCGCTAGTTATCATTACCTCCAAAAGTACCCGCACGAACTTACCAAAGTCCGTGCCGAACTCGATTCCGTCTTCGGCGCCAACACACCCGCTGGCCCAAAACTCACAGCAAACCCATACCTTGTTAATCAGCTCGAATACACCCTTGCCGTCATCAAAGAGGTCCTGCGCCTCTGGACCCCCGGTTCAAGCGTGCGTATGGGCCGCAAGGGCTTCTTCCTTACGGACCCCAAGTCGGGCGAGAAATTCGACACTGACGGGCTAATGATCTGGATGGTATCCATGGCCACGCACCGTGACGCCAAGATCTGGGGCCCGGACGTTGATGAATTCAAACCCGAGCGATTCCTGCCCCAAAACGAAGGGAAGGTTGATCCCTATGCGTGGCGCCCGTTTGAGAAGGGACCCAGAAACTGCATTGGGCAGGAGTTGGCGCTTATTGAGATGAAGGTTGTCCTGGCGATGACGCTTAGGGAATTCGACTTCAAGACAAGCTATGAGGAATTGGGAGCGCTCATGGGAGATGGGACTTTGTGGGCTAAGGATGCGAGCTTTAGAAGTGGACCGATGGAGGTGTTTGGGGAGCGGATGCATCAAGTTCTGCTGGCGGCGGGTAAGCCGAGTGAGGGCATGCCGTGTAGAGTGACCAAGAGGGAGATGTGAGGTATCGAAGCATAGTTTGCTAGGCGTACTATTCCTGGTATATTCCGGTCATAGGTATAGTGGGCGCTCTTGATGACACGAGCCAAACTCCCTTAGAAGATAAACATCAGTGCACCACAAAACTCTGAATATCGTATTCCAAGCGTTCGTTGAATCATTAGTCCGTCGCAAACCCCTGAACGTTGTAATCCAAGTAATCCATAAAATCCAGATTGGTGGTTGCTGGATCCTTTCCCACGCGGCAACCCACACCCTTCCATTTCGACCAATCACAGCCCCAGATCCCAACTCGTGCATCTCCCATCCCCACTCTTTCTCACCACCATGCCCTTCCGCCTCAACGTTCATCAGCCGCGACCTTCTGGATACGCAATAGTTTTCGGCACGTTTTCCCCCATGTCGCCTATATAAGCCATGGGGCATGCGCGCCTCATGGCATTGTGCACCACCGTTTTCCTCTGCACCGCTTTCACCTTGTTTCAATCGCTTGATTGGGTCGATATGCGTTCTTTAGTTACTCTTGCGTTGAGCTCGGGTGTTGTAGCGCTGAATGCGACGGTGGATTTGAGATGGCATGCCCCGAAGAAGAGCTGGATCAATGATTTGGAAAAGGTTTTGAATGGCACGGGCACGAATGGATTTGTGTTCAATAGCTCGCAGCTGCCGCAGGGGGTGCAGTATGGGACTTATAATTGGTGCAATATGCCGCATGTTAGGGCGCAGGAGTATCCGAGGGCGAGTGAGGGGTACCAATTGGTATATGTTGAAGTGTAAGTCTGTCCTGTTTTTGGAGGAGTGGCTGGAGGCTGATGTCGATAAGGATTCATCGCCATCATAAGAGGACACCATATGCGTCCAACACCTTTCCGAAAGAGTCGTATGGATGGCAGTGTGATAATCAAGGGTTGTTTTATTATGGCGAACCACTCGAGCCAGCTGGCAACAGTTCAGCATCAGCGTACTGGAGCGTCTACACAAACGACGTCAACCCGTTCGCTCAATCCGGGTTCAACGGCAGCTGTCAATTCCCCCAAATCACCCGCGAAGGCCTCGACGATTCCTGGCAACACGGGAAAGATCTCTACGGCGTATATCACGACCTCCTCGGCTTCTTACCCAGCAACCTCAGCTCCAAAGTCACCTACCGCGTCACCAACAACCAAATCACATCGCAAGTCGCTGGCATGCTTATCGACGGCATGTACGCCCCCAGCAAAACCACCCCCCTCCGCATCCAACCCACGAACGTCGACTCCCTCGAACCCCAATACCCTTGCCCAAAAGGCTCCTCCCTCTACAGTTCCTACGGCGTCAGCAGCACAGCATCAAACTGGACCGCACATCTAACTGCCGCTAAGCCCCTTTTCGCCTCCCTCGACGCCATCTCCGGCGTCGCGAGCGATTCAACAGACTGGCACAAGTCCTTCGACCACTACTACGACAACCTCTCAGCGCGCCAATGCCACGCTAAGCCACTGCCATGCAGCATCAACGACACGTCTGCGTGTGTCACGCAGGCGCAGGCAGATACCGTGTATCGCCTCGGCCAATATGAATACTCGTTCATCCACCGCGATTCCCCGCTGTCGCTGCAAGCTGCCACCGCGTCGTATGGCGTGTGGCTAGCTGAACTCGCGCAGAACATTCGCGACGCGGTATCTGGAGGTTCGCCGATTATCTACCGGCATAATGTCGCGCATGACGGGTCTGTCTCGCGCCTGCTGAGTATCCTGCAGATTGAGCAGATGGTGTGGGTGGGCATGGGGAGTGAGGTCGTGTTTGAGATTTACACGAAGAAGGGGTATGGTGTGGAGGGTTCAAAGAGGTATATTAGGATTCTGTGGGGTGGACAGGTGCTGAGGAGTAGTAATCCGAGTCTGGGAAAAGTGGATATGTTGGATGTTGAGGTGTTTCTGGCATATGTGGATGGACTGGTAGGGAAGAGGGCGGGGAAGATTCTGGAGTTGTGTAAGGCTTGATAGAGACATGACGATAATTGATGAGGCCATTGTTTCAATGGCAGAAAGCCTCAGGGCAAAAAACGATTGTGTAAACAATAGCTAGTCACGTGCACTTGAACTTTTGATGCACACTCACACAGTGTATTTCTAGGAACGTGGGGACGAGTACGGACTGAAGAGTAGCGATAGTGACACATCTCTCGCTGCCGATAGTGAGCAAAGCGGCAGTGCTTACTCGCCGAACAAGATCCCGCATACAGATAATCGTTCACCGGTCAGTATCTCGCAGACCGCCGAATCCGATGAAGCATGGCCCCGACCATGGCTTTGGCATTGGAGTGTCGACGCCTTGGGTATGGAAGTAAGCTGATTTGTGCTCCTATTCGACGCCAACAAGCCAATGCACAGCTTCGCAGACTGCTCATAGAGTCTTTCGCGCACAGACCCGTCTTTTACACGATACGCCGTGGGGATCCCGCCTTGAAAAGGCTCAGACATGGGTTGCATGCAGCGATTCTGCGGAACCCAGATCTTCTCCCTTGGCGATGAAAACGTGGAGGCGGGGATCTTGACTTGCGATCTTACACGCAAAGTCGGCTGCTACGACGGTGCTAGTGACATTCCACTCCTTCCAAGTAAGCTTATTCTTGGACGCAGAGCCGCACTGCCCGTTCGAAGGCGCTTCTTTGTACGCCGATTTAGCACAAGCGAAGTTTTTTTCATTTTTTTCTGATGCTGTCAGCAGGCTCTTGTTGCGCTCGGACTTTCCTGCAAGACAGGATGCGGGTGATCGTTGTTGGTGGACTCGAGGTATGGGTGTAGGAACCGCACATATGATAGGCGAGGGACGTTCTTAGCTCATGCACGCGACATCTAGGGAAAGATACCAGGACTAGCGAACGGTGCTAAGCAACAATGCAACGGACATGTATGGCGTTTTGACGTCCAATATCAGCTGCCATATCTCAGCGAGTAAGGGCTTGCTTTGTCCTTCAAAGCTTCATGCCTGGTGTAGCGATCATAATACTTGGAGGGAATTCTGTGTATGTTTAAGCTCTTAGGTTTAGTATCCCGAAGAGCGAACTTCCGTGCCGTTTGTCGTGATCAAGTAGGGAACGCTCACGCGCCTGTGGTTGCCGACGTACATACCGGGTAAGCATGCAAACGAAGCCCCATTGCAGGCGCTGCGGTAGAGATAACCTGGGTGATGAATTCCGAGAACCCGTTTCCAGTTACACCCGTCGCGTAAGTATTGACATGACCAAGGATTCTAGGATTAGAGCGCAAGGAAGAAGGGATGGAGGACGAGGTAAGGACACGGGCCATGCGGGGAAGGATGACAGGTCGCTTTTCCTATACCGTTCCCACGACACTGCCCCCGCCCTCATACGCGCTCATTGGACAACTTGATGCATTTCAGAACAAAAACGTCGCCTTATGCTTGCATCAATCCCGCAGACCGCATATCAGCAGATTGTGCCAGGGTCAAGCGACTGTAGGGCCGCATCCGCAGCAGTAATACGCTTCGAGGACAAGCTGGACAAGCCATCGCCCTCCACGAAGCCACGATGATTATACTTGTGTGGCTTTCGTGGCGCCCGAGGCATCTATATGATAGTCAGTAGAACACAGAGCTCAAGGTTGGTGAAAATACCACACGCCCAGTTCCTATCCATCAAATCATTTCTCGTCGCGTCCTTCGTGTATCAATTCACGCGCATAGAATGAGCACATCGCGCTGCAACCCTCATACCATTTCCCCATCTGATCAAAGTCAAGTCGCACGAACCTGTCTGGCGGCTCTTTCTGCGTTACTTTCTTACCCTGTGTTCTGTGCAACGTTGCGTTCAAGGGCTCACCAATTCCTGCATCCCTCGTTACATGGGCTGTACGCGAGGTCCGAAATACGGCTTATCCTACCACATAGGATAGAAGATACTCACATCTTGTTGGCCACAAACGCACAACTCTCTGAGCTGGTCGACGACATCTCGGCCGCGTGTGGTCTTGTCAAGTGACGAAGCTACTCTTTCCTCTTACAACCCTTCTTGAACATCACGGACAACCTGTGGGGAATCACTGCGCTTACTCATTCACGGCCCGTGCAAGTATTCTGTGGCAGTACCACCACTGCATGAGCAAGCGGTTCCCTTGGCGCGATCATCGTCGTCCATATTCACCTTTCGCAAAAGACCCCCTCAATTTGAGAGCCGACTCCATGTGAGCGACTATTATTTTACGGCAACTCAACCTCGGGCTATCATATTCGACAAGATGGCGGGGACCCATCACATTTTGACGCCTCCGCAACTTAGAGCCATTGAGATATGCACACGGACTATGTCAGTTCTCTCGCTCTTAGGATCGTGCTACATCATTAGTAGTTTCCTCTATTTCGCATTCTATCGGAAGCGTAAGTGACATTTTGCGTACATTCTAAGACGATGTACTAACCATGCCATAGCAATCAATCGGCTCGTCTTCTATGCAACATGGGGCAACATCCTAGCCAACGTTGCGACGCTCATATCAACTTCAGGCATCCCCACTGGTGGACAGAGCCTGAATGCACTTTGCGAGTTCCAAGGTGTGCTAATACAATGGTTCTTGATGGCTGACTCATTTTGGGTGGGTACATCGAACGCATGTTTTAACTAGACTACCTATGCTAAAATATTATTAGGTGTTCTGCATGGCAACCAACGTCTTCTTGGTCTTTTGGCGCGGCTATGACGCCATACAGCTGCGGCATTTGGAGAAATGGTATCTTCTTCTTGCCTATGGCGTACCTGCAATTCCGCCTCTCGTCTATGTCGTCTTGGACCATGTATGGAAGACGCCCATTATGGGTCCTGCAACTGTAAGTCACTTTATGGACTTCTGAGAGACTTTTTCTAACTGTATAGCTCTGGTGTTGGGTCGCTTCAGACTATGACTGGATGCGCATCGCTCTCTTCTATGGGCCTGTGTGGTGAGTACTGATCAATATGGGTGTGATGCGAAGCTGATTTATCATAGGTTGATCGTGTCAGCTACTATGGCAATCTACATTGCCACTGGTATCAAGATTGTCAGACGAGGAGCACTACTAAGGTTCTTTGTGAAAGGATCGCAGCAAAAGTCTCAGGACTCAACAATAGCAGTAGAGGCTGTCACAGATCCCTTCGTGTCTGGAAAGAACATTATCGTGACGACACAGATTGAACACGACGTCCACCATCATGATCTCGGCTCACGACACGCGTTGTCTGAAGTCGATCACGCGTCTCTAAGCTCTTACTCCAGCACGAAAAACTTGTCAAAGCCAGTACCACGAGACGAGATCGAGATAAGGTACTCAGACCAGAACCGCGCATCGCTTACCTCTCGCGACCTGAGACCCTCTCCCGGCATCCGCGTATCCCCCTACCTCCACGACGAAGACACCAGCGCCGGCTACAGAGCAACAGTCTTCGCCACAAACCCCCCCTCAGAAACCGCCGCCCTCCCACCCGGCTCCTTCTCCGCCGCAACACACCAAAACTCGCACATCAAGCGCGCAGCCGGCAACGCCGCCGCCCTCGCCTACCTCAAAGTCGCATTCCTGATGTTCATCGCGCTCATCGTCGTCTGGGTGCCCAGCTCCGTAAACCGCCTCGACCAATTCATGCACCACAACAAAGCCAACTTCCCCCTGAGCTTGATCTCCGCCATCGTCCTGCCCATGCAGGGCACCTGGAACGCCACGATATACATATACACGACGCAAGCGGAGTACTGGCGCGCGTATGCCATCATACGCAGTAAGATTACGGGAAAAGCGGCGCCGTATCGCCCTCGGCGGGAGCACTGGCAGAAGGACACGTTGACGAGCTCGTCGGCTACCAGGGACACTGACCCGGAGATTCAGCTGGAAGAGGGGCTTAAGCAAGGAGATGATCTGCGCCATTCCGAGTCGCTAAGGGACGGGAGTATCAGCTCCGCCGGCTTGCGATAAGAGTGCGGGCGGTGCTCCGCATTTTGTACGACTGTTGCAGTATGTGGGTGTGACGATGGGGTTGTGCCTTGCGTCGCTGTGAGCGCGATCTGGCTTGGCGGTTGTTTTCCTCAAATTTCTAATTTTTTTTTTTCCTCATTTCTATTTTCATTTGTATTCCCTAGTGCTTTGCGCACACTTCTTTGGATCTACATGCGATTCTTGGCTTTGGGTTACTTGTGGCGTTTGTGGATATGGCTGCGAGATACCCCGGGTACATAGATTTGGCGTTCAACGGGCCATGTTTAGGAATAGGGGATGTATGATAATGACATGATTATGCGTTTCTGATTGAACCTATCTCTCGTATTAAACCTTCCCATCATAGTCAGAACCGGCAGTAATACATACACTGACCAAGGGCACCAGGCAGCGGCAAGATTCGTGCCCACTCGCACCTACACAATGTGAGCGAATAGTTTGTAGAGGTATACCTATTACAAGTATTTAGAGTAGCCTGGATGTATACGCAGCTATAAGCTTCTCTACGTGAATTTCACAGAGATCTTTGAAACTATACAGGATACCTCTTCACCTTTTCTCGTTAGGAAAGGGCAGCCAGACATTTTACCTACACTTGGAGAGGCTAAAAACCAAGAGCCAAAAACATCTACTGCTCAAAACCACTTCCGCGTCTCAAGTTTCTGCCAGAACCGGCCTTTTTCCATCTCCTCCCTTGGTCCAGTAAACTGCAGCACTTGATCGTCACTGCCTATCCTGACGTCCAAGTCAAATATGTCACTCGCTGGCCGTCGTTCGTCCTTCATACCAAGGCAGAAGCTCGCCCGCACTCTCACGCCATTTGGTCTGCTCTTCGCGATCGGGCTCAGATAGGGGCCAATATCTCGGGCAACACGATAAGCCAGTGCAGATGGAGAGAAGCTCGTCTTGAGCGCGACAGCCCACCTATTGAAATCCTGCTGCGGGGCAAATCGTGTCTGAAAAGCTGGAAAATGTTCCTGCTTCGACCGGTGCGTCTGACATCGGGCTTCGTGGTGGGGTGACAACGACCAACGCAGTCGACGCGGGTGATCGCGAGTCTTTCCAGTAGTTGATAATCTCGGTGTCTCGGTAAGATCCTTCGTGCCAAGTGAGCAGCCAGAAAGACATGACAAGTTGCTTGAGATTATCGAATTGACGGAGAGAGGTGAGAAGTGGGGCTGTAATGGGTGTTGCTTGCGACAATATTGGACATCCATTGTATCCGCATATCTTGAGCTCCTCCACTTGACTTGCGTGGTGCAGCGCTATTGTTTGGAGCAGAGGGACATGTGCTGGCCAGCCATATTCCGGTTCGAATTCGAAGGTCTTTAGCATGTGGCAACCTCGCCTGTATGATTCGAGCATGCCTCCATAGTCTTCTTCCTCCAGGTTCTCTATCTCATCCCAGCTGGAGCCTTGATCTAATGCTTTCAAGTTTCTACCCTGAGCACCCCATGTATTTCCGATCGGGTACGAGACGCCAATCATGACAATCTTCTTGAGTGGACACCAATGTAGGGCGCGAAGAACCTCACGCTTTTCATCACGTGGCACACCACCTTCAATCTTGATGCTCTCGATCCGTCTCATATGTGGCACAAACTCTGCGATGAAACGTCGCCTTCGAAAACAGTCGTGCATCTCATCGAGAGTGTGGCTGCCGTCCGTCATCGCTTCTCCATGGCCTTCGTACTGCGCATCGACACGCAGATCGATCAGCATATTCGCCAGGTGTGCGATAAGTCTTCCTGTGCGAGCCCGTAGCTCGATAGACGGCCTGAGATGACTGTAGAACTTGTCCATCGGCCACGCTAGACATTGCAGCTTTTGATGGTACTCCATAAACTCAAGGAAAGTATCTTCGAAGAGAAAGACGTCGCCGGGAAGCATTGTTTGCTGCAGCACAGCATTGCGAAATTGGAATGCGCGCAGATGCGGGAACCTCAAGGTGGCAAGGGATTTCAGCATAGCTGCAGAGTCATCGTTGACATCGGATTCGTCGCGACGCCACAGCACCCAGTCTAGATTGAGACTTGTCAATGTTGGAGCTGACATTTCGAGTAGCCATCGCATGGGAACAAGTGCAGCAGACGCGCTCGAAGACTGGTCGCTAAGAAGCAACTCCTGTTGCGCCGCCACAAACTGTTCAATCTGTGAAAGCTCCTGCCACACGGTGTCATCGTATGCTTTGGCTTGTGCCATGAGCTCAGCATCCGAGAAACGATGAAATTCCTCGGACATGCCAATGCCAGAAAATTGAACGGTGGTAGGTGCCCAGTTTCCTGAGCCATCGTGCATTTGATAGTACATGCCACCACGCGTGGGTCTAAACTCCAGAAAGCGCAAGTCTTTTGGGCTGGAGAGTAAGGATGAGGCATCTACTCGTCGTATTCGAAGTGACTCGAGTCCAGTCAGCCGATGTGAGGACAATGAGCGCATGAGATTAGCAGACAGGCAGCAGTTCTCCAGCCATAGCTTGCGAAGAGACACCTGTCGTGTCCGATTTTGATCCAGGAAGCCAGCCACCAGTAGACTTGCAAGGTTCATGTGGCCATGTACAATGCGAAGTGTATGAACATTGACCAAATTGCGTATAGCCAGCTTCAGCAGGGCGTGAAGGCGCGGATCTCGCGAGAGAGTTTCGCTGTGGAAATGTATTCGAGGGAGTTCGTCGAATATGTTGGGGGTGGGCAGGTGGCAGCGGTGCGTCAGGGTACGAACTTTGGCAGCAACAATAGGGTTCCTGCAGAGGTTAGATTGTGTAAGTCGCGACGACTGGAGAACCTACGTTGCGAGTATAAAGAGCTTCCCTATGATCGGACCGTCATCATGCTCGTCTGACTGACCTGTCCCTCGACTCTCCTCTATCGTAGGCTCAGGGTGCAAGTCTGAGTGTAGTCTCCACCGATCCACCAGGCAAACATTCTCCCATAGCACGTCGGTTGCATGGCGATAGAGCGTGGACGAGACGAGGCTGGCGCTCTTCACCGCGGGAGTGGGCAGGTAGGAGACGATGAGCTGTAAGAGCTCCTCCGGGAGTGATTCGAGCTGTTGCATACGTCAGGACCCGTCATCACGCGCGGTAGTGTGCATGTTTAAGACCTAATGACAGTGCGCAGGTGTGTAATCAGGCATTCGTGATTGCACATGGACGGGGTCAGAGTAGGAAAATACATACTGACAGCACACGGTTGGTGGGGGGCTCTTCGCCTGGTAGCCAGAGTATGTGCAGTGATTCACGCATTGGGGTAGAGGTCGCATAGAGCAATTCAATGCATTACCACGACAATCAGCTGCGAATGTTCAGTGTCGCGTTCGCCATCTTGGAACGACGCCATTCAGCCCCACTCCTTCCCCGCTATGAGCCCATCCCTGCTCGCATCCCGCCCCCTGTTTGCCCGAACACCTAACCAGCCTTCCGTTCGACGCTCCTGAGATTCACTCCAATGCATCTGCGCCCTCCTTCACTGATAAATCCTCTACTTTCCGACTCCTAATCATTCGGTACATGCCGATGCTTGGCTCTACATCTTTGAACCCGTACTGTGGATACAGTTTCTGTCCCGCCGGTTCAGCAACCAAGCTCACGTACGCATCAGGCGCATGTTTGTCGACATGGTCTACCAGCGATTGCATTATGCGCTTGCCTAGGCCTTTGCGCTGGTGGTCCGGATGCACGGCGATGTCAACGCAGATCAGAAACAAGCTTTTGTCCCCCACCAAACGGCCCATTGCGACAGCTGTCTGATCTGCCCCCGGCGTCGTATCGTCGATCATGTGTCGCTGCTCATAGGCCAGGAACCCTACGAAGGAGTTTTCGAGTGCTTTTGGGACTGCATCCATGGGTGGTGGGGTCAGGCCAGCAAGTTTTCGTAGGTCATGATAGACTTGTGCCGTCGGTATGCCTTCGAGGATAACGTAGCCAGATTGGGACATGATGCTTGCAGCGAGATTGAAGTGTTGTTGACCTGATAGATGTCTTGCTCATTTCGCGTGAAGAACTACTGTGGACGCCTAAGCGCTACTCGGACTTGGAGCGGAGTTCAGCATCATACTAAGCATCTGAACGCCGAAAAACGAAGAACGGACCAAATGCTCTCTCAAGTTGCAAGGAAATCCGAAACACTGATGCAGCAAGACTGCTACGGTAATCGCATAGACTGGAAAACACTGTCCTACAAAGCTGCAATTACTACGAGTTTCTCAAATATGACCAAGGTAGGCAAGAGGACGGATTTATGGGAGGCCATCTGGAAGACGGGTATCAGCACAAGAAAGAGCGAGGCGATTATAGCCGTCATCATCTGCCACCTCAGAGACGGCCCCATCCGACCTGCATCAACTTTGAATCAAATACAATGGAGCCAATCTTGCAAGGGTCGAGCATGTCCGAGGTGTAAGACTGAACCATTCATGTATGTTTCAGTGTATCACGCACTCAGCCGCCTGATGCACTACCTCAACAGCCGCCTAGAACTACCTAGGGTTATAAATCAAGAACAGCAGGAGATCGCTGCCTCATTAAAAGTCTTCGGCTCGCCCGATCCCATACCTACTCAGGCGTGGCTTCGACATGGGCAGCACGACAAGTTACACCGCACATCCCATCACGAACTCCACCATAGCGCGAACGCATTAGTGGACAAGGCCAACTCCACCCATGGACCATCACATCTCGCCTCTTTACCCCAATCTCGCTCCTAGCCCATCACAACCCTCTACCATTTATCCACCCCCGCATCCCTGCACAAGCATCTACCTAGGTACCTTCCAAGATCTCGGCACCTTACCAAATCTCCCCTCTCACGAAGCCACATGCATTTCATTCCCACATGCAACACCAATAACAGCGGCGCCACGCGCCAAATACCCACGTTGCCGGCCGCGAACCAGTCACAAGCCACACGACACCCTTGCTACGGGATTGCCGCTAGCGCGGGTGTTCGACAGCCAACGAACCGGGCCACACCCGCACCTAACAGGCAGGTCGGCATGCGGTTGCAAGCTGCATGATGTGTGCACGCGAAAGGGGCAGAGGAGGTGTTTGTGGCAGGTGGATATGCGGTTCTGTGGTTGTATGCAACGATGCGGCGAATGGGAATGCTGCATCGTTGCATGATGTGCTGCATGGGTGGAGGGGGAGGAGATCATAGGGTAGATGTGAGAGAGAGAGTAGGGTGAGAGATCGGGGCGCGCGTGGTAGGCGGGAGGGGAGTGTTGCGTTTGTAAATGCCCAGGTGTGTATAAATGCGTTGCGAGGGCGCTGCGTTGGGAGAATCGTTTGGACAGCCAAGTTGAACCAACGCTCGCGACAAGTATTTCAACTGAGATAACACTCTCCAAGATGGGATTCTATCATCTTCTGGTCATGGCGGCGTGTGCTATGCTTGTGGTTGAGAGTGCGCCGACGAAGAGGCAGGCAGCTGGTGTGCCGGACTATGTGCTCAAGTATGGTAAGTCAGTGTTTGATATCGAGTACTACATACATACACCTCTAAAATACTCGCCCCTTATTGTCTTGTGCACGACTAAACACCTACAGCACCTGTCGTATACCTCCACTCCGAAGACCCATACATGCCCACCGACCTGCAAGTCTTCCTCAACAACACCACGCCCCGCGTAGCCTTCGCCGAAGTCCCCGGCCCATCCAAGCCCCTGACATTGGAGAATGTAAACCAGCTCGGCGACACCGTCTACCTAACCTCCAACGACGACGTGACCAAAGACCCTACCTGGATCAAGGGCACAAGACCCGACGCGAACGGCAAAACCAACGGCGCCGTCACTGCCGCCGTGATCGTCACAGGAACAAGGGGAATGGCAACGTCGATGCGTTTTACATGTATTTCTACGCATACAACTACGGCGGCGAAGATGCTTGGTTGGGAATGCGTTGAAATTTTGGTACTTCATCCCCATTCCAAACCCTACCCTTTCCCCTATAACCTCCCTAACTAACTCCCCAAAGGAAACCACGTCGGCGACTGGGAACACGTAATGATCCGCTTTGCCTCTGGCGTCCCGCAAGCAGTATGGTACTCGCAACACGCCAACGGGCAAGCCTTCACCTACCCAACCGTCGAAAAGACCTCCTCGGGCCGGCCCGTAGCGTATTCCGCCCGCGGCTCGCATGCAAACTACGCGATCCCAGGCACGCACGACCACACGATCCCGAACCTCAACTTGCCGGGTGGCGTGCTGGAAGACTACACGGACCGCGGCGTGTACTGGGACCCGTTGCTGTCCGCGTACTTCTACGCGTACGATGCGGGGAGGAATGCGTTCACGCCGTATGAAGACGGTACGCCGACGAATTGGCTGGGGTTTAAGGGGCGGTGGGGCGACCAGGAGTATCCGACGAGCGATGCGAGGCAGGTGAAGCTGTTTGGGCAGGCCAAGTTTGCGAGTGGGCCGACGGGGCCGGCGGATAAGCAGTTGAATCGGAGCAATGTGTGCCCGGATAATGGGAATATGTGTATTGTGAGGAGGATATTGGTGCCGAGGGGAGTGGAGGGGGAGGAAGAGTAGAAATGATACCCGTGGATGGATTGAGTATACAGAGAGGGATAATTGTAATGTGTATATTTGGACGTTGGACTGGAAGCATGTGACGAAACGCAATGGGGAATCAAAGACTATGTACTAGACGGATGGGAGAATGATAGCTTACGCTGGCGCTGAAGCATCCTCGCCATTCTCGCCTCCGCTTCCTCCGGTGAGACTTGCCATGAACTCCTGGTATCGGAACACTTCGCCTCTGCCTAGCCCCTTGCCGCCTTTGCCGAACGCTCTCCGTCCACTGAAGCCTTCGACGACCATGTCGATTTCGCGCTCCGTCAGTTTGCGCTCTCCAGGCTCTGGTGCAGTATGTAGTAGGGCGTCCTTCAGTTCGGCGAGATCGATCTGGCCGTCGTCTCCATCGTCGAAAGCTTCGAATGCTGCACTCAGCTCGCTCGAACGCGATAGGCCACTGAGTAGGTCTGACAGTGTGTTCAAGAAGGTGGCGAGATTGATTGATTGCGCGCCGTTGAAGTATGATGCAAGTGTCGACGGCGTAGCAGAGAGTCCGAGCTGCGACAGCATGTCGGCAACATCCGCCGAGTTAACATGTCCATCGTTATCGCGGTCCATGACACTGAAACACTCGCGCATGCTGTGTAGAAGCGGCGGGGGAACTCTCGACAGCGCATCACTAGTGACTGTCCGTGTCAAGGGCGCCGGACGTGTTGCTAATGGTGCTGGTCTCTCTACCGGCCTCTCGTAAGGGGTGAACTTCTCGACGGGTGCAAGCTTTTCGGGTACGATGCCCTGGTACGACGACGCTCTTTCAACGGGCGCCAGCTTCTCCGACACCAGCCTTTCGTACGACGACGACCTCTCCACCAGTGGCGGGGTGATGCTGTCTCGTCCGCCGTCGAATTTCGCAGCCAGCGATGCTGTGCTCAGCGGCCGGACGGTGGCTATGGTCGAGGAAGAGGAGTTGCGCGTGGGCGAAGGGATGTTCCGTGAGGGCGAAGCGGGCACATCTGCCGTGTTCGTGGTGCCTCGCGTGTTCAGCCACGAGGGGGGGTTTTGCGATGCATTGCTTGTTGTTGACTGTCGCAGGTTGGCTTGTGAGGGCGTCGTTGGCGTCTCCTTTGGCTTGAGCGGCGAGCTGTTGGGTGTCGACGGCCGGACTGTGGAGGGTGAGCTTTCGCGTATGGATCCCGGCCTGCGGAAGGGCGACTGTCGCGGACTGTTGAAGGAGAGAGGGGAAGGTTTGTATGGGGTCGGTGTTGTTGACTGGTTGGCATTAGCTGTGCGAGACGTAGAGTCCTCTGGGTTGGCATACCATGGTTGCGACGCGGGGTTGTGGTCTCGGCGGAGTCCAAACGTGCAGTGGTGATGTCGTGTTTGGGGGGTGTTGACGATGGCGGCTGCCCAGCAACGGCTGCAAACACGGCAAACATTCACCGGCGGTGATTCAGTACCTGCAGATCTATCGATAAGCCTCCGCGTTCAGGGTCCAGCAGCCGCCGACCCTGCAGGCGTCGTATTCGCTATGCGTACGCGCCGCAACAGCACATGGACTGGTGCCGCGCACCTCACCACGCCTGGCCGACCGCTCACAGTGCTCTGATCCGCTATTGCGATTGCATGTCCTGTACGAGAAAGCACCATCCCACCACCCATCCCACCATTCAAACGCGACGCGACCCGCCATGCCCCTGGCGGACGCCCTAGCGTAGTTCGGTCCCGCCGATCGCACGGAATGCTTGAGTCGCCAGACTCGCTGCGAAGATGGAAACAATCGCTCACGCCGCCATGCAAGTGAGTGCCCAGAGGCCGCCGCCGCCGTCTTCGTCGTCGAATCCACCGCCCTCGGCCTCGCAGAACCAGCCGTCGGTGCCGCTGCAGCGCCAACCCTCCTTCTCGTCCTTTCCCTCCTCGCGATCGCCATCCTCGGTCTCTCTCCGCAATGACCGCAAAGCAAAGTCGCCCGTCCCGCCCCTGCTGCGCGAGCAGCTGCTGCGGGAAGATGTAGACTCCGAGTACGAATCGCAGGCGTCGTCACAGCATTCTGTCGCCGACTCCCCGCACAAATCCAGCAGCCGACTGCGCTCACAGTACCCGTCCGATGCCATTGAGAAACATGTCGAGTACATTCTGGTCGCCTCGTTCGACATCGATCGGGGCTCCATCATGGAGCACCAGTATCCCGCTGCCATCAGTGGCGACGAAACCATGTTGGCAGAGCTAATGCTGCCCGATCAGGCCCACATGCGCAACCAGGACTGGACCATATTCTTCCTGCACAAGGACACGACGGCCGAAGAGGAGGAGCGCGAAGAGAGGAGAGAGCGCCGGCGCAAGCGAAGAAGGCGGAAGGAGGGTCTGGACGACGACGACACCACAGCCGGAGACGAGCTCGAGGGGGCTGACGACGCCGAAGAAGACGACTACGATACCGAGAGCGAGGACGAGCCGGATCCAGACGGCCCACCGCTAGTCTATGTTCTGAACCTGGTGAACACCAAGCTGGACACTACAGTGAAGAGGTACGGCAGACGGTGCAATCAACTACCGTGATACTGACACAACGCAGAGGATCCATCGTCAAGGCAATGGCAATATGCACGCGCCACTCCTTCCTGCACATATACAAGCCACTTTTGCTCCTAGCGCTAGAGGAGTACTTCCGGGCGCCCGTTGTAGAGACCCTCGCCTCTCTATATCATGCTTTGAACGCCATGGACTTGTCTCTACTTCCCAAGTTGTCCTTGTTGGAGAACTTTGTGCTCTCCGCAAGTGACGCCAAGGATATGTTCATCGAGAAGTTTGAGCAGATGGTGCGGCAGCGAAAGAGGCTCGATGCTGAGCGAGACTCCATGGAGGAATCATCCGACTCTCTAACCAGGCGAAAGAAGACGTATGCCCTTCCCAGGGACACACACGAGTTCGAGTCTAAGATCAACTACAATGGCATACCTGTGCCGGTCAAGATACCGACGGCCCTGAGCGCAGAAACCGTTGGCGACTTTTCTCTGATCAAACTTATTCAGACCTTCTCCACGCCTCATGCTCAACAACCCCAGCCATTCGCACTGCATCCCCATCTTACGACGAATGGTGCCTACACTCACCCCATCATTGTGCTTGTTAATGCTCTCCTCACGCAGAAGCGCATCATCTTTCTTGGGCACAATCGCCCTTCTGGTGAAGTAGCTGAAGCTGTACTTGCAGCATGCGCCCTAGCCTCTGGTGGCATTCTCCGGGGCTTCGTCCGCCACGCTTTCCCTTACACCGATCTCACAAAGGTCGATGACCTCCTGAAAGTACCAGGCTTCATTGCCGGAGTCACCAACCCCGCCTTCTCCTACAAGCCCGAATGGTGGGACCTCCTCTGTGATCTCCCAACCGGACGCATGAAGATCAGCAACCGCATCGAAGCCGCAGCACCAACCGAAGGCTCACTCTTCTTCCAACAACAAGGCATCAACATCAACGGCGCAGGCGGCTCAACAGCCGCAGAAAACAAATCCGGCATCGACTCTACAGGAGACCATGCCTTCATGGACAGTCTCCTCCTCGCCATCGCCAACCGCCACGGCGAGAACGCAATCCGCGCCAAGTGGCGCTCCTGGGTCCTCAAATTCACCCGCATCGCCGCCGCTTTCGAAGAAACCGTCTACGGCGCGTCAGCCCTGTACATAGGCACGCACGACTACGACGCCGGCGCATACGGCGTCTCGGGCCACGGCTACGTCTGGCCCGACGAGGGCTCGCGCATGCGCGAACTCGCTGTCAACGTCCACCGCATCGAGGGCTGGCGCACGACGCGAAGCTACTATAGTTGTGTGCAGGACCTTGCGCGCAGCTGGAGTAAGCGGCCCGTAAGGGGCTTGGACTTTGCGCACCAGCACGATAAGCTGCGCACGCTCAAACTTACGCATGACGCCAGTGCGGCGATTTACCTCGCGTTCGCGCGCTGTATCGAAGAAGCTGGCGGTTCCACAGTGACGACCGACAACGACTCCGAGTCCCTGACGCTCGCCAACGATCCGGAGCGTAAGCCTGGGCCGCAGTTACAGTACGACACGATTCTGCAGCTGCTGTGCGTCATGCCGGATAGTAATGCCGGTTTGTTTTACTTGAGCTTGGGGCTTTTCCACCCGCGCCTGGATGTCAGATTGGCGGTGGTCAAGCTGCTGGAGAGGATCATGGATCATCCGGCAGGACGGCTGTTGTGGGGGAATCTGGGCCGGTTTGCGAAGTTGGCGTTTTTCAGGGTTAAGAGGGAGGAGGGACAGCAGCCTAGGTGAGTCGAGGGTGTTTCTATGAATTGGTATGACTATGTATGTATGCAGTGTAGTTTGTTGATATGCATGCCCGATTTCTGCTGTTCACGAGGAGAAGGGGGCTTTTGACAGATATTTTGATAACATACATTCATGTATGCAGGATCATTGAATCATTCAATTTTTGAGAAAGACCCTACGCTTTCATATCCGTTACAAAAGATTAAGTTCTCGCATGAAGGACGTTGTTCGTCGTGGTAGACAGCCATGAGGCGTTCGCCCTCGACCAAAGCAGTTTAGCCGCCCCAGAGTCCAGCCTGCAATGTATCAGCCGGATACGTCATGCGTTCCCGTCCTTGTCCACGCGACGCGATCATCACTTCCTTGTTGTCAGTATCTCGTGATAAGGTATACTTTCCAAATCACCATGTCTCAAGTCCCTTTGGCATTATCCACACCTCTCAGCCGGTGCCAACATGAACGACCCCGGCCTCCATGAGTCCGCCAACGAAGCGGCGCAGGATGTAGAAAAGAACGAGACACAGGCGGAGCAGGATGAACAGGAGTTTTTGGACCCGAGGTTCGTTGATTGGGGAGTTTGCGTTGGTTATTGAGCTGAAGATTGTAGTTTGTGGTGGTTTGCGTCAACCGCGTGTCCCCTGATTGCAGGTACATTCGGACCCATGGCCAACGCTTTCAGTATATGTGCGCTGGTAGAGACGTGGCGAGTGCACATACCCCAAGGATCAGATGAAGGCCATGGCGAAAGAGTTGAGGACCCTAAGTGGCTTATCGCAGTCAACTCGATATCGCTAGTCTTTGCTCTGACGGCGAATATGTCTTTGCTGCTTAACATGGCGCGCAGGCTCTCCTTTGCAATTGCGCAACCGATTACTATCCTTGGGTGGTATCTTTCATCAGCCCTGTTGATTGCGCTGGTTATAGTGGCTTCGCTGCCCGTGTTCGAGATCCAGCCGAGGCAAGAGCATGCTTTGAGCCAGGCGTACTATTACGGGATCATTGCAGCTGCGCTCTACTTCATTGTGGCGAGCTTGATGGCTTTCACCGCGTATGGTGCTTGGAGAGGACACTACTCAAAAGACTTCCAATTGACACCAAGCCAAAGAACTCTGATGCTGCAGACTATCGGCTTCATGGTCTATCTACTACTAGGTGCGCTGGTCTTTTGCAAAGTGGAAGGCTGGCAGTTCCTCGATGCCGTATTTTGGGCGGACTTCACACTCTTGACCGTGGGTATCGGTGGCGAATTCGTACCGAAGACACACACAGGCCGCTCTTTGCTATTTCCATACGCTATTGGGGGTTTGATCATGGTTGGTCTGGTCATCGGCTCAGTCAGGAGCTTAATCCTTGAGCACGGGAAGCAGAAAATGTCCGCTCGATTCGTTGAGCTCAAACGCCAGAAAGTGCTATCAAGCATTGACCAAGATGAGAGAACGATCACGCTTGGTTGGTTCGAGAAGATCAAATTCTCCCAAAAGGGCTTGTCCGAGCTACAGCGAAGAGAACAAGAATTTCACGTGATGCGACGGGTGCACGAACTTTCAGAGCGGAAGAGGAGGTACGCCGCGCTCGCCACGTCAACTACTGCAGCCATGGTTTTATGGCTTGTCGGCGCTGTGGTCTTCATGCAGGCCGAGAAGCCTCAAGGGTTTTCTTATTTCGCGTGGCTGTATTTTTCCTACACATCGCTTTTGACGATTGGGTATGGGGATCTCGTCCCATTCTCGAATTCAGGCAAAGCCTTCTTCGTGTTCTGGAGTCTCCTGGCTGTGCCAACGCTCACTGTGCTTATTAGCAACATGGGAGATACCATTATCCAAGGCTTCAAGGACTTCACTATATGGATCGGTTCTTTGACCGTTCTTCCCGATGAGAACGGCCTGGCCTCGGCACTCAAAGTCGGTATGAAGAGAATGAGGACGGGAAAAGGGTTGAAAGAGAAGGACATTGATCGTAAGGGGGAATCTGGCACAGGAGAACAGCGCGGCCTCGACCGTGTCGCCGAACACATTGAAGAGGAAGAACTTGGCGAGGCATTGGAAGCGGGAGAGCATGGCGACTATCTCGAACGCGACATCCACTTCTATCATTTTATCCTTGCGAAAGAGATTCGCAAAATGCTGAGCGATGTGAACACTTCGCCGCCCAAACAGTATTCCTACGACGAATGGACTTACTATCTGAAGCTAATTGGTCAAGATGAGGGCGATGAATCTACTCATAGGAAGCCGGAAGACCAGTTCCAGCACAAAGAAGGCGATGCACCGGATATTGGCACCGCGAACGATGGAGGCGAGGTGAATTGGAGCTGGCTAGGCATCCGTAGCCCACTGATGGGTAACACCAACGAGCCTGAATGGCTACTGCAGCGTTTGACTGCCAAACTTGAAGCAGAGATGCGTAGAATGAGTTCACGTAACAAGAAGGAGCGGAATCGGAAACCACCCATTTCGATGGCAGATGCCCAGAAGAAGAACAAGGGTGGGGATGAGAAGGAAGTTGTAAAGCCACATAAAGGTGCAAACAGTGCTGAGGTCCACCATCAGGAGCACACCTCTGAGCAGTGAAGTGTGGCTACAAACGAGAGTTCATGTTCGTCAGCAAAAACGACGGACGTTTGCTTGTGGTGTTGGCAACGGCTCTTCACATAAAACCATTCCTTCAGTTACCCTTACTTCATCTGCATACTTCTTATGCCAAAAAAGTTAGACGTGTTTATAGTCTACATCTAATGACCTCCCTCACCCTCCAAATGACGGCGACAGGCTCGTCTCTGCCAACCGCATGGCTTGCGCCGCCACCAGGTCTGCTGCCCACAAATCAGAAGGTCAAGATCACGCCAGTCCCCATCGCCATCAGTGCTACGATAGCACTAATCATCGGCGCCCTTGTCATGCTCCTCTTCAACCGCAAGCACAAAGACGTGTATCTCTCAGACAAGCCTGCCCCGGTCCCCAAGAAAGAAGAGCCAAAAGCTCCAGCCGAAGATAACCCCCTGCACATCAGCTCACCAGTCGAAGTCCGCGTCCCCTCCGCCGTCCAATACGCTCTATCGCATATAAATCCGCCTACATACCAGCACCCCTACCGTCCACCACCCACCTTCCCACGCGCATATCAATCCCAAACACAAGTCTCAGAGTGGCGACCCTCAGGCCAGAAACTCGACGCCATGCTCGGCGTCGATCATCGCGACTGGCAGCATGACGGACGCATGTCGCCGCGCCGGACTTCGTACATCGCTTCTGGTCTGCCGCGCAGGGCGTACGACTATGGCTCTGACGACGGGACGCTCAGGGATGACGAGAAGAACTCTGCCTATGTGCCGTTTAATGCAAGTGAGTTTGACTATGAGCAGCAGGAGAAAAGCGGGCATGGGGGATTAGACAGCTCGCATATTTCTGAGGACGAGGGGTCGGTGGACTCTGTGGAGGAATTTGGGAAGAGGCAGAGGGCTTTTGCTGCCAAGTTTCCTCTGGGGGATCCTTATTGAGTGTGTGGTACGACTCTGGAAGACTATGGCAAGCGATCGTGAGCATGCCCAGAAAGTTCAACTGGGGGATCATCATTGGGCTTGTGGTATGAGGTGAGTTTTCAGTCACGGCAGCTTGAAGTCATTTACTGGGAACGTTGTTCTGTTTCATGATGGAGTAGTGGACATTATGGTGGTGGTTCTTATCACACGGCAGTTGAATCGTAATCTGCTTCTAAGACTGGCATGCACAATGTTATTCTAGACTTGAGACGCGGTTCATGCATAATTAAGTCGATCTTGTATACATGTGCGGTGAAGGGTTATGCTGAGCGTTAATAGTCCGCACTTGCTTGTCTTAGTCGAAGCAATATACCCTGCATCGTTTCCTTGGGTCTTCAAGTCACTACAGGGAGGTTTCAATGTCGTCGCCATCGAATACGCGTATCCGGGAGAACGCCATGACACGCGTGCTAAAATCTCTCAAACTTACCCGATGGGACTGAGCCAACAATCATTGGTGGGATTGCTTGCTGCGATCTGGCTCGCCTCATTGTTGGGTGCTCTACTTGCGAAGACTAGAGTCCATCGTGGTGAACGTTCGGTGAGCACTAAGTGTACATACAATCTTGTATTCGCCTAGGCATGTAACCAGATCCCCAGGTACCAAGGAGATGCCTTGTTCCTGTGTGAACTCACATCGGCAGTTCGGTTTGAGTCGACCCGAATACACCTCTTTTGCTGTAAGCACTACGATCTGTGTATTGCCAAGCGATACAACATGTTGTGAAAACGATGTTATCGGTTGGCTCCGATGGCCTCCCAGCCACCATTCGTACAACAAGGTCACGTGTGGTTCTCGGACCCCGGACAATCACCAGGTGCGCTTGCCGCGGGCTTTCCGCCATCAACTTTACATAATCTTTAGGGCTGGATCCTACGCATGAGACTCTGGGACTGACCAAGCAATGAGGGCGCTAAAGCACGCGGATACCGCCCTACGTGATGGCCACCCATGTATTAACCCCCCACAGGTGATCTTGATGCTCATGGCAAGGGCAAGGAGTAGGGTTCTTCGCTTTACATTCCGGAAAGGAGTAAGATCTTCTCGAATATTTGGCCGAGCGGAAGGGCAGCCGCGAACCATTGAGCAGACATTGAACATCGTCGAGCATGCGAGTGCAATAGACTGAAACAGAGGTACCCTAGCAGGCCTAGTACACGGACAGCACAATGTGGAAACTCTACGCAGACGAGCAACAGCCAAGCAAAATTGAACTCGTGGCATGGCGTCGGGGAGTCCGAAGTGATGGTACGTCAAGTCTGCATGTAGGCTGACATGCGGTAAACTGTAGTGAAGCTCAAGGGTCCTTCCCGCCGCCTGCAGGCATCAAAAAAAGCTCCTACGGGTTACAAGTCCGTCAAGAGTTTCATCCAATCGATAACGAGTTCAAAAAAAGCCATCACGGACCCTGGGCTGGGGTCATCGCTGTTAGCCATACCAGCTTACGTGTCGATCTAAAGCATCCCTACCAAGACATGAATCGGCACTGGGCATTCCATCATTCGACATTCGACATGATGCTTGCCGGCATGAACAACACGCGTCCCGCCCGTGCTGCATGGACTGCAAGCATGAGAAAGCGAACAAAAAATGCGCTCAGACACACAGCCTCATTTTCTACCATCACTGAGCACAGATGCTAAGCCCAACGGTTCGACAAGCAAAACTTACCGAGAGAGCCACCGAGAGCTAATTTAACCGTTGCGGGAAGCGCGTGCAGTCTGCGACAAGAAACGGGAGATGATGCATGCAGTGATGCCCAAAGGTCGTTGTTGGTGAATACGAGCGAATAAAACACGCTGCCGCGCATTTCTTTCTCCTGTGTTCAAAGCATTGGTGATGGTGTGGTTCTAGGTCACGGGCTGAAGTGAGGGACAGTGTTGTTCTCATCTCCCACGCTGCTGTGCGCTGATGAGCCGCGCTTTTGGGAGTTCTCTGCAATGCAGTAGGTCGACGCGAAGGTCCGCTCCTGCAGCCGCCAATGCAGTAGTAGCTGGGTAGTGTTCCATGTTGGAAGCTGGGTGCGTTCTTTGTGGCGCGAATTATGGAAGTCGCCGTGGCCTGGATGTCCATGCTCTATCATCAAAGAATCCAGTCTTTGGATTCACGTAAGCTGCCGGTCTCTCGAGATGGGTGTTTCTTGGTAGATTCGTAAGGTTCTGCCAAGCAGTTCATCTGGATGTCTTGACAACCACTGACACAGCGCCACTTGGAGTGACTTGATCAACGGCTATTGGCGAGACTATTGCTGCAAGTACTCGCTAGTGCGGAGGCTGGCATTCCGCGGTAGCCTGCGGATGGGTTCGCGAGTCTAGTAGAAAGTCATGGACAGAAGGCTGGGCTATAGCTTCCAAATGCAGTCATGCGCAAAAAGTAGCTCATGTTGCAAACGAAACCGGGAGGTTCTACTGCCGGCAGCCACTGCCATGGTGTGGTCGGATGCTGTTAGTAGTACGCCTACCGAGCAGCCTTGCTCAAATGTGTCTTAGTGGTCATGTGGCAGTGACAAGCTATCGAAGCAAAGTATCCAATGGTATGGGTCAGCATACTTAGGTGCTTCTGCTTCACGCTCAGTTAGTGTAAAATGTATGTGTGCTCGTACATGATACGTGCGTAGGAAAGTTGGAGTTTGCAACAGTCGTGACCAAATTTGTACCACCCGCAGTCACATGTATGACGCGGGCCACAATGTTTTGTAGTTGCACCAATCGTCATTCGAGTCTGTCTCGGTATGTTCCGATGAGTGTACATACAGTATGCATCATGCATATCCCGCAGGGGCGGATCCATACGACCATGCTATGTCAAATGGGACCCTGAACTGGGTCCGACAGTTGGGAAGGGAAACCAACTCCACGCTGAGGTGGGTTAAACAGACGCCGACGTAGGAGACAGCGGTCGGTAACTGGATTAAGCAATGACCGGCGAATGGAGTTGGCAGCAATCGGACCGAGGACGAACGACGTTGCCTCACAGCTTTGCACGCAACACTAGCGAGTCGATCAGGATTAAAGACGCAGTTTGAGCGCCATTACTGGTGCTTCAACAATCTTGTGGTGCGGGGATTAGCTGCAAAGGCAGGACAAGTCATTTGTTTGGACCAAGCTTCGTGAGTGCTGTCTTAGGGACGGTTAAAGTCCCCGCTTCACTTGATTCGTCCACGGCAGCCTCAACCGCAGTCGGATCGCTTCAGGAACAAAGCCCATCGTTCCAGGAATGGCTCAATGTTTGCGACTGAGAGCCCTACAAAAGGATATACCCTGCTCAGTACTAGCATGGGTGATCCGAGCTTCTCAGCCTCGACACGTGGGGAGCTGATCGCGAAGGCTAGGAGTTGTTCGGACTGGGTGCATCCTGGCTCGAAGTGCAGCTGTCAGTGATCCGTGATGCGCCTTGAAGGCAGGTTTTGCGAACGGGTGTGCAACGTTGATGCTGTGAAGCTTAGCGGCGTCATCAACAAGAGGCGTAGTCTGCTATTCTGAAACGCCTTTCTGAGACTGAGCATGAAAGAGCCTCGTTGACTGGCTCGTCGATATACGCACGTAAAGACTGGGGCAGATGAGATGCATAAAACTTGGGTACATTTTGCGGTTTGATTTATGCAAATAGAGTTGTATTTACTGGCCATTGCACAGCTCTCAGTAACACGTCCTTTGTGAACGTTGTATGTGTATGCGTCAAATGGCCCATGTCAAATCTGATAAAGTTCGTAACTTTGGTCTGACCGTCCGCTGCACCAGCGTTGATCTATCAGCCCCAAATTCCAGTCCATAATCCCAGTCCTTGGCCTATGTTCAATATCGAACGTCGATTCATCTTCCGCCTTGTCTGAGGCTCTGCGTTTGCGAGTCATAAGCCAGGTTCTCGCGGGTGCCGTTGAGATCTACACAGCCTTCCCATGGCGTGCATGAGTGACATCTCGAGGCCTTCGGCTTCATTCCGGAACCTGGGGTCGATGATCGTGATCGCTAGGTGCTTGAAAGCATCTCTCTAGTCCACGTGCACGGTTTCTCCAGGCCGTTCCAAGGTGTTCGCTGACAAAGGCGAATTCCGGCCTGCGCTTCGTTTTCGTCAATTCGAAAGGGGTCTGTGCCTTGGGTTGAGGACGTTGAGCGATAAGCGGGCTAGCAATGGTCTGACAAGGTGTAATCCATGATGCAGAAAACCGTCCCGTGCATCCTAGCCGTCATCGCGCTTCAGATCCATGATGGACCTGCGCCATGACAGCGGAGGAATGTTACCGATTTGCTTGGTCCGAAAACGCTCCGACGTCGCTTTCGCATCACATATTCGATTTCATCGAAGAAATATTGTCAATAAGTTGATAGTCTCTAGAAATCTGATCCCGTGCGCCAAGCGATGCATACGTGTAATACGAAGTGGTTCCTTCAGTGAAATGAATAGACGTCCGGTAAATGACGCTAAGCCGCTGGTCTATTCCAAATGAGTGTTGCTATCCTGGGAAGCCCTAAAACTCTTTCATTGCTTGAACATCATAGATGGGTCTACAGGATACCCTTGGAGGCTGAATCTAGGGTCATAGGCAGTCTGGGCGACTGAAATGTGGTGCGATTGCATATGGTTGTGTTGCGGGTGTGAGGTTGGAATCTGCACGGACTGGTGAGAGAGAATTTGGGAGCTCCGTTGTGACATGGTAGACTCGTATGGTCCGGGTGTAGTGGAGTTGCTCCTTGGCGCAGATGAGGAAGAATGCGATGCGCTGTGGCTGTGTGCGGTATCGTACAGGGACAGATCTTCGACGTGACTCGAAGGTGCCTGGATCATAGATTGCTGTGATGTACCAAACGGCAGTTGCGCACCTGTCTGAGCAGCAAGCCGGCGGATCAGTTCGGAAGACGGGTACGATGGCGACGATGTGGCTGGCATCGCCGAGTAATCATCCGTGATGTTGGAGGGGACCGTCCCAGTGCCTGACATGCTGATCGTTGAAGCAGGGAGTGTCTGGGGCAGGTTGAGAGACCGGGGCAGGGGTAAGTTGGGCAGAACCTCGGAAAGCTTGGCAAGGAGCAGCGGAAGATACCGCGAATGTCCGCCACGCAGGGTGGAGATCAGCGTTAGGAAACGCGACACGTAATCGCGGGGTCCGAGTGCGAACGCGTCTGGCGAGAAGGACGTAACCGCTACCACGTCGGCTAAGCAGCAAGCAATGTCGAAAAGTTTCTCAATCTGCAGCCATGTCAGCAAGTGGTCTAGAATGAGCAACACGTTGCCAAGAATGCGACGCGCCAGGAAATTGGAAAAGACAGAGCTTGGTGGGCCTTCAGTGTCCAAGTGACAAGGATTACGAGATCGAAGAATCTAGGAATGTAGATCCCAAATCAAACATCGCAGAACTTGCTCCAGAGGGCAGGGAGAGGAAAGCATGGACATACCAATTCTGCACCATGGACCTCCATCGCCTGTTGAGAAAATTGGTGGGTCATGGTCAGGAGGTCCCGTGAGATTTCGATGGGGTACTTGAAAGTCATGCAATTGTCGTTGGTGACACTGCTCACAAGGCCTTGGCAAACGCACAGCTGCCAGGCCATGGCCTTGAGCCATTGCTGCGTAATTCGAATCTCGACGCCTTGGGCCTCCGTGCATTCCAGATAGGCGGGGACTGCTTCTGACAGCTGCGTGTGCAATTGCGAAAACCAGGCAGGATTCGTGTGTGTGTGAACTCGGTTCCAGAGACTGATGAATGTGTCGTCGATGTTTTTATACAGAGTAATCAGCAGCTCTAATCCCACTGCAATTGGACGGTCAGAAGGCACTTCGTCCAGAGATGGTGGGTGTATCGTCGGATAAAGAGAAATTGGGCGATGTTTGTGCAATGCGAATTGCCTGTTTCCATGTTAGCTGTGCGCTCTGAACGGCATGCTCATAAACATGCGTTTGCGGATAGTGTACCTTTCCGCAATGAAGAGAACCCAGTACAATACTCGTTTTCGGGATATGTCGAGCGGGTCATGTTTATAGGTCTCCTCATCGTGCATTCCCAGTAATTGCGCCTGCGTCGTGGCTTCCCGTAAGTAACCCCAGGCTGTGTTCTCTCGTGCTAATCCAAAATAGCTCCCTGAGAAGAACCATGACGTGAGGACGGTGATGTGAGTTGGGTTTTCCCGGAAGTCATAACCATTGCGTACCCGCACCGATTCTTCCAAAAGGGCGTGTCCTAAGGTCATGTTCGACATCTGCGCAACTTCGGGCCGAGAGAACATGTTGGACGGAACCTTCATGTTTGCGTGAATCATAACGTACGCGCATAACGAGACGATCAGACAGTATGCCTCCGTAGAGCGTTCCATGTTCACAGCTAGCTCCTGCGCTTTTTGCCTGTGCAGAACAGGAGTAGAGGGATAGACGTTGGCGAAGAAAAAGTCGAGGCAAGTGTCCACCAGTCCATTGGGAAGGAGACCCTGAGCGCGTGCGAATGTGGTTGAAAGCGTACGACCGTCGTAGCCTACATCTGGAGGGAATCCGGCGGCCAGTTGTGCATTGCGTTGGTTTTCGCGAAGTTCGGAGAGCACCTTGGCCCTGCTCCCCTTGGGCCCTTTCTTCTGTGGGATGGCATTGTATGTGCAGGCCAGGCCGGCGGAGAGACAGTTCTTGCATGGGTTTGTTCCTTCGCCAATACACTTGACCTTTCTTCTGTGGCAGCTGTGTATCGCGATGTTAGTCTGTATACACGGGACGTTGTGGTGGTGGTGGACCAACCTATCGCATGCTCGCTTAACAGGAGCGGATGTGGTACTGCTGGACGACATGATGAAGAGTAATGAGCGATTGGACGAGGCGTTTGTCCTCGCGTGGGGATGAGGGGAATCGCCGAGCGGGTCCCAGAGGTACTAATAAGACAATTGACATGTTGCGCCTGCGCTCAGGGAGATTCTTTAGATGTCCCTTGTGTCATTGTGCTGGAAAGAGAACGCCCATGGCACCTGGTAGACCTGGTCGATTGAGCAACCAAGCGTGGACGCTGCATATTAGATTCTACTAGTATGTTCCGCTTGTTCAACCAGGATGGTAGGCGAAAGACACGGGCCCAATAGCACGGAGCGGAGGGGTGCCCGTCGTCCCATGTCCAACGGCTCAAGGAGGAAAAGCTGCAGGGAAGCGCGCTGGAAGCTGGTCAGACGCTGGGGCTTGTGCGGTCTGCTAGGACCAGGCAGTGTGTGACCCATGCTGTCGACGCCCGGGCATGAATAAGTCGACACGGGGGACTCCAGCGGGAGCTTGAAGCTAAGCGCCGAAGTTAAACCGACTGCGACGTTTGGCACCAGCGGGAGGATCAGCACGAGGCCCGAGGCGGCAAGTGTAGCGCTGTGACGTTTCCGACCTCGCTGACCGCCAGGACAGAGTTTGGTTGAAACGACTCTGCAGCTGCCCAACACCCTGGCATCACTGGAACCATCCCACCGACATTGCTGAGCCTTCTCGCGGTATGATCCGCCGATTAGCGTCTGTGGGCGACAGTGTCGTCATACCAACTGCCCGGGCGCCCTGGACATTCCTCGCCAGACCCATGCTGCAGAGGCGCAATAGACTGTATCCGCGCCCGGTATTGCTGGGTATCTTCCGGGTCGTCGTCGTGACCGCGAGGCGCAGCGATGTGAGATGCCCGGATGTTGTTTTCGGTAAAGCGTAGCGAGCCGTCGAAGTGTCACGAGGCTTGGAGACGATGTTGCATCTCCGACGACATATACAATCGATGCCCCCTCGTCTGCGCAGCGCTGCCCTGATGTTTAAATCCTTCTTTTTTCAAAGGCCCTTTTGCGGGCTCAACCGCAGGAACACGCACCAAGGCCTCCGAGATCCTGCCGACAGCAACCAAAGGCGTGGTCGACGACGTCGAGGCCGCGAATGAGAGCCCGTGGAAGCCGTTCCTAGAAGCAGTGTACTACCACACTTCCCTTCCGCCCCATCTGCGGGCGATCGATCAACGGTGAGTAGTCATGCCAAGCTCCGTATGGAGGGCCTCGAATTGTATGGAAGCATCATAGAATAAACTGAGCGGCGGCGTACAGTGGGGGAAGGCGATCCATCTAGCCAAGCTTTCGTGATGCAAATCTTGTAGGGCTGAGGCTTGCGCTAACAACAATACCCCAGCCTCCGCGGAGGATAACGTCTGGTCATATAGCGAGACGTCTGCTTAGAGTAGGATTTTGTATGTGTGTCTTTTATAATGTTACACAAAAATTGGGGGCCAAAAGTCTCAAACGACCGAGCGCCAAATGCTACTATTTTATACATAGACTCGCAAGCAATATCTACTGAAGGGAAGAAAGCGACACATTTCGCATTATTTCCATCCAAACCCATCTTTCGCGCAGCGCCATAAAATGCAAAACCTACCAAGAGGCCCCAAACGCTCCACGCTCACAGTTGGTGGAGATCATCACCTATCATGAAAACTCAACTCGGCTGCCACCAGAGCGCGCTGCCTTTGCCTGCGCTCTCTCTGCTCTTCGTCTTCGCCTATTGGAGTCGTAGGCACTAACATCGGTCTCAGTCCCATACACATGAGTCCCAGGTGGACTGCTCAGCACAGTCGGCGACGTGACGGGCATCGGAGGAGGTGGTGGCAACGGTATGTTTCCTTGGCCTCCGAAAGTTGGGGGTGGGCCTGGAGGCGGAGGTGGAATAGTTGGCTCTGGCATGCGCAGGGGAGCGCCTGGCATAGGCGGAGGAGGCGGTATAGAAGATTGTCCCATTTGTTGTGCCTGCTGCGCCTCCAAAGCTTCCGTCCTGCGCCAACGGTCACCGCCTAACTCACCGAGCGAGCTTCTGCTTCCGTCTCGATTCTTCCGTTGCCTTTCTTTTCTTCTCGCCTCTCGTTCGGCAGCAGCTTCCTCTTCGTTCAGTCTCCTCAGTGTCACATGTCTGCCATCGTTGTGCATCTTGACTTTGACAGAGACGGGAGGCGAGGCTACACCACTTTCACGGCTGTTACGACGCTTTCCATTTCCTCTCCGTGACGGTGAGCCATTTGAAATAGCAGAAGCATCAGCTCCGCCAGCAAGCGCAGGTCCTAGGAGACTAGCATCCTGGTGGCGACGATGGGGACGACCGCTGGGCGAGTTGTACAATTCAGATCCTGTATCAGATAGAACATCGGCATGCGGTGGAGGTCGAATAGGTGCAGTCGAGGGCCCAAGAGTTGATTCCACTGGTGGTCTAGTACCAGGTCGTGCCAAGGATGGTGTTATTCCAGTGATGTCGCTTTCAGAATAATCCGTCGACAAAGGTCGGTTTCGACGGGGAGGAATACCATCACCAGTATACTTGCGGCGGTTACTGTTTGCTCGAGCAATGCGCTCTTCCTCGAGATCATGCTGTCTTAGTGATTCCGCACGCGCGTCTTCTCTTTTGGTCTTCCGCCTTCCTAACGAATGTTTCAGGAAACCAAGAACTCCGAGAGTAGCCACTCCTTCCTTGAGTCCGTATGATCTTTCAGGCAGCCTTGAATCGAGATCATCGTTGAAGCTAGTCCTGCTGTCGAAGGAATCCATTGATCCCGCACTTCTTGGTGGGCGGTTGGCTTGGCGCAGTGGACTTCCTGCCATGGCTGCTGCTTGGGCAGCCTCTCGCTCTTCGACGCGGCGCCAGTCGTCTCGGTTTGCTGGTGATGCTGGCGCTCTTCCTTCCTCGAGCCGGCTTATATCAGTTTGCGTAATCTCGGAAGGTCCTAGTGGACGGGTGTAGCTGACGTCGCTTCCGGTTTCTGTTGGTGCGTGATGCTTCTTGTTGCGATTGAACAGAGATTTGACTGCGAATATGCCTCCAACAGCAGCTCCAGCACCAAGTAAACGCTCTTTCCAGGTGCCGGTCTTCTTGTTCCCCGCACGATACTTTTCATCGCTCATGTACGAGTCTGTGAATTGGGATTCAACACGGGATCGCGAATCGTTGCGCCTACTGCGACTGTGACTACGCGATCGGTTTCTCAACGCCGCCAGACCAGCCCCTGCTGCTCCAGCTGTTGCTATAGCTCCTAGCCCACTTCTGCTGTATCCGGTTCTTCTGCTGCGTGTGCTTCCAGTTCTTCCGGTTCTTTCTGTGATGTATGTTGTGCCGTCATCGAACCCCATTTCAGGCTGATTGATGTACGAAAGAATGAAGTACAGGACCAGCAGCATAAAGGACCAAACAGCATAGAGTATGAACAATACTTTTGGTGACCCATATAGGGTCAAGCCGAGCGGGACCTGTACAATTCCTAGGATTGCAATCAGCCGTCCTAGCCATTGATGAATCTGCATCTGTTAGCTTCAGATAAAAATGCTGAAGAGGTTCATGTACCATAAGTTTGAGCGGGATCTTGAACCGCTCCTTGTTCTGCTCCCATCGGTGAATCACAGAGCCACCAATGGCCTGAATTAGCACCAGGGTATACAGGGCGACACCAATGCCATGATGCGGATTGGTCAGCGATCGTTGTAGTCCAACAGCTTGGAATCCCAGTACGAAGGCGGCAGTCGAAAGAAGTACAGCTAGAATTTGTAGCCAAATGTGGAACCGTAATGCGGTCCGCGGATTCCGGTGATAGAATCGAGCCATGAATATTGCCGCTGGTATGACGAAAAGGAACGTTATGCCTGCTAGAACAGCGTGCGCGGTGACGTATGTCTTGTAATTGATCATGTTGCGAAAGCGATTGCCCATGCCTAGATGGTCAGTATAGTTCAATTCCTTCGGATTGCCGTGCCTTACCATTGTAGCGCATGGTCTCGAAATTCAAGCCTTGCAAGTTCGGCAGCAGGAATGTGTTGCGCTGCGAGTCCCACGTGCCATCACCGACATACATGGAGTCCGCGTTGTACACGCTGGTCCCAGGGGCCGATAAGCCTTGGTTAGACATGGTGTTGGTGGTTGCTGCGATGTTTCTTCCTGGAATGGAGCCGGAGAAGTGGATGCGTTATTCGTGGGTTTGAGCTAAACAAATGCGTGACGCTGTAGAAAAGACGAGCGAGCGCTCAAACGGAGGCAGAACCACGGAAACAGAAAGTCGTAAAGTCGTGACAAGCGTAATGATAGGGAGAGACGTCTCCTGCAGTCGAGGCGTGTTGACCTCGGTGGATGCTCAGCGTCCCTGAGCTTGTCCGACGTAGCGGACAGCTCGGCGTAGGAACTGCAGTCGTGTCGCCGGCTTGTTTGGCTGCGCTTCGAACGGTAGGGTCCCGAGATCTCAAAGTGCGCGATGGTGTTGGAATGTGGTTCAGAGTTCCTCGGAGGTCAGCGTGTGCAGTGGCTACCGGTGACCAGCTCATCTAGCTTGGAAGACCCACTCCGGGCCAGTTGTGTTTACCCACGCGTTGGAAAGGCAACCACAATCGATAAGCCGTGCGGCGGTGAAGCCTCGTCTGCCCAATCACAGCCCAACACGCCCTGGCCTTCAGCTGGCATGTCCTTGACTCGACGCAGAATCTGGTTTTCCTCTCTCCACAAGCCGCGGGAGCATCCATGTAGCGTCATGCAAGCTGATGAGGCCAAAGTGAACTTCGCGTCACACCGACATGTTGCAGCCTCACGGCACGATCTTCGAAAAGTCACTAGCAAGCTGCGACGGGCCAAAGACCCAGATTAATCAATACGGAAAGTCATGAACAGGCAGTGGTATCTCAAGAATCAATCCCAGCCAGAACGCCGAATGCATCATGTCCATCGTCCCTAGACATCTAGCATCTCCTTCAGAGCCTTCTCGGAAGCCTGAAGCCATCGGCCCCTCTCCTCCAGCTCATCCCCAATACCGCCGCCTTCCTCTTTCCTCCGCCGTGCCTCTTTAGCTGCCGCAACAGTGCCGTTCTTCTGCGTCTCGAGTGGCTTCAGCTCGCGCTCCAGCTTCTCCAATTCTCGTGCTCGACTCGGCATGGACGCCTGCAAACTAGCTATCTGCGCATTCAGTGCTTCCAACTCAGCTTCGCGCTCGCTGAGGATCTTGTTCGTTTCTGGTAGCGGAAGCGAGAGCTCCGGATTTTCGGATGCTGGCGTCTGCTCTTGTTTCAGTCGCTCGATGCTGGCTTCCAAGCCCTCAATCTCGACAGGCAAAGACTCCAACTGCTGTGTCCGTAGTTGCAGCCCCTCATATCGCAGGGAAAGCTCTTTGCCCTTCTCCTCGAGCTGTTTGAGTATCTCGGCCACTTCGAGTTTGCGCTCCTTTAGACTTGCTTTGAGTGTCAGAATCTCCTGCTCCTTCTCGTCATTCTCGGGGGCCTCGACTAGGCGTGGGGGGTTCTCGGTGATGCTGCGTAGGAACTTTTCCTTCGTGACTTGTTCGACATAACTGAAGCGGAGTTTACTGAATAGTTCCTGGTTTTCAAGTCAGTACAGTACAGATACACTTTTGCAGGTCACAAACCTTGTAATGCACCAGGTCTGCCTCAAGTGCAGCAGGGTGAGTGTCGCCGTTCTGTTCGCTATCTTCTGACACTACTGAGCTGCGCTTCTTCGCCGACTGTGGAAGGTCTTTTGGCGACAATGTTTCGGCGATGGCCAGGAGCTTGAGTGACTGGGACTTGCGCAACTGCTCGAGCGCAGTTTCTGGAGTAGGCGGGGCTGACTTTCGCTTTGGCGCCATGATTGATTGATTGCTGTTCAACTGAAGTACACGAGGAATGCGTGATGTGGAGGGATGTTTGTTGTTAATCGAACGCGCATGCCCGCGGTAGTTACCAACAATGGACTAGCGTCCGCAGTGCTATGAAACCACTCACCGTCGCTCCAACATTACTCGGTCGCTCTTCTGTAGCCTCTACCCACACTATGGCTGGAACTGTTGATGACGACGAGTATGTTGCGAGCTTATTGAAGCAGGACGCTCAGAATGCGAAGAAGAAATACGAGCTAGTCGGCATCGATGCCTTCAATCCGAAGAGGTGCGTTGAAAGCCTCACAGGCGCTTCCAGTCGCAACTGTTCAAGTGATCAAAGTACATATTGCGCTTCATGATTATAAAGCAGCCCTCTCATTGACTATAGATCGAAACCGGGCGCGCCGAAACCAAACACGAACTTCTTGCGGCACATCATCCGCCAGACCGACAGTCACAACTCTGCATTGCTTGCCAGGGAGGCCGAGGAGTCAAGCGCGCGTCTGAAGCGCATGAACCGAGAGAGAATACGGGCGCAAAAGAACGAGGAGGTCAAGAAAGAGAGGAAAGCAGACGGGCGCTTGACACCTGTTCTGAGTGATGAGGAAGAACCACATTCCGGACCGTCTAAACGCCGTACAGACGATAGGGGGCGTGGTGACAGGCATAGAAATGGACACAGGCACAGAGAGCGGTCGCTAGACTCACGCGATCAAAGGCATCGTAGTAGAAGCAGGGACCATGGCCGCGATAAACGGAAGCGGGAGGAAAGCAGGGAAAGGTCAACTCGACAGTCAGGACACCCTGAGTCCCATCGCGAAAGGGACCATCGGCGCCGACACGACACCGAAAGAGACAGCGAAAGAAGCCGATCGCAAAGAAAGCAGAAGTCAACCCAAAGTCACAAGCGACGCCGATCTCGCTCCAGATCCTCCTCCCGCTCGCGCTCCAGGTCATCGCATTCAACCCGGACCGACAAGAAGCGCAGATATCGATCACGATCACGATCACAATCTCCGCGCCGACCTCATCGCAAAAACGAAGATCGCAAAGCTTCAGGCAAATCAAAGCGACGCTCTCCAAACCCTCATTCCGACTCTGACCCCCTCGAAGCCATCGTCGGCCCCCTCCCACCACACATGGAACCCTCCGTACGCTCCCGTGGCCGCGGCGCACACAAGGTGAACTCAATGGGCATGGACTCCCGCTTCTCCTCCGCGTATGACCCGACTGTCGACGTCCGGCCCCCTTCTGATGCAGAAGACGAGTGGGGCGATGCGGTTGAGTCGTTCCGCGACCGTCAGCGCTTCAAGCAGCAAGGCGCGGATAGACTTAGGGCGGCTGGATTCACGGATGAGCAGGTGAGGAAGTGGGAGAAGGGCGATGTCAAGGACGAGGAGGATGTTATGTGGACGAAGCGCGGACAGGCGAGGGAATGGGATAGAGGGAAGGTGGTCGACGAAGACGGAGATGTTGAGTTGAAAGCTGATTGGGGACGATTGAAGTGAAGCAATGCGGGCATCAACAGGTCCTCACCGTACAATTACGTGTATACTCCCACGTACATCTTGCATCACAAATCACATACCTGATTCAATACATCACATCACTCATCCATACAACATTTCGAAATTGTTTCCTTTCTTATTTTCGGATATCAAGAATGACTCTGCACCAATTTCAAGTAATGCAGTAGTAGTACGATGCAAGCCAAGTGGGCAATATTCCATGCCGCTGAACATATGTGGTGCGCCTCAGCGCCCGTGTATACAAACAACAAAAACAGCGTGGCTGACGCGATTTCTTCAAGACTTATACAAAATAGAGATGCAAGGACGGTGTTTTGGAGAGGAATAGCTGATTGGAGGGTATGGGGGGATATGCACATCCACCCATTAACGGGGAATTATACAGGGTACGGGTCCAGCCTGGATGAAGAGAGAGCTATTCGGTAGAGATGGCGGATATGTGATTGGCGGATGGGGTTTATGCTGGGTTGCTTTTGTCGCTGTTAGGATAATGCAGACTGGAAAAGTATGCAAGGGGCACTTACGTCGCTTCCTTGGCTTTCTGGCCGTTTGTGACGACGACCGCGACTGCAACCGCAATGATGATGAGGATGATGATGCAAATGAGCAGGCACCACCACTTCTTCCTGTTACGCGAGCGCGCACTGACGATCGCTGTGCTAATCTCCTCGTTGCCCTTGGTCATGTTCTCGCGCACCTCCTCGCCCTTCTGCTCAATGTCGGCGACGAGAGGTTCCTGCTGCTGCACCATGGTGTCGAGGTCCTGGAACAGCTGGGCGAGTTCGACCATCTGGCGCTCGATGTTCTGGATCGCCTCGTGGCGCTCCTTGACGTTGCGCAGAGTGGAGCTAGCCTGGCCGCGGCGGTCGGAGCTGAGAAGCTGATGGATATTAGCAAGAACACAAGGACAAGAAGGTCAAGTATCCAGGTACGTACAGCTTGCTGAAAGATAGGCGCGTCAGGGTCGGCAACTGCCTCCCTGACCTCTGCGTCTGACGCATCTGGACGCACGATTCGATACTGACGTTCAGCAGCTGCTTGGGACTGGTTCCTGAAGTCCGACTCGAGCGTCTGGTACCTGTGGATTGTCGCCTTGAGTCTGCGGTCTATCTTTCCTACTTGTGGTGCGTTCCTAGGTTCGCCAGATGCGGGCTTCGACTTCATGTTCTTCACGCGGCTGACGAGACCGCGGTAGCTTGTCATGATGTCCGAACTGAGCCTGTTGATCTCGCCCGAGGGCATATCAGGGCGTGCCAGCGATCTCCTGAAGACGCCATCGAGGTTGTTAAGGTCTTGGTCGAGCTGGTCGAGGGCGCGATCGACTTCGCGGCACTCATCGAGGATGGCGTTGGGGTTGTTTTGGCGATTGTTCTCGTAATGATCCATCTCGTGTTCTGCAAGGTATTAGAGGATGATGGAAAGTAGGACTGGCCAGAATACTTGCCTTCGCGGTATGGAGCGCGGTCGTTGAACGGATTGGTGCGCTCGTCGACGCGGTTATAACCACCGTTGTTGGCGTACTGTTCGTTCATGTCGTTAGTAAGGAGAATTGAAGAGCGATGCGAATGAATGTGAAGAGAGGGCGCGATCAAACGCAGTGGTGGTTGGAGAAGGCAAGGCGACCTACACTCATGCTGAAACCGGCCCTGTGTGGTATGTGGGCAACTGAGATCTCTCCTGAGACAACGGTGTGCCGGTGCGTGCAAACGGTAGTCGATCGGCCAAACGCACTACTTTAAGAGCAATGCGGATTAATGTGAAACAGCGGGTATTCAATGCAGAAGTCGAAAGGCTGCAGAGGGAAGAGACGTGAAGAACTAAAGAAGCAGCAAAGTCGTCGTGTCCATTGGGGCTGAATGTTCGGATTCCATCTCATGTTCAATTGGCGCTGCAGAGTGGGTCGCGCTAACTGGCGAGGCTAATGGCGGGTTGAGTGGCTCGCCGCCTGTCTCTAAATTTGGCACTTGCGCCTTCCTGCTGAGTGGCCATCGTTGCTTGATCTACCTACACCTGTATCTTGTACACAGTAAGTTCACCTTGTACACGTGAGGGTCGATGGTTGTTAGGACAGATTCGTATTTCTGGACTCCTACTGTATCGAGCTTCATAGCTAGTGAAAGCCTTCATGCTCTTCAGATGTGATCCAAAGCTCTCCCGCCCACGATCCTTCAGCAACTCAGGGTCCCACGCTAGGCTCAGCCTTGCAGACGGCATTTCAGCTCGGGGTAGCCTCTATTCTGTTGGTTGGGTATCTTCGGTCTTACCACATCATCCGGGGTATATGTACATGCACAGTAGTCAAGACAGACTATCTTCGCGCTCATGGGACGTCTCTTCCTTACTTCGCAGCTGGCTGGGCAGAGCTGCCCCATCTTGTTTTCTCGTCACCGCCAGCCCATTCCTTCTCTGTATAGCCAAGCCGGCGCTTCACGTCATCCACTGTTGCCTTATCACCTGTATTTTTGCCGATGTTGTCGCTGATCTTGACCGCGTGGCGGCCCGATGCCGAAGCGATCTTGATAACGATGTTCAAGGGCACTGATTTCTTACCTGTCGACTTCTCTACGAAGTCATCTGTCATTGTCAGCTGTTGAAGTAATAGATCCTTTTTTCGAAAATTCACGTACTAGTCAGGAACGTTCCGACACCAAATGTAGGCTGGAAGCCTTGTGCTTCGGCTGCTGCCTTGTACTTGAAGCATAATTCGATGTTCAGCGAGTCAGAGAAGACGATCGTCTTCTTGTCTTGGATGCCTTCTCTATCATAGAATTCACGCATCATCTTGATGAAATCTAGAGGGTCTCCAGAGTCTTGGCGAACTCCGACGAAGGTTTGCGCATACGTCTTGCGTGGCCCCACAGTCTCATGAATGGGAGCTTCAATCGGCGGCTTGGTAGAAGCCATTGATTGCACAGCATCAGGATTCGTTGTAGCTACTGCAGATGGCACTGTGGTGGCACCTCCTGGTATAGCTGTTGTGACCGCTGGAATCTGCTTCTTAAACGCCCTCAAGAACGTCGGTGTGCCAAACGTATCTGTAAGCGCAATGCTCAAGACGCCTTCCCCGAACGTGGCCGTCCAGTACTCCAGCGCAATTTCATTTGCATTCTCGTAGTCATTTGTAATGGCAGCGACGCCCATGAACCACTCATGTGCAACTGTTCCGATGGGTAGAAGATCGTGCTTCATAGCAAAGTGGACATTGCTCGAGCCTGTCAGCTTGCCTGGCCAACCAGCCTTCTGCCCCTCATCTGCAGCCCGGCGGAGACCCTGCAATACCAGGTCTTGGGTGTGGTAGTCGCGTCGTCTTCGCGATCCGAACTCGGAAACAATGCAACCGCCTTCAAGCAATGTGCATCCTTTCTGGTATGCCTTGTCGACCTGGCCTTCATAACTCCAATCTGTCTCAACAAATTTAAAGTATGCTTCGCTGACAAGGGCGAGGAGTGGGATCTCGTAGAGGATGGTGTCAAGCCAAAGGCCTTCGGTGTGTATGCGGAAGTCGCCCAGGTCGCTGTCGGCGCCGGTATCGTCTGTAACATTGAACTCTAATCTCAGCTGCTTCGAAGGTTGGAGTCTGAATGTCGACAGGAAATGTAGGTATTGTGCGTTCAGGTATGGACAAGTCTTCTTCAGAAAGCTGAGTTCATCGTCGGTGACACGTATGTTCTCGAGCTCTGTCTGATATTAGCCAAAAAAAAACGCGACAACATGCGTTCCACATACTCGCAACTTGCACCTGGAGCCATTTGAAAGCCGCGCGGTTGAGCTTCTTTTCTGGCGTGCGGTTGGTGAAGCCATATGTGACTGAGACATCTGGGAAAAACTTGAGAATGCAGCATTGCATAGTCAGCTTGTAGAGATCCGTATCCAAGAGTGAGGATACACCTTCGGGCACGTTGGCGAAATTATGTACCATCTTGTTGTTGTGCTCTTGCTGCGCGTCCAAACAGTTGAAGTCGTGGGTGGAAGCTTCCAATTGAGGTAGATGGAGGGGTGGTGGGGGCAAGCGCGACCTTTATGATCGTGGAACTTCAGCCCCATGGATCACAAAGAGTATTACATCAGGACCCGGCCGCGGCTGGCGGAGGGTAACTCACGGGGCAAACTCCAAAAGAAACCCCCATTCACCGCCGAGACTTGAGGCTCGCCCTATGGATTCGCATGGTGACGGCATGCGGCATGTGAGGTCATAAGCGCTGTGGTGCCTCAGCCCTACAGCATACCTGCAAGGGTCTTCTAAGCTATGGGCGTCTGGATTTCAGTGCCGACACCAGACTATCTCTCAGGGTCCGCTTCCGCTCCTCCTTCTTCACCCTGAGAAATGATATTTGCGGTCTCCATACTCGCCATATCGCTGTCGTTCCTACTCTACCACCACCCACCGTCAACATGGCCCGCATTGTACGCCCAAGCGAAAGATGGTGCGGCGAGCTCGCGGCTGGATAAGTCGCAGAGCGGCGAAGCGGAGCACAAAGCCCTAGATGAACAGCGACACGTCGAGTTGCAGGATCGCACCACACGCGACACGACAAACAATGCCACCTCTGAGACTTCACCACAAACCACGCCAAAGGCCGCTCCACAAGAGCCGCCAAATGTGCCTGCAGTCCCCACCTTCACGCTCGACTCGCATCAGAGTTCAGATGAAGATGACGATGATGAAGATGACCTGCCACCGCCCTCATTTCCTGCCCTGAACTCGGCACAAAGAGCTGGTGGACAGGCTCCCACCTTCGCCATGGCCCCGCCGCCAAAGCCGAACCTCATGGCCCCGCCCATGAAACCCGCCGCCTCGTCCCTCATGCCACCCCCGCGAGTCGCGCCTTCCAATCTACGCGCTCTGCCCACTATGCGTGTACCCACCACAGGTCCTCTACCGAATCGCGGCCCGCTACCGAACCGCGGGCCACCAGTTTCTGGCGGCGGTCTGGGTGTGCCTGTCTCTGGTCGCCCCACGGCGAACACGCCCAATGCGCGTGGCAAAGTGCTTCTATCACCAGGTCACTCGCCGCTCGACTGGGCACATCTCCAGAAGTCAGGCAAGAACCTGTCGGGTGTCGACACTTTGATGCGCGTAACTCCCGCTATGCTGAAGGAGAAGAATGGCCGGAAGTCTAAGCCGGCATGGTCGGCCTACCAGGGCAAGGTCTACAACATTTCACCATATCTGCCCATTCCACCCAGGTGGTGAAGGCGAGCTCAGACGAGCTGCAGGTAAGGACGGTACAAAACTATTCATGGAAGTCCATCCGTGGGTCAATTGGGAGAATATGCTGGGGCGAGTGCATGGTCGGCATCATGGTCAGTGAGGATTCAGCACCCACGATCGTTGGAGAAAGTCTGGAAGACATGGATTAGCAAAGATACCCCCTAGAGATTGTTTTGAATTCAACCCGGGATCATCAGTTTCGGCGACAGGTGACAGTTTCGCCGAGCGACTGTGCCTCATACATGTCCTGAGGCAGCATTCTCTCCCGCAAATCAACGTTCTTCCTGCACCATGTCACACGCCCCACTCTGCGTTTACTTCTGCAGGCCACATTGGCTTGGGCAACGCTCATTAGCAGGCAACCGAGCGCGCCAATATTCCTGCCACTGCAGTCGTCCCACCTACTTTCGTCAGGGTTTCTATCAACATGCCGTCATCTATCCCCGCTCCTGTACGCCTCATTCGCAAACACAATGCGACTTCTGAAGTGCAGCAGTACAGGAGAGTTGAGTTTTACAAAGAAACACGTTGATGGAGAGCAGATCCCACCTTATGCCATACTCTCCCATACATGGCAACATGGCAAAGAGGTCACCTTTGATGATCTCGAAGGAAGTGCTGTGAATGGGTCGAAAAGCAAGAGCAAGGAAGGCTACGACAAAATCCAGTTCTGCGTACAGCAAGCGCAACGCGATGGCCTTAACCATATCTGGGTGGATACGTGCTGTATCAACAAGAACGACAGCACTGAGCTCCAACACGCCATCAATTCCATGTTTCGTTGGTATCAAGCTGCGGACCAATGCTACGTCTATCTATGGGACGTTTCGACAGTCGATGGGTGCATGATCGACGGATGGGAACCTGCTTTCAGGAAAAGTCTATGGTTTACTCGAGGCTGGGTCAGTCTTCCCCGTTTATAAAGTTGATTGTCGTCCTGTGAAATCTTTTAAGGCAAAAGCTCGAGTGGTATCGCAACAGGTCTTCCTGCACCTTTTTGCTACAACTCACATTGCTCAATGCCACTTATCATGTTTGGCACGCACTGACTCGTCCCAGTACGTTTACTTATTCGGATACCCTCTTATGAAGTCAAAAACTGAATCTTACGCCTTTACTTACTGAATTGGCTGACTGTAAATTGTATCTATACACGGCTAACGTTGTGACCTGACCCAAAGGACTTTGCAGGAATTGTTAGCTCCACGAAGTGTCAAATTCTTTTCCCGAGAAGGCAAGCAGTTAGGTGATAGGCAAAGCCTTGAGAGACAGATTCATGAAACCACGGGCATTGCATCAGCTGCTTTGAGAGCAACACCGCTCGTTAATTTTAGTGTCCAGGAGCGGTTGTCATGGATGAAAGGCCGCAACACGACATACGAAGAAGACAAAGTTTATTCACTGCTGGGGATGTTCGGCATCCATATGACAACTATCTATGGTGAAGGACAAGAATATGCAATGAGTCGCTTGTTAAGAGAAATCGATGCCGCTGCGAAGGATCGATTGCGGCAGCAAGGATTGCTTCGTGCAAGTGACACAAGTGCAGACACACCCGCAGGTGCAGTCAAACACTCGCAAGGTTCGCATGACATGTTAGCTGCACCTGGCACTAGACTTTTACGCTGATGCTATACCAGCACCCTACCTAGTGCCACTGCAAAGGCCTCGATTTTTCTCAGGTCGAGAATCACAGCTTGATCATCTCCGCAATTTCATCTTCTCTGAGGGCGGCCAGCGACTTGCCATCTACGGCCTCGGTGGCTGTGGGAAGACAGCCCTTGCTCTGGAAAGTATACACTGGATGAAAGAACTACAACCAACGCGTGCGATTTTTTGGATTCCGGCTCTGTCCCGGGATAGCTTTGAACACGCTTATTTCGATGTTGCGAGGGTGCTGGGTATACCTGGCATCGACAATGACACTGTGGATGTCAAACAACTCGTCAAGGCCAAGTTGAGTAGTGACACTATGGGACATTGGCTCATGGTAGTTGATAACGCAGACAACGCAAGCGTCCTCGTCGGCGATATTGGGACTGATGAATCAGAGGACAAGCTCATGGATTATCTACCTCACAGCCGCAGAGGCACCATCATATTCACCACGCGGACCCGTGCAGCAGCAGTTGAACTGGCTGAGAGTAATACCTTGGCATTGAAGGGATTAGAAAGAGTCGAAGCTATCGAGCTACTACACAAACGGCTGGGCCCAGGGTACCATCAGCAACTAGAAGGTCACGAAAAACTACTTCAGCTGCTCTCCTTCCACGCTCTCGCCATCGTCCAAGCAACTGCTTTTATCAACAGAAACGATATCACCCTTCAGGACTACACTACGTTGTACGAAAGCGGCGAAGACGATGCCATTGAGCTCCTCAGCGAAGACTTTGAAGACCAAAATCGGTACCGCGAAGCGACTAATGCAGTCGCCAAAACATGGTACATTTCGTTTGAGCAGATTCAGAAACAGGATCCTGTAGCAGCGGAGCATTTGTTCTTCATGGCCTGCACGGCCAGTAACGATATTGGCGCAAACATGTTTCTGCCTTACTACACTAAGATAGAGCACGTGAAAGCCATTGGCACGTTGAAAGCTTATGCCTTTGTCAATGAGCGAAATACTCAGATCGACGCCTCGACGAAAGATTCGCAGACTTACAAGAGGTTCGACGTCCATCCACTGGTCCACTTAGCAATCCGTGCCTGGCTCAAAGCGCATCAACAATGGACTGTCTGGCTGGACAAAGCACTGGCACGATTGGTGGAAATTAGGCTGGGTGGGAGCTATAGCGATCGGAATTATTGGCTGGCATACTTGAATCATGGTATGCACATGGCAAACTTCTTAGAAGCTAGGAAAATGGAGAACAGAATCAGATTGCTGGAGCAACTAGGTTCGTGCGAGGTCGATTTAGGCCGGTATCGAGCATCTGAGCAAAGCTTCCTGCAGGCCTATGAGCAGACAAGAGATACTTTTGGCGAAGGAGATCTGAAGACGCTAATAACGAGAGGAAATTTGGCAAGAGCTATCGACTTCCGAGGGAGATGGACGGAAGCAGAGAAAATACTTCGAGAAGTCGTGTCACTATTGAGGAAGGAGGTAGGTGAGAAGTCTCCACATACGCTTACCTTCATGAACACCCTGGTGGGGAATATCTTACGGCAGAGGAAACTGGACGAAGCAGAGAAGATGGTCAGAGAATGCCTCCCAATGTACAGAGACGTGTTTGGAGAGTCCAATGATAGGACACTCACAGCCATGAACCAGTTGGGTTCGATAATGCGCGACAGGGGGTGCCTTGAAGATTCTGAAAAGATATTTCGAGAGACACTGGCATTGTCTTCTACAGCGTTTGGTGAGGAGGACAAGCTGACCCTCAGCACTCTCCATCAACTAGGCGCAACATTGGAACGCCAAGAAAAGTTTGCACAAGCACAAGTCATTTACAGACAAGTGCTAGCTGGGAAAAGAAAGGTGTTTGGAGAAGATCACCCGGTGACAGCGGTCAGCATGAACAACCTGAGCGCATCACTTCGTCGCGAATACACGGAACCTGCCAAGCTGGCGGAAGCAGAGCAACTTCAGAGAAAGGCACTCTCACTCGCTGTAGAAGAAGCTGGAGCCGAGAGTCGATATACATTGATGCAAAAATCTGCACTAGCCGACACCTTGCGAGCACAGCTCAAGTACGCCGAGTCGATACACATGCACCAGGAGACGCTTGCATCGAAGGAGAAAATATTGGGCAAAGACGACCCCGCTACTATCGACAGTGTGTTCAGCCTAGCTACACTGGCCCTTGATCAGATGCAGTATGAAGAAGCTCTACCTCTTTTTCAACGCGCGTACGCGTGGTACATGGATAGGTATGGAGCCGAGCACCTAATGACAAAGAACTGTGCGACAGAACTGGCTTGGGTCCGGCGGGTGATGGAGGAGGATAGACTGGCGGCAGCAGAGAAGGCGAAAACCAGAGATCTGGGTCTTGACACGCCAGAACCGTCTCGAGATGTGAGCATAGCGGGAAGGAAAGACGGTATGAAGTTCAATGGCTGGCGGAGAAGGCTACAAGATATAGTGAAGAAGTCTTGAGGGTTGAGAGGTTTAGATTCGTTGGGGTCTCATCTGAGGACATTAGACACGCAGTAGTGAAGTGGTCTCTCCTGCAGTTTCACGACTTCTTGTCCATGCCAGTGATCACGCACTGCCGCGTCTTCTACGCAAATATTGGATATTTCGTACTAGTCGAAGTATCGCTGCCGTTGACTCGGTCCGGATGCTCAGGAAGCGAGGCTGGGTGCTGCATGCAATGTATATGCACGCCGCAGGGGTTCACATGTCAGCGAACGTGCTAGACTACACAGCTCGTATACGATGATGCATCATGATGTCCAGCCATGCTTTGGAAGCATGAACTTTCCAGGCTGTCAACACTGGCAACCTGCGTGAAGACAACTGAGCGTGACGTGTGCAGCTTCTGAAAACGGAGCGTCCGCGCACCGGGCCCGTTCTACGGGAGCCGGGACGACAAGGCCGTTGTTTGAGGCAAAGCAGCTTGCGAGCTGTGATTGGCGAGAGCTTGAGGAGCTCGATGAGGTAACGGCGAGCTTTGAGAGGAAAGAGCTGTCGACGACATCAGAGGACAGCTCCTTCCATATCTTTGCGTCCGGCGCGTCTCCAGGTAGAGCGCCTTGATCCGCTTGACAGCGCCTCGAGCACGGCGCTGGACAACCTGCTTCTCGCTCGCTATGCCTTGGCCCCCGTCTAGGCTTAGTCGCGCCAGCTCATCGCTGGCATCATGGACTCCCCATCCACGACCCATCGCATCCGGATCGCTGGTCTAATCTGAACTGACGCCAGTCCATGTCGCGTATGCACGTCTGCTCCTGGTCAATGCATCTCCCCACCGCCCGAAATTCGTTGTCGTTCGTTGGGGGTTCTTGGACCGTGTCTTTCAGCGTCAGCGACCACTCCGGCGCGACTTGAGCAGGCGCGCACCTCAGACAGCGCCAATTGAGACACAGGCGTGTCTTCGTCTATTCGAGTCGCACCTCCGAAGAGGCGCGGCGGCCGTGCGCTGCGGGTGGAAGAAGCCCTCGCTTCACTGCTGACCTCGGTGGTGACGTTGCTGGCCAGCAGCGCAACAGCAGCAGCAGCATCACGGCGAGTTGGACGCCCGCGAACAACGCAGCAGCGCTTGCAATTGCACGAATCGCGCGTGCATCCAGGTCGCATCTGGGCTGGCCGTCTATAAGTGTCGGTGAAGCTGTACGTGAGTGTATGGAGCTCTCCAACCCCCCCAGCCACTTCACCAACCACCTCACCAAATCTCCGCGCGACTCCCTTGGGAGCACAGCAGACATGGCACCGCTGCTAACCTACCCACCGCCTCTGTATCTAACGCATCCTCCAGCCATTGCCTTACTCTACGCGCATTCCGGTATAACCAGCGCTCCCCAACACGCCTCCTCACCCGGCCGCTACGCGCCGACATCTGCCTCCAGCCAGGGAGGATTGCGCCCACGGGTGCGATTTTCTTGAGTGCACACGTTTCACTTCGCCGTGACGTCGTCGAGCAGCTCACCCCCAGAGTTTTTCAACCTGCTGCCCTCCCGCGACACGCGTAACGAGACCCACGACTCCCCAGCACCAGAGCAACCTTACCAAACATCACTACAGCTACGCCAGGTACGGCCCACCTTGCCATTGTGAGCTTCAACGTAGTAACAAACCGCAGCAGCAGGCTGCAGAATTCTATCGGACCCAGCACAACCACTCGCGAGCCTCGAGTTCCTCTGGTAGTGCCGCGTACAGCCTCCGACGCATACCAAACTTCGAGCGCGCACGGTCAGTTGACCCGACACAACAGCAGCAGCGACTTGTCCGGTTCGCGGACAATTCTTCATCGAGCTATCGTCCACGTGCACGATCGCTTTCTCGCAACCCCGAATACTTCGAGCCACACCCCGCCCTTCGCATCTCGCGGCGCACCGCCTCTGCCATCAGGTTTGTTCTCGAAGAGGCAATCCGCGTTCCCGTACTCGTTCACACCCCGACCTGATCGAGGAGAACGCGCACATGAGTGATCTGACGGGCGGACGCGCTGCCAATGGCGGTGCACGAGGAGGCCCTGTTCCCAGTTACACAGCCAGACCGCTCCCGGCATTCGCACTCCGCAGATGATCATGAACGCCCGACGACAACGACAGCAAGAAGCGGAGGCAGAACAGCAGCGGAAGGCCGAAGAGGAGCGTCGAAGAAGCGCCGAAAGAAGAGCCCAAGCTGCTGGCGTAGCTGGCACCACCACCGCCGAGCCTGGAGCTCAGAGACAGCCCCAACCAGCTGCCTCAAGACCCGGCGAACAATTCGTACAATACCCACCACCTGGCGTACCGCGCCAACCAGAACGCGTAGTCCCCCAAGCTGGTCCGCCTCAGGATACGACAGCCGGCCACTCGAGATCGAGGACGAACTCGCAATCGCAACAGCCACCTCGACCTGCTCAAGCAAATCAATCGGCTACCATGCCAAGCGCAGAGTCGAGAAGGCCGCCCCCTGTGCAACACGCTCGACGACCGTCCGCTGCTTCAGGCCCGTCACAAGCAGGACCCTCGTCGACTGCACCTCCGCCAGGGTCAACAAGCGGACTGCCACGAGATTCGACAACATCCTCATTCCCACATGCTTTTGAGCGCTGGGAAACGCTGTCTTCACATTGGGAGGGTCTTACCTCGTATTGGATACGGCGACTCGAAGCCAACACCGATGAGAATCGCAGGGAGCCATTGGCACAACAGTTGTCTCGGCAGATAACAGATCTCTCAGCTGCAGGAGCTAACCTGTTTCATGCTGTCGTTGAGCTCCAGCGCCTGCGCGCATCGTCGGAGCGAAAGTTCCAGAGATGGTTCTACGACCATCGCCAAGAACAGGAACGTGCCCAGGAGCGAGAAGCACAATTGGTGAAGTCACTGGAGACAGAGCGCGAGGCGCGTAAAGAGGCTGAAGCGAATGTGGAACGCATGGCAACTGAGAAGAAGAATGCGGAGCGGGCAGTGGTTGAGATGAAGCGCGAGCTGCAAATCTCAAAGGAAGAAGCTCGACGAGCTTGGGAAGAGCTGGGACGTAGGGAACAGGAAGAACGCGACCGCACGTTTTCCCTCCGAGAAGGCCAACCGACTTGGGTCGGCGGTGTACAAGTAGTTCCCCGGGAGCCAAACATGGGCCGAGGTGGAAGGGCTTCAGAAGATGCATATGCCGGTGCACAGAGCGGAGGATCAGGCATTGAACAACACTACTCATATGAGGAAGGCCAATCACCGACAGATACAGACCCTTTCACAGAGAGCGCTCGCCATGGTCGTCGAGAACCTGATGCACCATCGCTAGCTCAGGGCTCCTATGTGCCAGCGGGAGCTACATCTGCTTCCTCCTCGCGGCCTGGTACCTACAGTACCGCTGCTGAGCAATCGCAAATCCCTGCCCCCATCCAGGTTCAACCGCGGGTAACTCATGCTCAGCAGCCGCCCAATCAGCAAGCAATGTCGCAACCCGAAGCTTTCTACCAGCAGCCGGGGTCGTACTTGCATGAAGATCCTGAAGGAGGCGTACCAGAAGACGAGATGTCGTATGTGACATCACACGGCGAGACATCAGAGGGCGAAGATGAGGACTACCCAGCAGACGCCCGAGGTGGCTATGTGGTGAATGATGCGGGCCACCGTGTACCCTACAATTCAGTCCGGTCGCCTGTCTCAGACGAGTACGATGTGCAAGAAGATCGCCGTCGCGAGTTGGAGCATCTCCAGCGCTATGGTACTGCAGCCTCTTCGTCGGGCGGGTATGCTACAACTTCCAGCGCTGAACCATCGGCGGGAGGGGCATTCGCGACAGCCGGCCAGGCTGACTATAGCGGAGATGGCTATGGGGACGAGTGGGTAGGCATGAGGCACCACCATCCTACGCGACTGAGCGATGTTCCGGAGGAGGACGAGCGAAGTCGCACGAGTCCCAGCAGGGCGAGTCAAGCAAGCAGAGGAAGGTTGTACTAGTTGAACCTTCACAACCACTCCACATCCTGCAGTACATTTTGTGTCAAAAGAGCATATTATCGCAATCATCAGTATCGCCTTTGTCAATTTTCTACCCTTCTTCAGAGCTCTTGTGAGCTCCTAGACATCCCATGGTTGTCTCTTGTTACCAGCGATTTGAATTGCATGGTCACTCCGTGTATTAGTAGTTTTTTGTTTTGTCATTGCAAGCATGGTGTTAGCGGATGGGCATCTAGCATAGGGCGTGGACATAATGTGGGAGACGAGGAGTTAATAGGTGCATATGTGCGAGTTGTCAGAAAGCAGCCGTTTGGGCGGCTTTCTTGAGCCCAGAATGAACAGATATTGTGCATCTTACCGCTTTGGCCCCATTTGAGTGCATCGTGCTGACATGTGAAAGCGCCATGTTCGATCACTACGCCCGGATGACTCCAGCCTCCTATCCAACGTGTCGTGCAGGTGTGCCTCATGACTAGAGAGCCTGACGAAGAAATCGAAGATGCGCTTCCAAAGGGGCAGGGATAGGCTGCGCGCACCCCACATTCTCCAGACTTTGCATGCACACTGCGTGGGATCATCAGTTTCCTCACATGCAATACATAATCCTGGATTGCTTCAAATGGGTTGTTGAGTAACCCTGCGCATGCATGACGTGCAGGAAACTTTTCTGGCTCCGCGGAAGCTGTTCAGAATGGAAATTGTCTGAAAAGGCTTTGTCGCGGCGGGGAGGTCTGTAACGGCGAGGCCACAGTTGAGTAGGGTACCAAAGTATGCTGCAGGTCCCATGGCAAAGGTCTGGCGCTGGCTGCTGAGTGGAGGGGGTCTTTGGGCCTGCAATCGATACGAAGCGGGCAAGCCCCTGCCGTCTTTGTCTAGGTGCATGCCTAGCGATGACGATGGTCGAGGCTCATGTGCCAGCATTCATTCATCCTTGCCTTACCTTTTTGGCTGACTGCGCCTGGCCACGTTCCATACTTAGATCTGATGTCTGCCCTTTTGCACGAGCAGCTTCTCGACTGCCGCCTTCTTCGCAGACTCTCCCTTGAACGGCTTTGGACCGAAATCGAGCGCGGCGCACCTTCCACGACACACCGAGACAAGGGCACATGACCGCGATTGACGTAGCCTACTCTACACCGCGACTTGAAGTACGCACTACCGTTCACTACCACGAGCCGTTGCTGCATATACCCGAGCCATCCGGCTAGCTACATCACTACCTCACATCTGCCCTCACGCGAGCGACCCTACCTCTCCTCGCCCCCTCGACCGCCGGTCAAGCCCATCATCACCGCGGTCGCGCATGGCTTGCTCTCGCTCTCTATGTCCCTTCTTACCGACACCATTTTCACGGGAGGCAGCACGCGACTGCATAGCAAGGACAAGAAGAATGACTTGAAAAGCATCAGGAAGAGCAAGAGCCATGGCGGGCTGCTTGCGCCCCTCGTACGACTGGTGCAGAATCCAATTGCCGCACTGGACAATGTTCTCAGCAGCCAAATCAGCGTGCCTGAGACGGAGACACATGCGCCAGAATCAGATAGCAGAAGGCAGATCCTGTACCTGCGCATGAACAACGTGGGTGCCACGTATTGGGTGCGGCTCGCTTTCACATGCTAATGCGCACATGCAGGCCGAGACATACGACGAATGGCATGCTGCCGCAACCGAGCTTGATGCCCTGGAAGGAAACGACCCCTGGAAAGAGGACGACGACTCGCCCGAGTACGATGTTGCTCTTGTGAAAGCCCGTCTGAAAGAGCTGGACGATGCCCGTCTAAGCTGTGACGTCAGGAAGATCCAATTCCTGCTTCGCACCGCCCTCACACGCAATCTGGGTGGAATGGGCGGCGTAAAGCTGTATAAACATTCGCATGTGGGCACTAAGAAGCTCATCGAGCGATACATCGATTCGGCACAGAAGACCCTGGCTGCTTTCATAGACGTTTCGGCCAAGCAGGGCGACGAGTGTCCCTTGACGCCCGACCAACTGGTCGAGCAAATGACCATCACCCGAGCATCATTCGGACGAAGCGCATTGCTGTTGTCAGGAGGCGGAACTTTTGGGATGAACCACATTGGCGTTGTCAAAACTCTGTGGGACCAGCGCCTGCTTCCACGAATTATATCAGGCGCATCGGCAGGGAGCATTGTGTCTGCGGTGCTGTGCAGCAAGACCGATGAAGAGATGCCAGCTGTGATGCACGAATTTTGCCATGGTGATCTGGACGTGTTCGAAAAAGCCGGAGAGACCGAAAGTTATCTACATAAGCTCGTGCGCATGGTCAAGCTGGGTTTCCTTTTCGACATTCAGCATCTGCAACGGGTCATGAAAAATCTACTAGGAGATATGACTTTCCAAGAAGCATACAATCGAACGCGACGCGTACTCAACATTCCGGTTTCCAGCTCGTCGCATTTTGAGCTTCCCCGGTTGTTGAACTTTGTGACTGCACCCAATGTTATAATCGCGTCTGCAGTTTGTACCTCATGCTCCGTTCCACTGGTTTATGCCCAGTCCCAGCTCTGGGCGAAGAATTTGAAGACGGGCGAGCTGCAGCACTGGAATCCGGACACGGATGCAACCTGGATTGATGGTTCGGTAGACAACGATCTTCCGATGACTCGGCTTGCGGAGATGTTCAACGTCAACCACTTCATCGTTTCTCAAGTAAATCCGCATGTAGTCCCCTTCCTGGTCAAGGATGAGGAGCTGGTGGCCACCGACCAGCCCCAATTTCCTATGGCAACAGCTGAACCAGGATGGCTCCTCAACAGCCTTGACATCGCCAGAGGTGAAGCTGTGCACCGCATGCAGATGTTGGGCGAGATGGGAATCATGCAAAGCACCATGACCAAGCTTAGCTCTATCCTCAGCCAACGGTATTCTGGTGACATCAATATCTATCCACAGGTCTCTTTAGCTGACTTGCCCCTGGTGCTCACTAACCCAACGCCAGAGTACATGGCTGGATGTATGCTGGCTGGCCAGCGTGCGACATGGCCGAAGCTTTCGCGGATACAGAACCATATCGCAATGGAGTTGGCGCTGGACGATGCAGTCAAACTGCTAAGCGCCCGCGCAGTGTTGAGAAACGGAGAAAGGGAGCACGCTACAAACATGAGCAGACCAGCATCCGCCGGAAATGATGTATCGGGCATCAAACGATCAAAGTCGTCATATAAGATTACACGATTCGGGACTGCGCCACCTAGTCCACTTGGGAAATCGGCGCCGACCAGCCCGCACCTCTCTCGCGCCTCCCTGAAATTACCAGCACGATTCGATAGATCACCGATTGAACGAACTCATGCCAACTCTTCGAGAAAGCGGATTGACTCGCAAAATATCAAGCAGAAAGATTCACCTGCCTTGCAGATCCTCTCGCCCTCCACCAATGAGGAAGGCTCATCAGACCGCGACTATTTTGCTGAAGACGACTCAGATACTACAGACGTGCTTTCAACTCCTCCTGCTGTATCGTCATACTCCCGGTTACCTCCCATGTGGTCGACTGCACCAAGCTACAGCCCATTTCAGTCCCCCTCACAACCTACAACGCCCCATGCATCGAATCCCGTTTCAACACCTACATCAACATCTTCCGATCGCCGGAGCGGCATATTACTAAACCTCAGCATGACACCCGCCATCCCCACACCCGCTCCTACGATCGCAGTTCCAAGTTCTCCGGAGCTACGGTACAAAAGTCTCTTCCATCCTCCAGGCCCGGTTCCTCTCGATACACGCCCAGCAGACGTGGAACGATTAAGCACACCGAGTAGCAGGCGTGGGAGCGTTCATAACTTAGTCCGGACCCCCAGCTTCGACAACTCGGGCACTAGAGGAATGCTAATGAGGAAGAAGAGCGTTGGGCACATGACACCCGAAGCTATGGAGGATTGATGAACATCGTTTATACCCAGTCTGCAACCTACTTTCTCTTCCCTTTGTACGAGAGAACACATGGCATTAGAACCTGCATTATCTGCATGTCATTGGCGTTTTCATCATCATTACTATTACTACAACACCAGCTTTATTCCTACACGCGCACTCGGCGCCGGATATATATATGTCCGTAAACGTAGACACAAGTCATCAATCAATCAATAATCATACAGACAACCAACCGCATCCCATCCCCGTTCTTTCACTCCTTTTCCCTCTCCACAAACTTCCTCTGCACCTCCCCTCTCCACCGCCCATACAACTCCCACCCAAACACCAGTATGATCGGTATCCCCACGATGATCGCAGTCACGCGCCGCGCCGCGGGTTTGTACTTGGGCGGCAGCCGTATGTCGGGCGTCGGCTCGATGACGCGACCTCGAGGCCGGGAAGCAGCAGGCGCAACGAGCGGTCGAGACGATGACGTGGGGATAGACGAGGGTTGTTTGGGCGACGGGGCGTGGAGCGGGGCGCGTGGGAGGGGGATTGTAGTTGTGTTGTGCGAGGGGCGGAGGAGGGTGGCTTTTGCTGGGGCGGGTTTCGCTTGTGCGGGAGCATTTTTGGGTATGCTAGTAGCTTGAGATTGAGGTTGAGGTTGAGGTTGAGATTGAGGAGGTGTGGCTTTGAGTGTCCCCGTTGCGCGGACTTGAGTGAGGATTTCACTCGTTGACGGTGCTGCGGGTGTTGGTCCTGATTTTGGCGCAAGTTCTGGGATTGGGCTTTGTGCAGCATTTGGGAGCGATGTGCTGGGTTGGCGGACGGTCATGGTGGGCTTTGGCGCGTCTTTCTTCGCGGCGGGTTTTGCTGCTGGGCGCGCGGGCGCTTTCTTCTCTTTTTCCTTCTCCTTGATTGCTCGGGGTTTTGCAGGCGCGCTTCGTACGGTGGGTTTCGCGTCTGCGGGCGCAATCGGCTTCGTGTCGTCGGTTGCGGGTTTCTTCGCTGGGCGGCCGCGCTTCTTGACGGCGGGTGGGGGTGTTGTAGACATCGCTGGGAGGTCAATTGGTCGCGAGGATGTATGGATAATGCGATTGTGGGTGTAGGAGGCGGGAGAGGAGGAAGAGGATGTGTATTTGCGCTGATGGAGTGGTAGGATGTGTATTGGAACTTTTGTGGCGCGAGGGCGGGCATGACAGGGATGCTGTGTTTATCGATAGGAGATCATATTTAATCGTGAAGAAATGGAAACGCAGTTGTGCGACGTCAGATCATTGCCCAGCAAACTTCTAACAGTCTTCTCCATAATGATGACATCTCATCCAGACGTATTGCTCATCACTACTCCGGTAGTCTTGCTGAGTCTTGTCTACCCGTGCTTTCCCTGTGCCACATGAAATCCCACCATGAATATGTCGTTACCTGACGCAGTGACCTCGCTATTTATGTAAATACTTTAGAAAAGTCGAACAAGTCGAAAACCAACTGTCGATTTCTCACAAGTAGCAGCATCGGGTTGTTGATATGTCGCCTTGGACCCCGAAGATGATGCTCCTATACGCACTCTGTCTTCATGCGACCCTTCTTGGTGTAACTGCATTTAATCTACACCGCCCCCGTGCACCCGATATAGCCTTTGGGCTCACACCCAACTACGGGTAAGCCGATTATTCGTGTTCAATTCACTGCTATTGACGAACAGCCAATAGCATAGATGTGATCTATTTCAAAAATGGAACATCTTCACCCATCGCCCAAGTTCAAGGGTCGCCTGCATATCAATCGTTCATGAGACATGCTGCACCTGGACGACCCCCAGAAGCAGGTGCGCTGTGCCAATGGATCACTCCATACCTCGATCGTCTGCCCGCCACCCTTGGTCTAGACATACCCTCCTATCGCAGTCCCGATTTCTCCAGCAAAGGAGTTCATGAGGGAGGAATGCAATTGCTAAAACTAACGCCGTTGACAAGGGGTATCATATTCCCATATCTGAAATCCGAAGATGCTGTCATGCATGTGGTTTGCGTAGATACTCCTTTGCCGCTGCGCGAATCACCTTGTTACCCTATCCACGAAATTTTCACTCCGAACGCCAACTTTTGCACCAAAGCCGCTGCGCTATCAATAGCCCTTGTCAATGGTCATTCGCAAGCTCCGGCTCTTTTCCATCCCGGCGCAGGACTTTGTACCAGCCACGATACCATGAGTCATGCTCGCTGCTTCCAAGAAACACTTTCTCCAGATTGGGGAGGTAGGTGAGCACGTTCGCGCCAGGCAGCTCATCCCATATGATGATCTTGGTGAGAGCCTGGCGCTGTTGGCGAGTGAGACGCTGCTCATGGACGAGGAAGTTGAACATGGTGTTGTACTTCTCGAAGGCGATCGTGTTGAGCTTGAAAGGGAGCGGGCCGGTCTCCAGATAGAGCTGTCTACAGACATCGTTGAGTAGAGGGAAACCAGTAGAGGTCTCGACGTCGGGTAGCTGCTTGAGCTTGTACGGATCGACCCGCTTATGGAAGACTGTGCAGTGGTATTTGAACACAGGCACGACCCTGGAGAGCGCGTCGTCTTTGTTGTTCGGGCGGTAGGTCTCGTATCTGATCCGGATGGTGTTTCCTCCAAGTACGTGTTCGTAGATCCGGTTGCGGATTTCTCCTGGCAGTCGTAGCAACGGCGAGTTGCGCTGGTTATCAGTCCATCTGAAATTGTCAGTGTATGCTCTATCGTGTCTCTGGCTTATGCTTACAGCTGTGCCTCTTTCGAATTGCTAGACAGGCGATCACCGCAGATGTTCCTATGCGGCGGGCAAGACTTATCCGCGATGTACTGTTTCGGGACGTATGGCTGCTTCGGCTCGTCTGGCTTGATGACCTCCTCCAGAGGCGGCTTAATGGCCTCCTTGCGCGACCATGACGGCTTGGTAACCTGGTTTGCCAGGCTTGCAGCTCCTTGAAGACCCGGAAAGAACTTGCTCGCCCGTTGGCCTTGCTGCTTCTGGATCTCGGTGGGTGGCGTGGGAAGCTGGCTTCGCGCCGCCTGCTTGCTACCCTTCACGAAGTTCTGGTCGTTCATGGTGGCCTCAAATTTCTCTCGACTGCCGTAGATACTGTGGTTCCGCATAGGCTTGACCGGCTTGAGCTTGCCTCCTAGGGCCCTGTCAAACACAGATGATCCGTTGCTATTCGCTGGTGCGGTGTCGACGTTATCGCTGTCCGAGTGGATATCAAAAGATACAGGTCCGCGAAAGCTCTGGAAAAGTGAGGATGACTGTGAAAGGCGGGCTCGAGGAGGTGGCAAGCGCAGTTCGTCGACTTCTTCACTCTTGCAACGCTTTCGGCGCGCTTCTTCGCGCAATTTTGTAGCTTGAGAGTAAGTTCGTTTGGCCATTGTGGATCCCTGCCAAGGCTGATGTAAATATAGCGGTGGTGATGCGAAGCTATCCCAAGAGGTGGACTGGCGGAGTTGAGCGGTCGCAATACGTGGGAAGGAGTAACGAAGTGCGTGCTTTGGCAGCGCGGGCGCAGGTTAAGTTGCGCAAGAGCCTGTCCACAGAGTTTCTATATATAGCAAGGCTTTCACGATGACGCGCAAAGTATAGGTGGGTTTCCGTCCTTTCACCTCACCAGCAGTTCGTCTGAACGCCAGTTGAGCAACTGGTAGCCTAGGCAGCGGCGCAGTAGCACAACACAGCTATAACTACAGAGCGCGAGAAACACTGTCGCAAATATAGAGTATGACATTCGCGACGAAAGCCGTCTTGAAGAATTTGGGTGCTGTATGTACGGATCCTCAAAGTTTCCATCCTGGGGTCGCATTTGTTACGCGCGCTCACATGACAATTTCCCTAAAGCGGCTAGCGCCCTACCAGCCAACCGCGGGCTGCTATGGTCAAGGGTGCGCGGACTCCATCACTATCAGTACAAATTTCGACGTGAAGAATACGTAGTTCCTTTGAGATAACATATGAGTCTGCAGCTCATGATGTGCATCCGAAAGCAGACGTGATCGCGCATGCCGATCCAGGCGTCTACAGGTACCAGAAGATGCCTACACTGCCGCGAATGACTTCAAGAAAACTGAGTTCGTATTACATTCGAGGTGAAGGGTGAGTGGGAACAGTCATTTCCGGATCCAGGGCATGGCTGGCGCTCTTACACAACATCACTTTCCTTTGCGGCTTGTTTGCGCCTTCTCCACGTCGTTTCATCATCTCACTTTCATTGTCATACTTCACCGTCAATTGCGACACCGATTATATCGTCTAGAGAATCTCTATGACCCAGCCTAGTCGTTTCTGGTCTTTCTGAAGAGCAACCGTGGTGTTTGCGCCTTGGTCGTGGTCACCCACCAAGCAACGCGTGCTGCAGCAGGCGCGCAAGTCGCCTTCACCTTTGACAATCCGACGCGACGCAACTAGAAATTTAGTTCCTTCTCTCTACTTGCTCCTCCACCACATTCAAAATTCACCCCTCGCCCGCTACAGCTTATAGCACGCTGTCAAGATGCCAGGTATGTGCCTTGATACGACGACCGCTATCAATCATTGCTAGCACGCCATATGATCCAGTATTGACTGTGCACAGCAGTTCAACAACTCGATTGGAGTGGCTTTCCCGCGCCGCCACCTGAGGCCGAGGGCTGGAAGCCAGACCCAGATTCGATCCCGAGAACCGGTGCGCTGAAGGATCCTCGTTTCGGTAAGGATCCTTGGGAGGCAAACAAGTGAGTGGCCTCATATGTGCGCGATCCATGTAGCTTACACATGCTTATTAAACATACATCAGGCTCCAAAATGCGAGAAAGCAATTCGGCTATCACCTTCACCACAGCTCGGAAGCGAGAAGACTGGCCTCGCCATCATCAGCCTCTCCAGCCAGTGCTACGTTGTCGATGGGACAGTGGCCGCAGCAAGAGCCGCAACAAGCCTCCCAAGAGGATACCCCAGTTGCAACAGCGCACATGATTACCGACATGGACCTTTCAGTAGCACATGCAACATCGCTCGCAGGAACAGCGCTCACAGCTACAGCTTCCACAGGTGTGAAGACAGAGACCGTCGGTGAGGCCCTCGCAGCCAAGCTTCCGCCTTCTTCCAAGACTAGCAAAGGCGCAATGGAAACCATACTAACTACGCCCATGCCCGGCACGCTACCCACTGAGAAAAGCACTTTCCCTCCATGGGCAGGTGCAATCGAGAAGGCGCTCGCGGAGGACACCTCAAGAACATCGTGTCTGCCAAGCTCAACACCCTCTAAGTCCATCCCGCCGCATCTGCGGAAGAAGTTGAGCAGCAATAGCCCGTCGCTGCAACAGAAGATTCCGATTGCATCCGAGGGTCGGACTGTCAGCCTCGACAACCAGTTTCAAGCAGCTATGCAGGCAAGCTGTCATGTTTCGGGCTCTTTGAAAGCTGACACAGAGACGGATGAACATGTAAGTCCATCGGCTTTTTCCCCCTAACTCAAGCTAATGTCCATTAGACCTCTACAAACTCAAGCAACATCGCCGAGACCCCTGTCAGGTCCACGAATGTACGCTACAGAGACCATGGCCACTACATGAAGATACAGTTGGTGCTTGTAATGGAGATGGATCTCCGAAAGCAAGAGCTGCTCCAGTTCAACGATAGGGACCTGGAGAATCGAATGATGGACCTCTCCTCAATCCACCAAGAGTGGTTCGAAGCTCATCATGGCGGGGAGGAACCTAATTGAGGCCCTCACTGATGCGCTGGGTAAGATAGTCGCAGAAATTTGAGCATCGAATCCGTTGCTAACAAGCAGTAGTTCTTCCAAAGGCGCAAAATTGGCGGTTGTGAGCACATATGCTCAGAGGCAGATTGAAACTTCGGTATGGGGTGTCATGTGGACAAGGGCGTGCTACTGGGCTCAGTGGTTCAAAACTGGCCTGCCCCGCAGGAACATGTGCTTGCTTCGAAACTCGACTGGTACGACGGCGCGGTCGCAACTAACAAGCAAATACCTGTAAGATTTTGGAATTTAGGACAGTCACTGGGTATTTGTGCATTTCCTTGTTTACTCCTCAGCTGTCGCACGTCGCGGCAACAAACATGCATTGACTTAACTGGAGCAAACCACCTACAAACAATCACTGGCACGAGATAATGCCTTCTTTCACAGTCAGCTTGTGAGTCGCTGTGCGGTTCGCTTGTGCCATGTATAAAATGATGATGTTCAACACCTCTTTTCGACACATCTCGATGGTGAAGTGTACACATCACGACAGAGCAGAAGCCATAATCTCATACAAGCAATCTACATACAACTTGCCGCATCGCCAAAATATTGTGAAATCCGGCAACAACAGTGAAATCGAAACAGAGTCGCATACCGAGTCGTGCAATATGATCGCCTTGCAGCACCAAGGTGTTAGCAACTTGGAACCCAGCTACGGCGCATACTCCGACAGCCCAATCGAATCCACCAAAATATTGCACCAGGGCAAAGACAATATGCCAGCCAAAACGCTCACAAATTACAAGGACAGCGCACTCACACGGCAGTCCCTACTCCAACTGCATAGCAAAGTGGTTCCAGATCACGGTGAGAGTATCGTGAATTGTCTCGAAGAATTCGTTACAGACAGGTCTGCGCAGTTGGATAATCAGGACGAAAATCTCATCCGCGACCTGGGCGTCCATTTTGAGGCGTTGAAGAGCGAGTTCGAGGAGACGACAGGGAGAGCTTGGACGCCGCTGCGTGCGTGGGAGAAGGAGGATGGGGAGTGGGATTTGGTGGGCGAGGAGTAGGGGGAGGGTGAATTGGTTGTGATGGATATTATGGAAGGGTAGGAGGTGGTTGTGGGTTGTAGGTGGGCAGTGTTGGACTGGTGGCGCCTTCGTTGCATTCGTGCTCTGTGGCCGGTGTGATTTTGTAGCGCAAATTATAAGGCTTTAAAGCTATCCAGGATGCGTTCTAAGCATGTGACCTTCATACTTGTTGGGATGGAACTAGTGGATGGAATGTGGGTATGAGCGCTGGTCACATGCTCAACACACAGTGGCCGATAAAGGCACTTCTAAAACCGTCGCTTTCTCTACCAAATGCATGCAATATCTTGCTACTTACCCCTCCTGATTGTCCGAAGCCTAGACCAAAGCGAGTCTGTGGAAATATCACGATCCTATCAGATGGCTCGCTCCTCCTTGGTGTACCATGGAAGTAGGCGCGGGCCGTTCGGGATACCGTTGCGTACCACGGTTTGGGGAACCAAGGTTATCAGAGTGGTTGAGCCGGAATAGTTTTGGTAATTCGGATTATTCTATCATATATAAAATATTCTCAATCCCCACATTTGCAGTTTCTTATCTTCTCCGCAAAACGTCTTTTGTGACACTGACGAGTTTCCCCATACTCTCTTATCTAACTCAACACACGACACACCACAACGTAAGTAGCGAAGACATGCAAGGTTAATTTGCAGATCCGTGATCATATACTCACTCTTTTTGCTAGGAATTGCCTATCATGGCAGAACTGAGACATCCCAGCGATGCAACCATCGACTCCAACGGGCCTGGTGCAAAAGAGGCCAATTCTTCTGCCTTTGAGACAAACCACCTAGGACAAAGCTCAACAGCGTCAACGACGCCAGGCCCGTTGATCCTCAACGAGGCAAATGCTATCGAGCACACGGCCTACCAATGGTCGTCTCACAAGAAGTGGGCCGTGCTCACCGTCGTGGCCTTGTGCCAGACGAGCATGAGTAAGTTCTCATCAAGACCACGGAGTCCATATGAATAGTTACTGACGCCTCGTAGATTATAACGCGGCCGTGTACTCGAACGCGATCGGCCCTCTCAACGAGGAGTACAACCTCGGTGAGAACCACTTCACCAACGCCAGAGCCGGCATGGCCTGGTTTCTGATCTTATACGGTATCGGATGCGAGCTGTGGGCGCCGTGGTCGGAGGAGTTTGGCCGCTTTTGGGTGATGCAGATTTCGCTCGGCGCTGTCAATCTCTGGCAGATCCTTGCTGGTGCCAGCACCAGTTGGTCTATGGTTCTCGCTGCTCGTCTCCTTGGTGGTCTTTGTTCTGCGGGTGGCTCTGTTACGCTGGGTATGGTTGCTGATATGTTTGACACTGAGGACCAGCAGTTCGCCGTACTTTGGGCAAGTCTTTGGTCTTGTCTTGGATCTGGTAAGTTTGTGCAGTGTTTAGACAGAACCGATAGGCTAATATTCACGCAGTCATTGGCGGCATCTGTGGTGGTCCCATCGAGCAGTACCTCGACTGGCGACTCAACTTCTGGATCCAGCTTGCTTTCGGCGCCACCGTCCAGCTGATCCACTTCTTTTGCGTTCCAGAAACTCGCTCCACCATCATGCTAAACCGGCAGGCGAAGCAAATCCGCAAGGCAGACCCCAGCGTCAATGTCAGAGGGCCTACCGAGGACGAAAGAATCAAGGGTAAGGAGATTGCCGTCATCATGTTCCGCCCGTACAAGATGCTCATCACCGAGCCTATCGTCGGCTTCTTGTCCCTGCTCTCTGGCTTTGCCGACGCGCTCATCTTCAGCTTTCTTGAGTCATACAGCTACGTCTTCAAGGACGGTTGGGGTTTCACTCCCAGCCAGCTCAGTTTCGCTCTCTTCGCCCTCTTCATCGGGTACTGGTGCGCTTGGGGCGTGTATCTACCCGTTATCAGGCGCCACAACCAGCAGCGCAAGAACGGTGCACAGCTCACGCCCGAAAGTCGCCTGTGGTTCCTGCAGTATATTGTCGTAGGTCTTCCGGTCGGTCTCTTGGGCTCTGCGCTCCTCGTTAGGGGACCGCCTCTACCGTGGATCGGGCCTCTGATCTTTGCCGTCCTCATCGGATGCTCGAACATGGCCATCTACTTTGGCACCATTGACTACATGGTCGCCGCGTACGGAGGCAAGTACTCTGCGTCTGCCACGGGTGGCAACGGCTTCTCTCGCGACGTGCTTGCTGGTCTTTGCTCCTTCTATACCGGCCCCATGTACCGCGTGCTCGGTGTTACAAATGCAACTTGGGTGTTGTTTGCGCTGTCGGTTGTGGTCTGCATTCCGGTATACGTGATCTACAGGAAGGGGCCTCAGATCAGGGCACGCAGCAAGTATGCGAGGGAGGTTGAGGAAGAAAGACGAGATAATGCCGCCGCCCGGAATGGCATGACTGGACTAGATTCGGGAATGGTCCAGGCATAATGTTCTTGCTTTCCACTTTCCTGTTCTTTTTGTACGATACGCGCTGTGTCCGAGTAATCTGAGTAGGATGGGCATTTCAGTCAAGCTGTGTATTTTCAAAGCCTTTTTTAGCACTTGTCACTGTGCCGATAAGCCATCAAGTCCATTTAGTATCGCATATAAGATGACAGCTTTCTGTAAATAGTTTGAGAGTAATCAGTTCGCGTACAGATTGTTACACCACCTGGTGAAGATGCAGAGCATGTGATGTACACGACCCTTCTCCTGCAGTGTTGTCAAGTGATTGTGACGAACTGCTAAATGAGCACAGCATGACGTTACAGGAACCTAATACATCGCTTCCCTTCTCCGTCATGCAGATTGCACTCAGCATGATGCCGATCCAAATTCCGATTGCGCCTGCAGCGAAGGGCACTAACTTAGCATTCACGCTTGTGATAGCGTCCGGGGCCATTACATCATTTGCAGATCAGTGAAGCAAACCTCGGCGATGACATAACAGTGCATTTCAACCTGCAATGACGAAAGTCTTCGACATTCGAATAACCATGCACCTGCGAGATGCATGGATCTTCACAACAAGCACAGACCACTATAAAGCACGGCGCGAGTGTGGAGTACTTTGACTACTACCACTTTCGAGTTAGTGTACTGACGACATGCGCTTTTGGAGGAGACCAAGTTATGCAGAACCTTTGTTTGAAACTGATACCGACAGTACAGCAGAGTCTGGGATAGACAGCTCGAACAATGGGAGGACCGTCTTGTCAAGGTCTTCCTCGATGGGCTCGACTACAGATGCACCAACGTTCCTTACGCAGGATCCAATGCACGAGCACACGCCTCGGGCGTCACCAAGGTCAGCTTGCTCGAATCTCTCGTTAAGGAGTATCAACGAGCTGGCTTTGAGTTGCTTGGAGGTTGGCGACGTGACGGTTGACAATGAAGGGGTTGAGTGGGTGGTACGGGTGTGTTTTTGCACGAATGTTGAGTGTTGTGGCAAGACGCTCAAGCGGCTGGAAGGGAAGGATGAGTTGAGTGTATGGGATCGAGGTAGGCCCATGCCTTTCGAGTAGTTGATTGAAGAGTTAGTATGTATTGAGCATATCAAGAAAAGATCAAGATTGGAAATAATGTGTTCATGTTATCAGTTTGCTTTTAAGTACATGCAGTGTCTCAAAGTGCAGGGTATAGAACATGTACAAAAGTACAAAAGTCGAGAACTTTCCTGGACGCCGACGCTAGAAGAGTTATTTCGCTAAAACAAAGGAAAGTAGCAAGGGTGGTGTTTAATGAAGTGAACATGAGAAATGCGCATGTCACGAGATTCAACGGCGCCAAAATGAAGACATACGCCTCTCCAGTTTCCCATCGTCTTGCCAGATTCGGTTGCGCAGCGACGATGGCTTAGCTGCATGCGAGGTTTTGGTGACTGTGGGTGTCTGCGCTTTAGATTTGGAGCCACTACACACGCCATCGTACTGGGTTGACTTGATAGTGGGGCTCTCCAGTCGCTTGATAGCGTTGTTGTAACGATCTCGAAGCTCGATGGGAGCGGTGATGATGCCCGAGATGAATTCGGAGCCGCGGGTTTTCTTAAATCGAGCAACATCAGGTGCCGGAGCCGCAGCTGTTGAGTCATAGTCGGGTACCACAGCGCTCCTGACGGACGCTGCGTATACAGATGGCGAAGGCGGATCGGAGATAGCCGACTCTACTGTGTGTACAACTGGAGCAGGCATAACTGCTTCTGAGATTTGTTTACTGAAGTCGAAAACAAATCCGTCTTTCTCCTCGTGGGAGGTTCGTAGGAGAGGATGCAGATCAAGTTCTTGTGTAAACCTCTGACGGTGTATATCTGCTTGAGATGGGTTTACGACAGACGATCGATTAGAGGGCATCTCCAACGACACCCGAGTGCCATCCACAGACACGAGCCCACCAAGAAGCCCGTCAGCTGTACTTGTCTTGTAGATATGCAGCCTTTCTCCATGTGCACTGGACTTGGACGATGCTGCGCTACCACCATCCGTCCACATTGAACTTCCCATCGAGCTGGTGCTATCAGACCTGCTCATTGAGTCGCTGACTTCATCGGCAGAAGCAGACATCTCCATATGGTCTAGTTGAAACGTGTGGAGAAGAGGAGTACGATTACGCGTATGGCCTTGAGGCTGACCAGTAAGAGGCACAGCAGTACGAGGTCTGCTAATAGGCGCGGCTTTACCGTGTTGAATAGACAGAGCTTGGGGCCGCAGCCAGGGAATTTCTCCGTCCGCGTCTTCGTTGATGGTAACGCTTTGCTTTGCCTCTGCTCTAGTGGCCTGGTTCAAGCCGTCACCATAACCATGGACGATTATTGCGCAATGCGGTGAAGGCTTCAAGGTCAAGCTATTTCTACGAGACCCTCGCACAGACAAGGAAGATAGTGGCCCGAAAGAGCGTACGGAGGACTGTCGAGCTGGTAACGGTTTCGCCGGTGTGTCTGCATTGATATGATCTTCGCGGTTGCAGTCAGGCTGGATGGATGCACGTGGCAAGCCGTCGAAATAATCCGTGCTCGCTCCTGTGCCATTGACTTTGCTTGCTGGTGACATCGATGCTGGGGTTGCCGTGTTCCATGATGATTGTCCAGCAACGAGACAACAAAGTGGGTACTCTGGGCTATCAACGTCACGGACCGCGCTCGGTGCTCGGAGGACGGACGTCAGATACTGAAGAGTGCCATAGATCACAAGCCACCTGACCTTTCGAGCGTCGACCGCAGACAAGCTCTCCGTTGAATTGGTGGCATGAGTTCTTTCAAACTGCATGTACGCCCGTATTATCTTGGATTCTGAGATATCAGCATCAAGACCGTTTGTTGCCAGTGCGAGGGCAGCACTGGTATCGTGTGTTTTCTTGTAATATGATGCGGATGAAAGAGGCTTCGACTTTTCGGCCATAGGCTCACATGGAAGCAGAGGTAGGCGGTGAGCTTGCGCGGTGAATTTATGTCTTTCGTCGAAATGGGCCAGGTTTTGCAGTACGCAAATGCCACCACTGGCAGGCTTTTGTGAAGTAATGTCGTTGTAAGATTGGTGATCCGCAAGACAGCTCGTACAGGTTGGTGAAGTCGTAAAACATAGACTTGTAAAGAGTCTTCGGGAAGTGTAGGGCGCTGTTTCGGCGGCGGCCAGTGCCCGAGTGTCTCGGCGTAGAACTCATGCAGGAAAACTTGGAATTGGATGAGATAGTGACGTGCTCCTTGTGGGAGCCCGAGGTAAGCTGGGGAAAAGTCGTCCTGGAGAAAGTCACTCAACGCTCTGGACACGCTGTTCAGGTGGATGTCGAGCTCTAGGCAGGCTCGTGTGATCAGTGCCTTGGTCAGTCGTGAAATACAACTAGGGGCTGTTAGCTGAGACGGTAAATTTTGAACAACGTGACACATACCGGATATTCTGGACTTAGATCCAGGCTGTCAGCCATACCGACACAGTGGGTAAACGCATCAATCCAAACATTCCGTAGCTTGTACTTTTCTGCGTAGTAAAGGCTGGCCAGAGCGTAATCGGTGCATTCAACGAGGTCTCGATATCCTTGGTTCTCGGCGTATGCTAGGAAGTCCTGGTGGTTGTTGACATGCTCGGAGCGGAAGAATTGCATTCGTTCAAATAAGTTCACGAACGCTTGGCCCATATGGCGTCCTACCAGTGGCTGTCCGAGGACATAGGCGAAGAAGTTGCGCGTTGTGATATGCCAGTCGAAGGCCTCATCCCTGGAGGAATATTCTGGGGCTGGTATATAAATTTCGACTAGGGTTGCTTCTCGGGGTGAACTGCTGAATCTCTGCAATTGTTGTGGCTCGTGTGGGTTGGACGGATCGTCTGATACGATCTGTGCATAGCAGCTGTCAAGCATACTTTCGCAGTGCTTCTTTCGGAGGGCTCTTAATGGAATACAGAATGATGGTCCTCGACGTGATGCTCCGCGCGCATAGAGATGCACTGTACAATCGCCATCTTGCACCCATAACTCGGGATCCTAGAGTTGTTAGTCACGGACGGAACATATGTGTGCTGACCACTACTCACTTTTCGCAGACCATCCCAATTGCTTACAGAACGAGTAAGACCGGCCCAGCGTTGCACGTTTGTCGACTCCGGCGTGTTTTTTATTGGCTCTGAACAGCTAGCAGACCTAGATGTTCTCCCCATTGCGTAGCATAGATCTGGCGTTCTGTTCGTCGCTTCCAAACTGTTGTCGAAAAAGTCGAATCGGTGTCCGCTGTCGTCGATCATACTGTGACGGAACGCTCCTCTTGATCTCTCCTGAACGGACCTGTCCCATGTGCGTGCGGAGATTGAGGAACTTCGACCCGGATTCACGGGTCGATAGTGTTCTGGCGTGCTGGGCACGCTACCATGCGACTGCTGGTCCGAAACCATATTTCTTGGAGGATGGTTGTGTTGTGTGTGTTACGGTTGCAAAGGTTTTTGCAGCAGCATGCAGCAGCGAGTTACCTAGCTTCCGCGGGTCTTGATATAATACTAAGTACGACGCCCGAAAAACTGTGGGAGCCTGCAGATATGTACATGGACCCTAGCCCATGTCATAAGCTCAGCTCCTTCTGATGTCAAAGCGAGGCCTGTCGACGGATCAACACTTAGCGCATCCTTAGTATATGAGGCTGTAATCTAGGCGAAGAGGTGGAGCGAACCTACTAGCTGTAGACCCTGCTCCGATTGGTTTCCCCAGCGAAAGGGTACTTGTGGCTTGGGGTTACCAACGCCATGGCGCTCAATGGCTGAGCGCTCAGACTTCCAGATCGCACGGACAAAGCGAAGCTGAAAGGAATCCAGAACATAGAGAAGTGGTCTAGCTGAGCCCCCGAGATGGCTCGAACCACTTCTCGTAGCCATCAGTTCGTTGCTATCAAGCGAGGAAGTGGTCTCTACAGAGGCACAATGTAATGTGAACGAATCCTCTCCATGACGCGGGATTTAGCGGGTGCATGTGTGATCGACAGGTCGTAGGCGGCACGTCCGGCATAGCGCGCATCCGAACAGACGTGCGAGATAAGTTTCGCCAAGCTGAGATTGAGTCTTGACGGCCCAAGTGCGAAGTGGTGAGCTGAATGGTTGCTCAGCTGTCGCACAACGCGCAGGCTTCCCCGCAGTTTGGGCGCTGAACTACGGCGCGCAGTTTGTAGCACTGTTTCATCGAAACGGTTGTGTTCACAACACAATGTCAAGAGAAAAGTGTGTGTTGTTCATCGACGCGCCAATTAGTGCCGCTCGTGGATCGGCATTGGCGTAGTGGGGAAACCGCGATTTGCGTCATACCCATGTCGTCTTCGGGTCTCCTCTGTCCTTCAATCACCTTACATCACCAACACGAATCATCGCCCGCCACCAGATATTCCTTTGGCTTGTTCTGATCCTTACCTGCATGCGCGATATCACATGTCTGTAGGATAGAAGAACAGCGATCCGGACATTGGTGACGCAATCACGTCAATGTTGCTCTCTCACAGTAGCCTCAACATTGCAGCCGTCCCTAAATTAAATCTCCGAAACTTTAGTTGAGGCAAAGCGGTCGTATGAGCTGCTGCGCCCGAGTTACCGAGTATAGTGCCCGAGTACTCACAGATCTAGGTGCGATCGCATTGGGTTTGTTGAACTTAAGTTCCACCGCTGAGAAGACGCGTTTCTCTGCGTCCCCGAGATGCATGATGTGGCACAGGCAAATCCAACAAATTCTGAGACATGCGAGATGCAGCTCGACGCCGTGTAAGAAACCCGATCGTTCCATTCGCCCAAGGAACCGCGTGCAGCAATTTGCTGATGCTCATTTTGGTCTGCATTTGACGGTCCTGAACTCTCCGACATGATCTAAATTACTACATTAGACGCATCATATTTCATGGTGTGCTACATGACCAGACAAGCACCGGATTGGACATGCAACTAACGTTTGATCTTGGGAGCTCAATTTGTGATTTACCGAGCCTCTATCCTAGTACCGCTTTTGCAAATTCTTCCAACAGTCGTTCGTGCGCCCAGGTCAATACCCGTGATCGTTGCGAAGCGCACGCTACCAAGGCATGTCACAGACGTTGAAGCGGGGCGGTATTTGGCAGTGGCAAGTTTGACCTAGAGAAGGCCCGCCATCATTTCAAAACATTCACCACCTTTGTCGACAAAGTCAAATTTGATAGAGCACTCTATGTCCTTTCTTCCTATCCAGTCACAGCAACACCAGAAACTGGAAAGCAAAGCATGCAGTAAGTTTTGGTTACTCTTTACATGTCACGTCAGACACTCAGCCTCTGCAAGCTCAAGATCTTATCAACACACTTCTACGTCTTAACTCGCCTTTGAGTCTATTCAGGCTCGAATATATAATAACATTCACGCATTGATAGTGCTTAAAACCTCCGTACCGTGCGCACGAACTTGTGATACATACAGGCATGTCTCATGTCGAGTGCCTTCAAGTCTTCTCTATCGTCATCAAGGCTCACCCTCGTCAACAAGGTAATGTGATCTATCATATTTGCTATGGGTGCGGCATCGTAGCTTCCTCAGTGAAAGGGCGCCTTGACCGCGGCACCATCGAGCAGCCAATCACAGTTCAGCACTGAGCATTCACTTTGCGTTCACCTCGAACGCGCTCTCTCACCTACTGAGCATCTCTTGTTACCTACGAGGAGACCTCTGCGTTTATGCTCCCCATCATGCTCATTCTCATCTACGATTGACCTCTGACCCCATCTCTCTCCACCTCAACCCCCCCGCAACGGCAAGCGCTTCGCTCTCATCACGTCGTCGCACACTAGCACAAATCAACAAGATGAGCAAAGACATTCAGGAAGCGCCGCTGCGCAATGCCGCCGACGACATTGTTCACTATTTATCGGAAGTCCACGACCATATGTATCATCTCAGTATGTACGTCAAAGCGCAAGAAGAAAACAAGGCGCCACTATACCAATGGGAGAGGCACCTTGGTTACCCAGCTCTCAGTGCTGCTGTCTCCAAGCTCGAGAAAGCGATTGCCAAATTTAGACCTACACGACTGCTCCCAGAGTACCTCTCCGTGCGCGTAGCCCGAGCCACGGACTTTTCAACTGGCGTGAGTGGGGCCGCAGTAGATGTTCTTGCTATTGTCAACAAGAAGACTGCCGACTACATGGACGAAATGGAGACCTCGACTTTGAGTGAAGAGACGAAAGCTCAAGCAAACTCGCTCATAACCGAGGAGGTCCAAAAGCTCATGGAACATTCGACTAGAGCCGCAGAGCAGGTGTGGCGCGCAACAGACATGCTACGAGAGGGCAAGGAGGGTCCCACTTTGGCTAAAGATTGGGCATGGTCAGCAGCAGCTACCTTCATGACCGCCTGTATTGCTGCAGCCGTGGCGGTCTTTGTCGCTCATATCTATGGTCCTTCAGGCCTTGCCCTTGTCACTGGCGGCCACAACAACGACATGTACCACCAGGTACTGGATCTCGTCGAGCGTACAAAAGCTGTCACAAACCTTACCGGCGAGATCCACAGCATTAAGCTTCAGGAAGTTGACCAGCGATACAACAACCTTGCCGCCCTCTCCGAATCTCATGGCCTGCGTATCGACAATATTGTCGACGCCCTTGGCCCACCCAACGCGCAAGGAACCTACTATCCTTCAACGTCGAAACCTGCAGACACTGTTTGCGAGGCGCGTATCCAGAAGATGTCACAGGATCTGTCCCTCCAGCTTAAGCGACAAAAGGAGGATATGGAGATGATGCGCAAGGACATGCACCGCATGGACATTCGACTGACGAGCGGGATTGAGAAGGCGAAGAAGAACTAGATAACGCTCTAGCTGCTTGGGAGGAATGGAGGAATGTGCGATGGTTTGGTGCCCTGTTAAATGTCCAGGAAATGAAGATGATTTGAGACGCATATAGGCCAATCTGGTGGCACACCACACCTGGTCCGGCAAGACAACGGAGTTTCTCGCATAGCAATGATACCCTTTCCTCCGCTCTTACTTACAATCTTCACATATCGTGCCATCTGGATTCCGCTTGACTTCCGAAGGCTTCTCGGTGCTTTCTTGTGACTCTGATGGACCGTGGCTTTCAGTCTCTGTGCTCACTCCTTTCTTCTTGCCATGCTTGTCCGAGTGCCCCAAATCTCGGTTCGGATCGATGTGGTCTCTCACCAGCTGTTTCAGCACTTTTGTTTCTGTAGCAAATGAGCCTTGTTGTAAGTAATTGCCTTTTGAATTTATTACCTGGGAATCCGCCCTCCGTCTTCCTATCCCAAAGTAGCACCTTCTTGGCATCTACAAGTTCGCTTCCAGGAGGCACGTACGTCTTCATTCACAATAAGCTTAACACTTCCATCCACTCTCCAAAAATAACTTACCAGCTCGACAGTAAACAAGCCTCCGGTTGCCGGTAGTAGCGCGACCTCGCCAATCTGGTTCCCGAATGTCGACAGCAGTTCTTGAGCAAAGTAGGCTGCGCGCAGCATCCATCGACACTGCGTGCAGAACGTAATGGCTACGCGGGGAAGCGCCACGGGCGCGGTCTGTGTCGAGGCCATGTTCGTGATTTATGTGTTGAGTGTAGTTGGTGCAGGGGGAAGGATCGCCTTGCGCGCTTATCGGATACCGCAACCGCGTCACTTGCTCGCCAACACCTATCCACTCTTTTAATATCCCTGGCGGCCAGTGATTACGACATAGATTCCTAGCCGAAAATACGCCATTGTTATTGCCCTTCAAGGCCGCACACCACGACACCTTTCCCGGCCACAAACAGACATTTCTCGCACGTCCACATCTGAGCGCGTATGATGATCTCGCAATTGTTTCTTATGCGCGCCCTGTCATTGGCTTCTCGTATAAGACCGTTATGTGTACCGACCATGAGGCACTATGAGAGCCCTCCTGGCAAGAATCGCCGTACTGTGAAGACCATACCATCGGCCGTGCCCACGCGGCGGCAACCTCAAGTCGCATCAGATCCCAAGTTGATCAAGATCTCGCAATTGACAGAAACACAGTGACAGGATTTTGGAACTCCCAATTTTCTAAGATGGGAGCGTTCAAGGCGGCTAGACTCATCACGTTGCTCGACGGTCTCGAGTCTGCCGGTATTTGCTACCAAGACTGATGTTCAGCAATTCTTTGAGGAAAGCGGCTTTACCGTGTATGACACCTATTTCCCACTTCTCGGAAGAACCTAGAGAGAATAAAATTAAGGTAACTAGAGAGTGAATAATAATGCGTTTCGAACAGCTTGGACAAAACGACACTGTATGTCGCATGCTGTTGAAGGACTCTAGCCAGATACAATCTGCAGTTACTACGCTTAACAAAGAATACTTGGTTAATCGCGCTGTTACAGTCAATGCGATTCAGCCAAGTAAATCAAGTCCATTCTTCAATTTTGGCATTGAACGAGGCTGGTATGCTTCTAGGCCTTCATCGCTCACTGTACCGAAGCTGACTGTTTTTCTCGAACGGCCAGACATACTACTCTGCACCCTTCCTTGTGGCAGTCGAAGCTGCGTGAAGTACTCTGGGAACAACCGAAAGACGTTTTTGTCGCCTTGAGAGAATCTCGCCGTGTCATAATCGAGAGCATGCCCCCTCCTGCATATGCCGCGACAGACCGGTATCCCATCACAATTCGCATATATGGACTTTTCTATGACTTCAACGTCCTGAACACTAGCAGACCATTTAATTACACCACTCCGAATTCGAACTTGTCCGGTTCAGCAGTTACACTCGACTTTGCGACTGCAGAAGAGGCCAAAATAGCGATACAGACGCGTACCGGAGGATAAGTGCAAGGATACTCGGTAAGTGGCAATGTCTAAACCACCTCTAGCGTACACCATTCCATGGGATACAGCTCGTGCGTCGGGACATGATTGTCCCAGAGACCAAGGCTCGGCCGTGGCAGCTGACTTAGAAGAGGCATGTCACATCCTTGCCATTGTTCTAGGTGCAAACCAGCAAATTGGCTTGTAGTTTTTGAAGAATAAATATGCTGATATAGTCCTAGATGCAAGAAGAGATGTACCGAAAATGGATTCTCGGGGAGAATGATAGGATACCCTGGGTTCCGAGGTGAGTTGGACGCGGATTGGTTAGGTTGGACGCATTCTGACTGGAGACTTCCTCAGCCACTCCTACAAATAACGCCTGCGAGAGAGGACTCGCTACACTGTATTCTGGTTAACTCTGTGAAGCTCTGCAAGGGCAATTTCGAAAAGAAGAATGCCCACAAACTTGAGCAGACCGAGTCTAGCGGATGCGATTTTTGCACTTCAGTTTCCATGCAAGGGGGGCAGACTTTATTGTCGAAGAATGAGGAAGGAGGAGGTTAGTGGTGCCGACATCTATATATACAATTCCAAGTTTGCAACTCCTGCGCAGCGGGGTTATAAACTTAGAAAATTATACTAAATTGTCTGCTAGGACTGCTGCTACCTCCTCCTGCTACCTAGAAAATTTATTACGCCCTATAGACCTTACTATTGCCCTGCAAAGTTGTTATTTTCTGTCTATGCCTATCGTTCTAACATTCTTAGAATGCCTATATAGTTCTTTTTAGCTCTAAAAAGACTTTTCTAGGTATTTAATACTCTGCTCTAGCTAGGAACTGTGCTTTTTAGTATATTTTTCTCTTAAAATTTATTTAATTCTCTTCTCTTTTCTCTTCTTACTTTCTTTATTACTTCTTATCTTCCTTTTATATAATAGTAAGTTAGTATAAAGTTATCTTTTATACTTTTTTCTTCTCTAAGATAATTATTATATCTTTTTTAATACTTTTTATCCTTACTATACTTCTACTAGAAGCTTAGAGCTCTTATAAGTTATAAAGGCAGCTATAACTTCTTAAAAGAGTTAGAATAAGTTAAATAAGATAAAATAAGTTTGCTTCTAGCCTATATACGCCTCTATATTTAATATATAAAAGGATAGATTATATAAGAAGATAGTTAGTTTTCTATTCTACTACTTAATATACTCTATTTAGTTATTTAACGTTAAATATAGCTTTATACTAATAGTTTTAGCGTTTATTCTAGCTAAATATGCTCTCTTACTACTAAGCACCTATTATTTCTATTACTTTTAAGCCTACTTAAAGCTAACTACTTACTAATAAGCTATATTATTAGTGCAGTGTTATAAGAGATATTAACTAGTTTAGGCAAAATTAGATTAGTGCTCTATTTTAGCTATATATACTATATAGCTTAGGCTAGATTTAAACTAGAAAGAGCTCTTCGCTCTAAGTTCTACTTACTTAGTAGTCTAGAAGCAGCACTTCTATACTATCCTCTGCCTTAAGTTATTATCTCTCTCTTTCTTAACTTAAAACTACTTAGAACTATTATAACTAGATTAATATAGTCTTTTTCTTAGAAGATTACTCTATCTCTCTCTCTAATAATCTCTAGTTTAGTGCTGCTATTATTAAATTTAATAATAACTAAGGCTTTGCTAGCTCTAATCTATCTAAAGAGAACCTTTCTTATTCTCTATTACCTTTAGAGCCTTACCTAAATCTTAATCTTCTTAACTTTAGTACTTTATAAGTCTCTTACTACTTTTACTAAGCATATTACTAGTAAGCTAAGAGATTATTAAGTAAAATTATAGAGACTATAACGTTTTAGCTTTACTGCAGAGATAGAGAAATTAATATTCTGCTCTTTAAGCCTCTACTAAGATATCTTTTTAACTTTTTATATCTCTAAGTACTAGAGATAAGAGAGTTCTAGAATAATTTATATTAGTATAACGCTGCTTTTGCCTTTATATTATTAGATTATACTTCTATTAGTTATAGAGAAAGCTATAGCGTTTAGGTATTTACTATCTATAGAGCTCTTTACTACTAAACTAGTCTATTAGAGAAGCTTTATAAAGGCCTAAATTATTACTTATACTTAGTTATACTTCTATAATAAGCAGTATGCAGACTATTTATAGAGTAATAGAAACTCTATACTGCGCTAAAATACTCTTTCTAACTTAAATATTATGCTTTATCAGGCTTTCTAACTTTTTATATTACTATCTATAAGGACTGCATAGGCAGGCGTTCTGGCTAAGCGCTGCCAGTTAATTAGCAATATTATTCTCTTAGGAATAACTTTTACTATTACTCGTAACGATAGGGTAGTAACTTATTAGATAGAGAACGGTTTAGATTACTAAGAAAGTTTAGTTTTAATTTCTTTTAAGACTCTTAAGGCGTCTAAAATAGAGTACTTCTATTATTCTTACTACTTAAGATAGTACTATACATATATACTATTAAGGCTTATTAGCTAGACTATATGCCCTCTGCATTACATTCTTATATTCTCTAAGAGTAGTAGAGGTTAGTTAATAATAATAGAAGTTCTTAATTAACGTAGAGTGCTTATAAGAGTTAGATTAACGCAGAAAAAGTATTATTAATTCTACCTTTATACTTATCTAAAGTAAAGAATAGTTCTTTTTTACTATTTTTAGCTCTTTTAGCAGTAGATTATTAATATATAAGCTCTTATTAAGCAAAATAAGCTTAATTTTATCTATTATAACTAGAAAACGTTATATATAGAGCTTTATTAGAGAGTTATAGATGCTCTCTTAAACTAGAACTATAAGTAAAGCCTAATAGGTTATTAAATTATTCTTCTAGTAACCTATTTAGGCTGCTAAAGATTTATATAGAACTATTACTATAACTCTATAGCTATATACTAAGACTTTAGCTACCTAACTCTATTTCTTATCTTTACTACTACTTCTTATTAGCTTAAAGTTTAATAGGAGCTTAGCTAAGAAGAAACTAGTATTAATTAGCCTAATCTTATTACTTAGGTGTTCTATCTAAAGGTTTAGAAGTTTCTAAAGAATCTAAAAATATACTTTAGCGCCTAACTTAGATACATTTATACTATTAAGTATTAGAAATATAGCCTCTTCTATATTTACTTGCTCTTTTTTCTGGTCTATACTAATCTATATAGCCTTTACTAATACGAATTATATTAATAGCTATATCTATGCAGAGTTGCCTACTTCTAAGAATAACTCTAACAGCGTTTTAACTGCTATTATTCTAAAGTTTATAGTCTATAGACTTTATAGAGAAGAAGAATACTTTAACGCTTCTTATATAATAGAATAGAGTTATAGTTTACCTAAAAAGTATTTAAAAAGCTTTTCTAAGCTATTTTATGCTTCTACTATTATCTCTATAGATAGTTATCTGTAATATTAGCGCTAAAATAATAGTATATAATATACTATTTATTCTAAATAGAGAGATTTTATTATTAATAATAGCTAGATTATTCTATACTGCTCTTCTCTGCTCTAGAAATACGCTGCTTATATTAATATTAAGATTTATAGTACTATCTATGCTATTAAATACGTTTATAAATATATATATAAGAGCACTAATAGAGCTATTCTTAATATTTTAGCAGATAATAAGATTACTTAGTACTTTTTAGAACGTTATATAAGCTCTTCTAAGGCTATTTAGCGTATTTTTAGCTATAAAGTATATAATAAGACTCTTTCTATTACTCTTCTAGCAATTTACCTTCTAAATTAGTAGTTTATTACTTTTTAAAATAAGAATACTAAGTTAGAGATAAATAAGCGTTTAGATTAGTCTGCTACTACTCTTATAGTATTCTTTAACTTTAATTAGTAGTCTTCTATAGGCTATACTATGCTCTATTAAGACTTTCTATACTATTTTATCTTTAGTAAGAGTTTAAAAACTTAGTCTCTTTATTAGCAAAAGCCTGCTATTAGCTATATAGCATATTATAGTTCTACTTAGAGAAAGAGATTCTACCTTTGCCTACTCTTAACTATTATTAAGAGCTTAACTAGCTTTAAAAGTGTTTATATCTTTAATAATTAGGTATTTTCTACCTTCTAAGCTACTACTGCTACCTAGAGCTTACTAGAAAATAATAGTAACTAGGTTGCTTACTTTAAAGAGGTAGTTACTTTCTAGACTAGCTCTGCATTATAGTTCTTTTTTATTATTTCTCTTCTCTATAAGCTTATTATAGACTCTATAATAATATAGAAAACTTTTAAAATAGATCTTTATAATAACCTCTAGGTTTATATAGCTACTATTAGTGCTGCTACTAGCATAATAGCTAATGCTTATCTTAATTATAATCTTTACTTTCTATAGAGGCTTCTAAAGAATACTAGCAGAAAGCTTTCTAACTTTAGACTGCCTATAGTGCAGTATTAGTAGAGTTAGAAAGCAGTAAATAAGCTTATCTAGGTAGAACTAGACTATAATACTATAGAACTAAAGAGAGAATATATTAATTCGTACTAGAGGCTTAATAATAATTAGCGTATAGTCTTTAATACTATTATTAATAGTATTTAGAATAACCTAGCTAGTGCCTATTTCTTCGTTTAGAGCTCTATAAGAATAAGTAAAACCTTTTTATAGCATATATTATATACTTACTATTATTCTTAGAGAGAAATTATTCTTTGCATAGCGTCTTCTAGTATAGCATCTATATTATTATCTAGTAGAAGAACTGCCTACTCTTATTTTTAAATTCTTATTAATATCTATAATAATTCTACTTACTCTATTACTAGAAACTTAGATTTAGGTAAGCTACTATAAAGAGCTATTCTTATTATATAGGATAAAGTCTCTATATAATATAAACACTACTTTAAAGCTATCTATTAAATGCTATAGAACGTTTGCTAGTGCTTTATATTTAAATTTAGTAGTTTATCTCTAGTTATAGGCAGAGACTTTACCTAAATTCTCTCTATTATTAAGAAAAGCTAGTAGCCTAATATTATAGATGCCTACTTATAGCAATTAAGTATCTTATAGCTACTTATAATTCTTTATCTTTATTAAAATATATATATTTATTAAGATAAGGTAAATTAGCGCTTTATAGAGTAGACTTAGTCTCTTACTAGGCTAAAAATAGATAGTAATATAGAGTTACTATCTTAGATTAAGGTTTTCTACTCTAAAAAGGACTTTCTTAGTTATATTTATCTCTAAAACTTTCTTAAAGCTACTGTAATAGATAATTAGACTCTTACTAGATATACTATACTTACTATCTATAATAATATAGTTAATATACTTAATAAGCATATTCTTAAGCTTATACTAGGTAAGATAACTAAGCTTTTAAGCTCTAATTCTGCTAATTTTAGTAAGAATAGCAGTATTAACTATCTCCTCTCTAAGCTTTTATAGTTCTTTATAGTTCTAAGCTTACTACTAGCAAAGCTTTCTCTTAAAGTTAGATCTATTATTATACTTTTATAGAACCTTTATTCTAAAAATAAGCTCTATAATAGTACTTATCTGTTTATTACTTATATTAGCTATTAAGTTATATAAGCTAAGATTCTTAGTAAAGAGTTTGCAGGATAGTTATAGCTTCTTTCTTATATTAAGCTTATCTCTACTAAGAAAGAGCTCTTTTTTATTATCTCTTATCTTTAATTTCTAGTTTATTTATCTTTTACTCTAACTATTAATAAGTCTTAAGAGTAGTCTCTCTCTACTATTAGTATTAATCTTTAGCTATAAGTATTTACTTATAGCTAGTTATATATTACTTTATTACGCGTAATACACTCTTTAAGGCCTTTCTATTCTACTTTTGCTTCTAGAACGTTGCTAGTATATCTAGTAGAATAGTTTAAAATATTATTTATAATAAGATCTTACTCTATACTTCTATTTCTTAGGTTTTTCTCTTTTATTTCTCTTTATCTTATATTTTAAAGTTTCTTTTCTACTATTTAGCTATATATATATATATATTACTTTTATATTATTAATATATACTACTACGTTACTACTCTAGGCAAAAAAATCTACCTTTACCTCTATATTTAAGCACTTCTAGTACCTTTGCGTTGCTACTACGTTTATATAAGCTATACTAGCAACTAGCGTAACTATATAAACTCTCTTAAAGCTCTTCTTTATCTCTTTTTCTCTATCTTCTACTTATCTACTACCTATCTAGTATATTATTTACCTATTTTACGCCTACTACTATTTTCTGCTGCCTCTACTTACTTAAAATTTAATTTCTCTTACTTTTTCTATCTCTTATTTATCTTCTACTCTCTTTTTTTAGCTAATATTTATTTATCTTTTTTTAGCTTTACTAACTCTTTTCTTAGCAGAATCTGCCTATTTTTTGCTTATTTTCTGCCTATTTTCTGCCTGCTTTCTGCTCTAAACTAGCTTCTATACTATTCTTTTTATCTTTAAAACTATCTAAAAATAGCTACTCTTACCTCTAAAAATACCTCTAAGCTACTTAGAATAACTTCTAAGAAAGCTAAAAACTGCGCTAGAATTAAAAGCTAAAGCAGCTAAAACTGCTCTACTAAAGCCTAGAGAAGATCTTAAGAGCGTTATTTAAGTAGTTAAAAACTAGTTAAAAAGAATCTAAAACCTTCTTAAACTACTTATTAAGAGAGTTCTTAAGTACTATAAGAATACTCTTCCTATCTCTAAGATTACTTATAAGAGCCTTTTTTTTTATCTTTTTTAGACTATAACTAATATTTTAGCTAATATTACTAAGATAGAAAGCGTTCTTATCTATCTAGTTAGCAAGGTAAATAAGCCTAAGTACGCTTATTATAAGAAGAAGAATAGTAAATTCTTAGCCTATATCTCTATTAGTAATAAGGCTAAAGAAGCTTATTCTAACTATTATCTTATAGAATCTAAGCGCTGCAGCCTTATTAATAGTTAGTATTCTACTTTTTTTCTAGTTTTTTTTAATCTTTTCTAACTCTTTTAGCGCTCTCTAATAGTTCTAGTACGCTCTCTAAATTCTATAAGCGTAGTGCTCTAGAGCTCTTTATTAACTCTATTTATGCTATTAAGAAGACTAAGAAGGATATTACTAAGGTAATTTAGACTAAGATTGCGCATTAAGAGGCCTATATTTAGTTTCTTAAGAATCTAATTATTAACTTTACTTAAGTCTTTTTAGCTTAGATATAACTCTTTATAACTAAGAAATATAGAGTTTATAGACAGAAAATAATACCTAGTAGCCTAGAAAAGGGCTTCTTTATAGCAGTAAATAGTTTAAAATAATATTTATTTGCTTAGTTTTCTTGCTTCTGCTTAGGTGATATGACTAATATCTTACTAATAACAATCAGACTTTTCGTTCGCTGGCCTATCACCTGGCATCATCAGCGACGATGATGTTCGAAGCTGGCACCCAGACTTGGTGTCGACTCCTGGAGGACTGGGACTTGAGGCAGTTCTGCGCTGGGATGCGAACATTTTCTTTTCACAATATGAATTCTTGAACTCCAATCTACACTGTCCAAAGTTGTCTCCATCTTAGCACCAACACTAAAGTGCATACAATGCATGTTATATGCCAGGGGCTGACTCTAATTCGTGATTGGATGGAGCAAGGAAAAGTGCCATCTGTCTGAAAGCGTGATTGGCCGAGGTCTAGAAATAAACGTTGTGGTGCTCCGCATAAAATCATGGATCAAGGTACCAACGTCTTGATGCCAGGATGTCCTCTCCAGCCCTGCCAAAACAGTCCTATCGATACCAACGCTCGCATTAATATCAGAATTGCTACCAAGTCGGCATTGTGAAGCAATTGGACGTTGCAGTGAGTGGGAGCAACGAAGCGTCATCTCGGAGCTATCGAATTTCCCTGGGCTGGCCTTGCTGTTTTGGTCGCTGCGGATCGCGAGCACCTTGGGCTCCTGTGCACGCCCTCTCTCCTTTTCACCAGCTTCGCAGACGCACTATACAATCACCAGAGCCCCATTGAGTGTGAAACAATCGTTGTGAAATCCGTTGTGAGTTGCATCCCTCCCGAACCTTGCTGCAGCGCGGTGCGACATCATCGCTCTTGTGCTTTGTATATAAACAAATTGTAACGGTTTCATCCCGAGCACACACCACCACTTCATCTCACACGTACTCACCTCCAACACCTGCCATTCCTCTCCACCACTCCCCAGACCACACACTCAGACACTGACCATCGTTTGCGCACTGCAGCCATGTCCTCCGGCGTCCGCAACTTGCGGGCGATGTTTGAGAACCAAGGCGCTGCATCTCCTGAACCCCGCGGCCGTTCCCCAGGCGACAACACAGCAACAGAAGAAGAGACAACCCGCCCCACGCCCAAAGTACGCGCATCCTTTATTTCCGTCGTGCCCACGGCCGCCATACCGCCGCCAGACCTCGGTGCCGCCAAGGGGACGCCGACCAACAGCACCGCCGCTCACCGTCGAGAGAGCTTCAGCGTATCGCAGGACAACGTCGACGAGATCGCAGAGCTGAAGAAGGAGGTCAGCCAGGAGAAGGAAGAGCGCCGGAAGAGCATCTCTGTTTCCGAGACTGTGCCAGAAGAGGCCGTTGCCTCGAGAGAATCGTCAGTGCCCGCACCGCCCATCCGCAAGGAACCCGCCGGAGAGATGGCCACGCTCGGCTCTATAATGAAGGGCTCAGACTTCCCCGAGTCCTCTGCCCCCGCGCCAACAAAGCCCGCGGTCGAGGCGACGCCGGACCAGCCTCCTGCGAAGGAGGAGACAGCACCAGTCGCGCCCGCCAAGGACGATGAGCCTGCGCCAAAGGCCCCCAAAACCCCCGCGAAAGCCCAGAAGAAGCCAGCTCCTGTCCCCAAGATCGAGGCTACAGCCCCGACGCCTGTTAAGAAGGTGCCAAAGACGCCCAAGGCTGCGAAGGCCGATGTGCCTGCGCCGTCCAAGACCCCTGCGAAACTCGAGGAGAAGCCCGCCGCAGCTGTCGAGGCAGAAGCACCCGTGCAGCCCGAGGCCCCTGTCGAGACCACCGAAGATACAACAGCGGCGGCCACCGAAGAGGCGCCCGTGCCCGCCGAGGTTCCCGAAAAGATTGAGGCGACGCCAGTAGAGGTTCCAGTCGACGAGACGCCTGCGCCGACTGAGGCTCCGGCGAAGGACGAAGAGAGTGTTGAAGCTCCAGCTGAAGCTGCGCCAGCCGCGCCTGATACCCCCGAGAAGATGGAAGAGACCCCCACTGTAGTCAACGACGCGCCTGCCACACCCGAGCCCGTCGTTGAGAACAAGGAGGAGCCTGTACCGGCCGAACCCATTGAAACCCCCGCAGATAATCCGGACAAGCCTGTTACGGGAGCACAAGTGGAGGTGTCACTGACGCCGGCAGATGTCACTGATGCCGCGACCGTCTCCGGTGCCGAAACTCTGCCCTCGCCAGCCGAGGCCTTGAAGGCGTCAGACGCTCCAGAGCCTGCTGCGACACCAAAGGCGACCGAGACCAAGACGAAGGCCAATGGCACACCTGCCGCAAAGTCGAAGCCAGAGATCAAGAAGCCTGCAGCCATTTCCACCTCGAAGGCCTCGACATCAAAGGTAGCAGCAACCAAGAGCCCGCTCCCAAAGTCACACCCCAAACCCCCTACGACTCCAAAGACCGCGGCTGCAGCTCCGGCACCAAAACCCAGCCCCCTAGCAATGCGGACCAAGCCGACCGCCGCAAAGCCAACTACAGCGAAGACGGAAGTGAAGCCAACTTCAGTGAAAGCAGACGCGAAGCCTGCTGCTGCCAAAGAGCCCACCAAAATCGCTGCGCCAAAGACAGCTCGCGCTTCTCTGCGTCCAGGCGGTTTGCCTACCGCTACTGCGCCCACCGCAAGCGCATCCACACGACCCAAGTCTACGGTTCCTGAGAACAAGAAGCCTGCTACTGCCAAGCCTGCAGCTACGAGCACTGCTACCAGGTATGTTATGCAAGTGTAGATAGTCTCGACATGCTAATGCGCTTCCAGTGTCCCTGCGAGTGGCTTCAAGAAGCCTACCCCCAAATCGCCAACACGTCCGGTCAAATTGCCGTCGCACCTTGTCGCACCCACCGCAGCATCGGCTGCGAAGCATGGCGAAGAACAGAAGATTACTCGAAAGCCGTCCACGACGACTCGACCAAAGCCCGCTGCTCCCGCCGCCCGACCAACACGAGCATCTCTTGTCCCCGCCACCGCCGCTCCAAAGCGCCCTGACTCCCGAGCCTCCACTTCCTCAGCTGCCCCGAAGGGTGATTTCCTGTCGCGTATGATGCGACCCACCACAGCCAGTGCTTCGAAGACCCACGACAAGCCTGCCTCTCCACCGCGCAAGAGCACCAAGGCTCCCGTTAGTGCTATACAGAAGGGCAAGAAGAAGGTCGAAGAGGTAGCTGCAAAGGCAAAGGATAGCATCACCAGCAACGGACATCATGATGAGGAAGCTGTGGCTGACGGCACGGTCGCTAGCGAGGACGCAGATAGCAGCCAGAAGGTCGAGCCATCTGATCAAACTGCTGAGGTCCAGGAACCAGTGACTGCAGAAGAGCCCACTCAAGATGCGGAGACACCTGCTGCGGAACTGCAAACCACCCCTGCCAGCAACGAGCCGGTGCATTAGTTGTGTGAAGGATCACCACATGGGATGGTCCCCCTAGGCCTCTGTTAAAGGCCTTGGCAACAGGTTTTGAATTTCGTCCCGATCTTGCCACAAGAGCGGTAATAGTTGTATATCTGTAGCGTTTCTCTTCTCCTACCAGCATTTTCTGGAGCGATTTTTGTTTTGGTGGATTGCACATTCATTTGCGGTGTTTCAAAGGGACGGCTGTATCATCATCACCCATGCGCGCCACTACAATGGGCGTCAGAATTGGATACAAATTACCATGTGCATGGAAAACAAGACTGGTCTCACTACTCACTCTACACAACTATATAGAATCGCATATGAGGCTGTTCCTGGCTCGCCAGAGAATTATTTGTAGAATATCAATTCAATATACTGTCACTCGAGAACATTTCAATATTTCAAGCCAAGGTATACTCGAATGCAGACGGCTGTGTATCAGTAATCCACGCTATCAGGTGCTGCAACGACAGAGCTGCTCTCATGATCAAGGCGCACATGAGAATTGGTGACGCTGTGTATGTCACGAGGTCACATGATCGAGACCTCCGAAAACTCCGCTGCCCCAACTTTTTTCGTGTAGCGTTGCTCGGGTCGCAGCGACCGCAGACCTCAGCGTCGTCCCTTCATTCGTGTCTCGTCCTTGTCCCACTTTCAGCATTTCAGGATGAGGGCCAATTCTGTTGTGCGGGCGCATTCCCTCGCCTCCAGTTGTCTTCGCATTTCCGCTCGTTCGGCGTCTCGCCTTCCTTCACGATGCGCACTCTCTACCGCTGCAGCGTCGCGGACACCCTACACTAATGGCACAAAGACTGATGCATGGATATGTAACCAGAAGACCTTTATGCAGAGGAGGTGGCAATCTGCAGCTGCTCAAGTGTACGTTGTGGTCGTTAGAGGCACTACAACTTGAGGCGCAATTGGAGGCTAATGAAGAATTGCAGGCTGGAGCAAGCTAAAGAGGACCCGTCAGCATTGACGCAAGAGAAGATTGTCGAAGGCCTGGATCCTGTAGAATGGGAACGACTTTCTCGAGTCCGCAACATCGGAATCGCCGCCCACATCGACTCTGGAAAAACCACCGCCACCGAACGCGTTCTCTACTACACCGGGCCGCATCAACAGTATACATGAAGTGCGAGGCAAGGATTCGGTTGGTGCCAAGATGGGACTCTATGGATCTTGAACGTGAGAAGGGTATCACCATCCAGTCTGCTGCGACCTTCTGTGACTGGGTGAAGAAGAACGACGAAGGCAAGGACGAGAAATACCACATCAACTTGATCGACACACCTGGGCATATCGACTTCACGATCGAGGTGGAACGCGCTCTGCGTGTGCTCGACGGAGCTGTCATGATTCTTTGCGCCGTCAGTGGTGTACAGAGTCAGACCATTACTGTGGACAGGCAGATGCGGAGATACAACATTCCTAGGATATCGTTTGTGAATAAGATGGATCGTATGGGTGCAAACCCTTGGAAGGCTGTTGAACAGATCAACCATAAGCTCCGGATACCAGCTGCCGCGCTTCAAGTGCCAATTGGACGGGAGGACGGCTTCATTGGTGTCGTAGATCTGATCAGGATGAAGGCGATATACAACGAGGGCACAAAGGGAGAGGTTATCAGAGAGACGGACGAAATTCCTGCGGACATCGTGGAGCTTTGCAAGGAGAAGAGGCAGAAGCTGATTGAGACACTGGCGGATGTCGACGACGAAATTGCCGAGCTGTTTTTGGACGAACAAGAACCATCAATCGACCAGATCAAGGCCGCTATCCGACGCGCAACTATCGCCCTCAAGTTCACACCGGTCATGATGGGCTCTGCGCTCGCTGACAAGTCTGTTCAACCTATGCTCGATGCCGTTTGCGATTACCTGCCAAACCCCTCCGAAGTCGAGAACATGGCCCTGGACAAGAAGAGGAAAGAGGCGCCAGTCAAGCTAGTTTCTTACAACTCTCTGCCGTTCGTTGGTCTGGCTTTCAAGCTCGAAGAAAGCACTTTCGGTCAATTGACGTATATCCGTGTCTACCAAGGCACTCTGAAGAAAGGCATGAACGTTTTCAATGCGCGCTCAGACAAGAAGGTCAGGATACCTAAGATTGTGCGCATGCACTCAAACGACATGGAGGAAGTACCAGAGATTGGCGCTGGAGAAATCTGCGCTGTGTTTGGTGTCGACTGTGCATCTGGTGATACCTTCACTGACGGCGGTCTTGGCTACACCATGGTGAGTTATTCAATACAACATCTGAAGACCCGAGCTAACATGATAGACCTCTATGTTTGTCCCAGAGCCCGTCATTTCTCTTTCAATCAAGCCCAAGCACACCAAGGATACACCAAACTTCAGTAAGGCTATGAACCGCTTCACCCGTGAGGACCCTACCTTCCGAGTCCACACAGATGCCGAGTCGCAAGAAACTATCATTTCTGGCATGGGAGAACTGCATCTTGACATCTACGTCGAGCGCATGCGTCGTGAATACAAAGTCGAATGCGAAACCGGACAACCTCAAGTCGCCTACCGTGAGACAATCACAAAGCGCGTCAACTTCGATCACACGCTCAAGAAGCAGAGTGGTGGATCTGGAGACTACGCACGAGTTGTGGGATGGATGGAGCCCAGCGAGGCACTCGCGGAAAACAAGTTCGAGCAGCAGATTTCTGGTGGAACCATTTCCGAGAAGTTCTTGTTCGCTTGCGAAAAGGGTTTCATGGCATCGACACAAAAGGGCCCACTGCTCGGCCACCGCGTCCTTGGTACATCCATGGTCATCAACGATGGTGCAACGCACGCCGTCGATTCTTCCGAAATGGCTTTCAAGAACGCCACCCAGCAAGCGTTCCGTAAGGCGTTCCAGGCTGGCGCTCCTCAAGTGCTTGAGCCGCTCATGAAGACTACCATCACCGCACCGAACGAGTTCCAGGGTAGTGTCGTTGGTCTCCTGAACAAGCGCAACGCTGTCATCAACGACACCGAGATTGGCCCCGAAGACTTCACGGTATACGCAGACTGCAGTCTAAACAGCATGTTCGGCTTCAGCAGTCAGCTACGAGCTAGCACACAGGGCAAAGGAGAATTCAGCATGGAGTTCAGCCACTACTCGCCTGCGCCACCGCAGTTGCAGAGGGAGCTGACTGCAAAGTACGAGAAGGAGCAGGCTGCTAGGAACGCTTGAGCAGGTCGCTCAAATGGTGCTGATGGACTATAGGATGGCACTCTTGGTGCTTTTCACGACACGATGTCGAGGGGTTTGGGACTGCATATAGATTCAACGATTATCTGGGCGTAGGTAAAGAGAAGACGGCTTGGGCTCTGTGGTGTACTATTAACTGTACATGTATGTTGTATATAATGCCTGCACAGAGTGTAGCTGAATGATACCAATCTCCAACGATCAACATATCATCTTTACACATCAAAAACACCATACTAAAGAATTGTTTGAACGATTGTCGTGTAGAGCAACAACTTCTTTTCTAACAATCCTCCTTTCCTCCCGCCAAGCCCCGTCATGGCTTCCTAATCCAGCCTAGTCCCCGCTCACGGGAAGCCTCACGTTATCTCTCCCCGGCCATCGCCGCGCAGCGCCAAACAGCAACAATCCCTCCCAATGTCTCCTTCCGCGTGATTCAAATCGTCGCTTCCCCATCAATCCGAGCATTGCAAAAGAGCTGGCCTAGGAAATTTTTTTTGAGGAGTGTGCAAGTGGTTCGACGAAAACAAAATGCCAGCCCTCCAGCCAATCTTCCTCAAAGCGTACTGGACGCTCGCCATCGTCGGTATTCTATGGGCGGGATTCATTCTCAGCCTGATTAATCCGACGTTGCAGAGACAGTGAGTTTTATTGTTGTTCTCCGGAGAACAAGAATGGGGAGATGCTAATAAGTTGCGACTTAGTGCCCTGTACGCGCACAAGATATGGACGAGCTATGGCGGGAACGTAACTGTGCCGGAGGAATTTGGATTCGCGAGTAAGTTAGCCGTTGAAGAAGTTAGTGCGTTGGACGATGAGGTGCTGATATGTGTATGCTAGAGGGCCAAGTTCAGCCTTTCTGGCTCGATACGACGGATGGCGAGAGGCTGTTTTGCTGGCATGTGTTGCCACTGGACGTGTATCTTGCGAATGAAGTCGAGCTGGCGCAGGCTGCTACGTCGGGAGAGGTTGTTGATGGGTTGGAGGGGACGGTCGGCGCGAAGTTGTTGAAGAGGGATGCGGAGAGTAGGGTTGTGGTGAATTTTCATGGGGTAAGTGTTTTTTTATATTTTCTTGTTTTCAGGGTCGTTGTTTTGTTCTCCTATCATCAAGACGTCTCTCCTTTTTCTTCTTGTCGTTCCTTTCTTATATCCAAACATTCATCGCTCTGTTGTTTCTGTCATGCATCCGATACATTCAACATGCCCATCTTCCTCAGAGATGCTCCCTCTCATACTCTGTCTAACACCCGAACAGGAAGTGCAGGCCACGTCGCCCAAGGCCACCGCCCCTCAACCTACCGCTCCATCTCTGGTATTCCCCACACACACCTCCTAACCTGCGACTACCGGGGCTTCGGCCTCTCCAGCCTCACCAACAAGCCCAACATCCCCACCGAAACCGGTATCATCACCGACGCCATCTCCCTCCTCTCCTACGTCCAATCCACCCTTAACCAGCCCACCAGCCGCACCGTCCTCCTCGGCCAAAGCCTAGGCACTGCGGTTACTGCCGCGGGCGCCCTGTACTTCTCGGACCCCACCTCTTCCCATCTCCCAAAGGACCTCGTCGCACCCAAGCCACCCCCAAAACCCTCCTCCCCCTTCGCCAGCATAATCCTTATCGCCCCCTTCACCGACCTCCCCACGCTCCTTCAAACCTACCGCATCGCAGGCCTCCTCCCTATCCTCAAACCCCTGCGCGGCTACCCCCGCGTCTCCAACTTCCTCGCAGCCAGAATCGTAGACACGTGGCCCACACTCCCCCGCCTCCTCGACATCATCCGCACAACCCCCAGGGATCTGCACATCCACATCCTGCACGCGCGCAACGACGGGGACATTCCGTTCCGCGAGGCCGAGGCTGTGTATGCGCCGCTGCAGAGCGAGATGTTGGGCGGCGAGGGCGTGAGTGCGACCGAGGAAAGGAGGAGTATACATGGCGGTGAGCGCGTGAAGCGTGGGGCGTTTGCGTATAAGAAGGTGGAGGATGGGAAGAAGGGGACGAGTGTGGAGTTGGAGATTGTGAGGTTTGGAGGACATAATGAGGTTGTGGGGTGGGCGCAGGTTAGTTTGGGGGTTAGGAGGGCGTTTGAGAGGGTGGAGGGGGCGGGGAGGGGGAAGGTCGGGCTGGACGTTGAGTAGAGAGGGAAGTGTATGTGGAGAGGACGATGTGTGCTTAAAATATGTAAGATGATTGACCGTATAGGTCGGAATGGGTATCATTATTTCGTTTCCGTATTCATACAGGTACACGAGCCATCATGCTCAGGACTCAGACAAGACTCTTCCTAGGTCGTCCGGCCTTTTTCTTCTCTGCTCCACTCAGCGTCGAGCCCCAGTTTGACGCCGTGAAACTAAACCGGCGATCCATAGTCGGCGTCGCAACTACAGGTGTGCCGTCACCACTTCGTACTCTCTTCTCTGCATGTTGCTCTGCGTCGCCATCGCGAGGCAATCTAAATGCTAGATAGGTCTCGCTCGCGCGCTTGCACTTGTCAAACACCTCATCCATGTACTTCTCCACGACGTCTGGAGGCCGTATGGCGCGCGCTAGCGAAGTCTTGATGTCCATGTTATCTGTGAGCAAGAGGACTGTGACAGGCTGATAGAATTCGATGTCAGCAATGTCGTTCTTCTCATCAAAGTCTTCTATGCGAGGCTGTGGAATAAATGGAGTGGGTGTTGGCGGGACAGATGGTTGGAAGGGCGTCATCTGGCCGTTTGGCGTTTGCGCAAAGGTCATGTTGGGTGTTTCCATGTTCGGAGTTCCGCTTGGTGTAGCTCCTGTTGGGGGCGCCATGGCTTTCGGAGCTGGTGTCGATGGAGGCTTGACACTGACGTCCTGTTCCAGCTTCGGCTTCATCTTCGTGATTAAGAACGATATCTTTGCCCCAGACATGTTCGGTAGCCACTCCAAGAAGCTGTATGACGGAAAATGCAGATAGTCTTTGTTACCCTCCTCGAATGTGAAAACAAGTGGTCGGTAAGTCGTGGGCTGTGGATGAGGATTGTATGTAGGCATTTGCCGTTGCTGGTGATACTGCTGGGGTGGTTGATTGTAGCTATTAGGGTGTGGAGAATGGGACGGTCGAGGTGGCGCTTGCTGAAGCTGCATCTGCGGTGGAGCCGGGCTGTATGGCTTCGGTGCCTGTTGTGGTATTGGTGTTGGTTGAGCGGGCTGAACAGGGCGAGACGGTGGAGGTGGAGGTTGTGGCGCAGCGACGGGCTGTGGTGTAGGAGAAGGAGCTACAGCTTTCGGGGCGGGAGACGGGGCAACGGCTTTGGGCGTCGTGGATGCTGGTAAAGCTTTGCCTGCTTTCGCTGCTTCTTCTTTCTGCTTCGCCAGCACAGCTGTCAGCTCATTGATGTGAGACTGGAAGAACTCGAGCTGTTCTTTTGATGCCTGTCCAGCTGCCACGATCTTCATTACTGACTTGAGTTCAGGATCTACGCCTGCTCGTTGCGCCAACATGTGAATGACGGGGTCTGGAGCGGGCGTGCTGGCTGGCCCAGGCGTCGGTGGGGGCGCTTTCTGTACAGGCTTCGGTGGGGGCGGGCGTGGTGGTGGTGGCTTCTGTTGATAGACAGGCTGTCCTTGGCTGTTGTACTGTGTGTATTGGTTCGGCTGGCTATGTTGCGGCTGGTTGTGATTCGGCCACGACCCATACGAGGCAGGTAGCGACGGCTTCTTGGGGACATGCTTCATCGATTCCTTGGGCGCATAGAGTCTGATGGGGAATGTGTGAGGCTCGATGACCAGCTGCGCTTGTATCGGGATCTCCTTGGCCGAATTGACCGAGTCCTTGGACTGAGGAATGACGCCCAGCTCCGGGAAGTCCCTCAAAAGATTCTTCTGTCGTGCATGTCTGGCCTTGTCCTCCTCAGTGCGATCAGCGGGCTTCTTCGGCTGGTTGAAGAACTTGTGGAAGACTCGGAAGTTGACGCCGGACACCCAGACGGCCCGCGACCGCTCCATCGAGGCGCTGAGCACGCCGCTCTGCTGTATGTCCTGCCATTCGCTTGTGGGCAGTTCGAGAGGCTGTGGTTCGGGAAGCGTCGGTAGCGGTTGGCCTTCAGTGATTCGGAGAGGAAGTGTCTGCTTGGGAGCTTGGGGGCTGTCCGTTGCCGGCGTCGGGTCTGCAATTACGACACTGGATCGTTTGCGCTTGAGCGTGGATGCGGATTTGGCACCTTTGGCAGGCTTCTCTTTTGGTGTTTCGGGCGCTGGAGCTGCCTCTTCACGAGCGCGCGCCCTCGTGGACCGCCTGGGCTCAGACATGTTGTGAATGGCGTGCTATCGATCGTGGGGCATGATGGAATGTCGAGGACACCATTTGTCGTGTCTTTCGATAAAGTGACGCACGCGATGGCCAGAAAGTCCACGCGCCGCACTAGCGTCGGATGCGGTATGGTGCGAGATTTGTGAAGGCCCCAGAGGTTCTGCGAAGTATCGTGCACTGCAACAACCTCTTGCAACATGAATCTACATGAATCTATTATGCATATTGCACTGTTATGAAAAGTGCGTAGTCTTCATTGAAGCCAGATGATGGCACCTTCCGCTAGCTGCAAGCTCCATGCAAGGAACTATTTTATCCAGATGTCACCCTGCCCAACACCGACTCGACTTGTGATCAGTAATTCGCGACTTCCAACCAGATTCATGCAAGTGCACGCAAAAAAACGCTTGTCACCATGCATCAATCTCCATCCTAACCGAAGAAACCCAAAGAGTTTTGTATGGGCCGTTGCTAGAGGACCTCAAAAGATCGTCCTGAAGTTTTGATGATTTATCGTCCGCCTCTGTGCTCAGATCGATCCACGCATAGAGACAGAATAGCAGGAATAATAAATCTCTATCATCATTGCACAAAAGACTGTGCTTTCGATATGCAGACAATGGGGTGCATCTTGCACCCAGCAGTGCAAATGCAGACACACTGAACATCTACCCAACAAATGCAACCTCACCCTTCCCCTCTGCACCCGCCCATCCGTCCCATCACAAGCAAACCCCCTTTCTGTCGTCAATTAGGCCATCGTTTCGCTCCCTCTGCCTAGTCCAGTCCAGTCCAGTCCAGGTACAATCAGCCCCCCAGCATCGCCACATCTCCACCCACCTCCGAAGCTCCACTGCATAAACATTCCCCACCCCTTCGCCACTGGTGTGTGGCGGTGCCGTCTTATTCCCGACCCCAGCTATATGGCCAGGCAATGCCTGTCGGAGGATTTGACGGATAAGCGACAGTCCCGTTTCATGTAGGTGCAGGGGTGCGATGAGTGGTAAACCTAGGAGTAGGGAGATTGCGAAAGGAGACGGGATGGGTGGTAGGTTTTACGTTATGGGAGGGTGTAGAGTGTTTGGGAGATGCAGTGGTGTTGGTGGGATGGAGGGTGTGGATGGGTAAGGATTGGTGGGGGAGTGGGTGGGTGTTTCATGGTGACCTTCAGGGGAATCGAGGTCTGGATGGATGACTGAAAGACGCGGGTGAGGAAGAGCGAGGATCTGTTTTGGCGAGCAAGTAAAGGAAGGAACATGATCGTTGAGAGAAGACGAGACTTTTGTTAATAGTCACCAAAAATGCAGAAAGGTGAAAGATTGCAGTGAATGTTTCATTTCATGTATGCCTATACACCATCCGGGTCGTCATGAATAGATCGAACCCATCCTAACGTATCTAAGACCCCAGGTACGCCAAAAAATGCAATTCATGTTCGCGCGATGCGACTGTAAAAGTGTTCCCCAAACCAACGGTCCCAGACCGATTCGTCCCCTATATGTAAAAAATGGTTGAAAGATAGACAAAGAACATATGCGATGCGACTGAATCGTCGTCATCAATGTTGGTAAATGAGTGGCACGCTTAGACCTTGCGGTTGTAGCGAGGACGAGCGACACGCATGGAGCGCTTGGAGATGACGCCGTTGACACAGGCGGTGCCAGAGGCAACCTCTTGCCAGACCACGTTGCCGTTGTTGCACAGGCCGAACTGCTTCTCGCCGTTGCAAACGACAGCGCCGTTGGTGGAGCAGGTCGAGGCAGAGCCACCAGGAGCGGCAGGAGCAGAGCCACCAGGGGCAGAGCCACCGCCAGTAGATGGGGGAGTTGGCTGGGCTGGTGTACCGGTACCGACTGGGACGGTGGGCTTCGCTGGTGTGGGAGCCCCAGTGACGGTGACCAGGGTGGTCGAAGTTGCTGGAGTGGGTGCAGCTGAAGCGCCAGGGGCGAAGACACCACCTGGGTTGGAAGGAGGTGGCGAGGGCGCGGATGGGGGAGCTGCAGCAGACGACTGACCACCGGCAGGAGGGGTGGGCTGAGAAGGAGGAGCGGAAGCGGATGGCTGACCTGCTGGCGATGAAGGTTGACCTGCTGGCGGTGAAGGTTGACCTGCTGGCGGTGAAGGTTGACCTGCTGGCGGTGAAGGCTCGGCTGGAGTACTGCCAGTAGAACCACAGCTGCCAGTGGGAGGCTTCTGATCGTCGGCGGCACCCTTCTCAACTACTGAGCCAGGGTTGGGAAACTTGGTAGCGAAGTTTTGCGCGCTTGTGCAACCCTCTCCAACGTTGTATTTAAGCATATCAGGCAACGTCATGAACTCGGTCTTGTCGCTAGCACCACCAGTGACCTCAATGGGAGCACAGTTCATGTAGAGTTCCGGGGCGCCTGACATCTTGGAGCTCCAAGTCCAAGCAAAAGTTGCCTTGCCGTTAGGAATGCTGGCAGGGAGCTCGAAGTCGTATTCCTTTGTTGCGCCGTCAACACCAGGGCAGCCGCCCTCGATGGACTTGATGACCTTGAACACGGAGTTCTCGTTGGGCTCTGGGTCGGTCGTGACAGACAACTGGCACGAACCTCCACCATGAACAGCTGTCCCACTGAAAGCTAGGGTCTGCTTGGTACCTACAGCCATTTGGTTCATGGTAGAAATCTTGAAGCCATTGTCGTTCTTGCATGGATAATTCTGCTTCGTGACCGGGGAAGTGTCGAGTGTATCCTTGCTGAAGGGGACGGGTTGCGTAATTTTGATGTGCGCGTTGGCGGCAGACAAGAGGGCAGTAACTGCCAGGATTGTGGTCTTGATAGACATAGTGATGTGTGTATGTCGAATGAGAGTGATCCTGCTGAAGAATGCAATAATGTGAGTGCTGATTCTATCAAAGAATCTGCGAAGGAGTGTGATGAGCTGAAAAGAAGGATATCTAGCACAGCTAGAAGAGAAGTAAAGATGCAAATGCAAAGAGCTTTTGGGACACTGATGTGATGAATAGACATAACGGTGCGACTGAGGTCGTCCTTTATACCATTGCTCAAAGGTCTGAGTATGCCGCCACACCTGTTTCCACCAAAGTCCCCTCAGGACGATCCCTAATCAAACATCGAGTCTGGATGGTGACATTCGATCACAAAACATGGGGCATATGGCAAAAGGATTGGCGAGCGTTTACGCATTGAAACAGGCGAACAAGTCGCTGAGGCTCTCAGCCAAAGGCACCACGGGAGATCCACCAGGTTGACAAGGTTGACGCAGGAACTCGACGCGGAGACTACCACGAGTGGAAGGTAATGGACGCCAGCGTAGTCAAGGAGCACCATGTCGTAATGGATGGCCTTGTGAACAGTTTCGTTTCGATGTTGCATTTGGTGACCATTGGTCAAGGCTGGACTCGCTTAGCGGCCCGCCCAAAAATCCGGACCCCTGTTTCGAGACGTGTCGCATCCCGTCTAGTCACCCCCCCGTCCACGAGGGCCGATTGGTGAGCCGCATCGTCTCTTTTTTACGCCATGGTCTTTCTGCATCCACATCGCAGCCACCGCGGTTGCGTGCAGAGCTTGCATCCCCTGAATATGCACCGGGTTCGTCCAATATTCATCCGTTATCGATTGTGCACTGGCTGTAGCAAGGCGCCGACTGATGATCACCACTTCGGCTCGAACCAAGCTTTCATTGTCGCCGTCGCCGTTGCCGCCTGCCGCTCGTGATGTCGTGCATGCGTGTCTGACGGCCAATTGTGCGAGACCCACACCATGCAGCCATAAAGTTGCTGTCAGCTGTTGCCATTCTTCATGCACCACTTGGGCCCAGTCGTGTCGAGCCGAAGGTTGATATTCCTGACAATAAGAAATAGTCAGCGCGACGACTAAGCCGCGCCACTACATGGCTGTGCACGATTCGTTTCGCACACAAGCCTGCCACAATTCATGCAAGCAGCTCTCGGTCATGAGCCACAATGGCCTTGTCAACGGTAAAGGCGTCCTCTCTGTAATTTGGACACGGGATGACCGGTGGCGAAAGCAATGTGGCCTATGTCCTCTTGTCCGCGCACGTCGCCAACATGGACCTCGACGTCCCTCAAGAGCCTTGATCGTTCCATAGCGTCTAACATTGTTCCGCCTTGAGGTATTTTGACCCAAGGGTTTTCGTACGTCATGCTCGAGACAAATCCGAACATCTCTGGGCCAAGGGTCCTCCTTTTGAGAATGAGTGCCATGCTGCCGGTAATCAAGATGACTGTCGACGACGACAGAAGCAACGCAAGCCATGCAAAGTTGCAGACAAAAATCTCTCTTTTTGTTGTTTTCTTCGCTGTAGTCGTAGCTCCCATGAAAGGTGACTCCAGGCGGTCTACCCTTTGCTGAAAATCGAGGAACCACTCAGTGAATGTGTGTTCAGTAGCCGATAGATTGGCGGGTAGATACACGTTGACATCCGTCACTGGTAGCGTATCGGGTCCATATGCCGACAGGTTGTTTGTCAGGCTACCAAAGTAACCAGATGATTGAGTGCTGAGCTGGTAGTAGGTGTTGAGAACTAGGCTCAGTCGCTGCGAGAAATCATCTATAGGTACTTTCGAAAGATCGGTGTACGCCTCGGTAGCGATAAGACGACCAACCCTTTGAACGAATGGGAACGTTGAGGTATTCGACATGAACAATTCTGTCGGACTGGAGCCCTCATTGAACTTGATGGCAGTAGGAAATTCGCGTGCAAATGGATCGAACACGGAAAGGGCCTCGAATGCTGTCAATGTGTCGGGCCGCTTGTCCGTTCTCGACTTTCGGAGCTGGGTGACTGCACACTTGAGTGCCAGCACATAGCACTAATGCTTCAACGTGTTGCTGATGTAACGTGCATCGCGCGATGTTGAGTCCTTGGTCGTTCCCATCACGGCTAATGCCATAGACCGAAGCAAAGAGCAGCTCCCTTGGTCTGTCAATCTCGGTCTGATTGATTCGAGATTGGTTGTGATGGCCTACGAATGCATCCAACCGATCCATAATTATTCCATTTTCTGCACCTGCACGGGGTTCGCTGTTTCTGATTGGCTGTGAACCCAAGTTCCTGGAGGTATCCAGCAAGAAAGAAGCTCTTCCGCCCAACAGGTCGAAGGGATGTAGGTCGGACTGGGATTTATTGAGCCAGACCTTTCCGGGAAGCAATAGATCCAGCTTTGTATAATTGGTTGCAGTAGAGTCGCCAGTGCCATGTAAACCAGGATAAGGTTGCTGTTCGAAAGGATTACACTTGACATATACGTAGTTGTATTCCATCGTGAAGTTGAAATCAGCTGTATTTGTGAGCCCAGCAACCGGTAGGCCTACCAACGCAGCATAGGTTTCCGGTACTTCCACCGTGGAAGGGGCTGCCAACCAGCCATCGGCACCCATGGTGGACAAATCCAGTACCTCGTATCTTGGGATCTTTACGTTTCCCCATGAGTCTTGGCGTCCGATTTTGATCGCTTGAGGTGCCAACAGGGCTGCATTATATAGAGCGCCGGCTTCAGAAAATTTACCGCGTTGAAAGTTGCTAGTAGCCATACTAAACAATGCGCCAGCAGGACCCGTTTGTCATGTAGCGTAACTTGGAGGAGTCGTACAGTGCTTCTTGATCTCTCTGCATCAGTCGCAGAGATGCTTGGCCACCCAACGGCGACAGGGCCCACAGGAAGAGTAGGTTTGCGCCGACGATAGTGAATCTCTGCATGAGAAATTGGCTCTCAACAGTTCCCCAGACGGACTGGCTGGCCATCATGAGCTCTAAAGTCTTGTGGGAACGATGTTAGAACATATGACTATGGTGCTAGCGGTGGGGACGAGACGCACACCGAGCTTTGCACCCTTCTCGGCGAGGAATCTCGCTATCATCTTCATACTGCGCCCGATAATCGCTGCGAAGACGATCGGGAACATAGTAGGACCCTAGCATATATTAATAGAGGAAGCATAAAGCCAAGAAAGGCGTACCAAGGACATCGCAAATTCCACTTTAGTTCCGAAGGTATTGCCCTGTGTCGGTTTCTTGTGTAAGACCGCAGTCGCAACTCCCAGTACTGTTGTAGGTCAGATATCGTGCGAGTTTGTTGATTGACTTGGCTTACAGATGAAGTATACCGGTAGGAGAACAAGAAGAACATCGGCTATAGCGTATAGGTATACCACCCAAGTGTGCTTCTTCAGTGGTCGGGCTTCTTCAGGCCAGCTGGGCACTCGATCAACGGTGGTCTCCCATGTCTTCGATTTTGGTGCTGGTGTTGCTCGAGCCGATCCAGCGGTTTCCTCCACTATTCCGCCCAGCGCATGTCGTCGAAAAGGGTTCCAGTGAAGATTAGTCATGGTAGCTGTTGCGTCGTCCACCTGCAAGAATCGAGCAGCAATACGAGACGAATGGTTCGCAATGTGCGAACGCATCGTTTTTGGACACCACACATGCGGCGCAGCGAGAGCGAATCCCACTCATGTCTAAGAATAATCTTTGGCAGCAGCGCGCTTGCTGAGGTTGCCGGGACGTCGTGAAGCACTGCTAGCGAATCGTTTGGAGTAGTCGAAACGGAAGCGCTTGGATGGGGCTTCATTTCGTCCCGAGAGTACGGCTCAGGCAAGTTAGCCATTCGATAAGCGCGCTCTTCAAGAGGCGATGCGCGGTGATTCGCTGTATGGAATCTTAATTGATGCATCATTGAGACTGGGCGATGCAAGATGTGATGAAGGAAAGGAAGGTGCAGGTGCGGAACAGCGGGACCTCGGGAGGTGCCGCCAAGCAGCGGACGGCCTTGGGGCTCGAGGCGCCCTCGCGCCGCAAGGCTCACCTTCATAACCTTCTCCTCGTCCGTTACCATACTTTCCCACGAACATCATCTTCATGCATCGCATCCTATGTGCGAGAGCCAAGTCTCCATCAGTTGCGGAATATTTTGTATCCCTTTGACGATTCGCATCGACGGATGACTAGGACTGGCAAGCACGGTCATGCCCACGCTGGGCTGTCAACACACGCGCCTTGACACCAGTCACCATTTGAAATAGTGCCCGGTCTACGCGAGGTTACTTCTATGATAAGAAACTCCTCTTGTCAGCACGGGTTATGCCGGCGCCTGATGTCGATACCTTTCTCTTGTCTCGCACGCAGCGATTGTGTGGTGTGCGGTGATGTGCATGCGAATGCCGCACGTGGTGAGTAGTAAGACGACAGGTGACACCCATTTCTCGTCACAACGAAAGTGAAACCAACTTCAAGATGGCCCTGCATCGATTCAGCAGATCTTCTACTGCAAGGCACCAAGTATCCTTGTTGACATTTCTTTTACCATGTCCTGTTCAAACTCTCGCACCTTGCACCCCTTGTTCGGTAGTCTTTTAGTTGAAGGCAGCATGACCCGCACGACAGAGCCTTGAGCCTCCAACCATGTGGCGCAGTCATGCGAGATCGCGCATCACGGTTGATTCACAGATGATCTGTCCTATGAGAAACGACACATGCAGCTGAGCTCGAGTTGAGATGCACGTTGCCGTGAGTAGCGCGGTCAGCCGCAAAGGGAGCCGCCTATCCGGTGAACAGGTCCTGGGCACGGCTTTCACGCAAGCAATGCTGCCAACATTCCTCGATGCCACTCCCATCCGTGATAACGCTATCAAATTGCATGCCTGCAACGAATAAGTAACGATGAAAGAAGAAGCTGAAGCTGCAGTGGATGCTGTAAGTCTTGTTCAGACACGTCTTGCTCAGACTGTGAAAGTACGCGACGTTTAAACTGACTGGAATCAGGCAAAGGGCGTACTACAAGATCTAGTTGTAGTCGTCTCGCTTGTTCGCACGTTGACAGAGTCTTTCGGATCTGCCCGCGACTTGTATCGCAAACTCAAACCCAAGTCAAAATCAGATTCGCATAGCAGTGACGATGAGAAAGAAGAGCGGGAGAAGTGGCATCACAGACCATCTAGAAGACGCCGAGACTCTAGCCCAGATTCCGACCGTGACCGCGGCCGTCGTCATGTCCGCTGGAAGCTGGATGCGCGCAAAGAGGAGTATACCGACAGCGACGAGGAGCTCATATCCACTTCTTCATCACAAGTGTTAGCCGAATACGATCGGGGATATCGAAAGTTAGGCGAAGGCTTTGCTCGAGGAGATCGTATGCATCACTATAGCGCACCCGACATCATGTACTAACGCGAGAGCAGTGGTCACGCAAACTCAGCTCCAAGCACAGATCATACAGCTCCAACGCACTTTACTCAGCATCCACCAGGATTACATGATGAGTTCATATCTGTCGCCATCATCTTCGCACTCGCATGTTCTGCGTCTAATACAAACTACGCGCTCGGCCCGCATGGCATCCATTCAAGCACTTCAACTGCAATGCCAACGTATGTCAGAGACAGGGCGCCCAAGTGTGCCAGATCCATATCATAGCATACCTGGGGCTTTCCCGGTGCCACCCGAACCCAGGCCTCGTCATGACAGCGTGACAGAGAGGCCCGATTTTCCGAAGGGGCGTGGAGATAGATGCGATAGCCCTGGAAGAGATCCGGAGGAGATCACGATTCAACCATATCCCAACCCTCGACCAAAGCCAACACCACCACAAGACTCGGATCCCAGACGTGGGGATCGACGCCGCAGTCCAGTCAAAGATCCTGAAGAGATCACGATTCAACCATACCCGACTCCGCGACCTAAGCCTATCCCACCAGAAGATTCGAAGCCTAGACGCGATGGAAGATACAATGACCCAATCAGGGATCCGGGAGGGATAAGAATCCAACCATATCCTAACCCTCGACCAAAGCCCAGTCTACCACATCAGTCTTACAACAACAAAGTATTCTGCATCTACGCCCGCGACCTGCAGAAGCATCCTCGCCTCAATCTTACGGATAGTTACAAAGCTGGCGGCAACAGCATGTGCCCTTACTGCCACGCGTACAACCCCGTGCGGCCGGGTAAGGCGTGGGAAATCATTGCGGACAGCCGAAACAGGAACGTGCACGAACGCCACCGCTTCTTGATCAAGAATCGCTTCGTGATCAAGAGTCATCAGGAAGGCGCGGGATTTGCATGTATCTTTTGCGCGAGGTTCAGAGAGGCGGACACGGTGTGCAGGAGGGTCGAGGGACTTATGGAGCATTTGTGGAAAGATCACACCAGCGAAGAGTTGGAGCGAGATGAGGATGTGTTTGAGATTGACAATGGCGTTTTCCATGCCAACTGATATTATACGCGATGATTAGGTTTCTTTCCTTACTGGTTTTATACCCTTAGACATGCTCCTTATGAACAGCAGACCTCGTACTAATATCCTGCAATCTATCGATTTCCTTAGAACCTGGTCAAGATGACAATGTCTTCTTCCACATTTCGAACCTTGAGTGTTCCTCGCTTACTCTTCGCATCGCAATAGTATTGGCTGCCGAAATACCATCGGTGCGACTCGGGGTCCCAGATCAGAGAAGCTTGATTTCCCACGAAGAGGTTGGCTGTTCCTTTGAAAACACTGATGTCTTGAGCCGTAACTTCCGGTTGGTTTGGTGTATCGATGTAGTATTCCGGACTGATGTGGTTATAGCCCATAGTCATGAGCGGCACTTTGGGTACAAGGTCGTTCCTATGCGTGAATCGAAAGTTGCCGCCTGACTGATTGGTGATGTAGTTGCTGATTTTAGCCCCTCCAACTCGTGGCGAGCCAAAGTTATACAACGCAACTTTATAACCAGAGTTGCGCAGCGAGGCGGCTGCAAGAGTCGCGACAGCGCCTCCTAGCGAGTGTCCCACAACAACGATCTTGTACTTGGGGAAGGTGGCCGATGCTTGCTGTACTGCGGGATTAACAGTGTCGCGCGCGATGACCCAGGAGTTCCAGAACCCGCGGTGCGCAGTGCATCCAGAGCAAACGTCGGAGTCGACAGTGTCGAACTCGTAGTTGGTGACCCATGCATCAACAGTGAGACTGCCACGGAATGACACAACAACCAGCTTATTCGTGTGGTCGACAGCGATGTAGCCAGTCACATCTGTCGAGGTATCCAGTCTGTTACAGTTAGTCCTTCTCCTAGTGTTTTGCGCCATTCTCGAGAATTTTCCTGCTTACCTAGAGTACGCGGTCACAGTTGCAGCATCAGCCGCCTCTACCTGCGGACAATCACCTCCTGGACAGCTCATCTGACTTCCCGAAGAGACAAAGTTGTTTGCACAATACGCAGCAGCAGCGTACTGTCCCATTAGCTTGAACGTGCTAAGTTGATCGGCTTTGATCGCCCTCTTCTCTTCAACGACAGGTGCGGCATTACTGTACGACGCCAGCAATAGCGCAGTAGTAAAGAATGACAAGATAGACATTATGTTGAAAAACGAAAGTGATATTGAATGTAAAGAAGGGACGACAGGGACAGCCTCGATCCCAAAAGATAAAGCGGCTCAGGCGATGGTCAAATACATCACGATCGAAGAGTGGTTCTGTGGCTGTACTGATCCGCAAGCCATGTTGCACTATCACACCCGCTGCGGTTCTCGCTTCCGCGGAGGATAAGCCTCGACGCCATTTTACTTTCGGCGGTTTCTTCAGATCTTAAATCGATTGGAAAAGACTAGACCACAAACTTGTCTAATCATTTTGAGCTAGCTAGTATCACGGGGGCAGCGGTTTCGTGGCTCCTCATTGGCCGCGCAAGGAAAGTGGCTCTTGGGTGGCGGCGTCTGCAGTGCGGCTCGCATTGCCGTGTGTCTAGCCTCCTGAGGTCGTTATAATCGATACTTGGCCATCTGACAGAGTTCAGCGATGCGTTTCAGGGTCTGCAAAGAACGGATGTTCGGTGTTCAGAGTTGAAGGAGGAAGGTAGAGCGCAAGTCAGGGTTCAGGAGGGAGGCGCACTTGTACTAGGCACATGCGAGACATTTTAGCGCGAGTTTATCTGGCAACAGCTCCCGTCAGGAGACTGAAGTCGCCCGAAATCATTCAACAGCATCAATACGCGTCCACGGACCAAAATTGTCATCAGATCACAACAGAGATACGATCTCGTAAAACCGTGAACAACTCTGTATGGAGTATACGCCTCCCCAATCTGCACCGCATCTACATGCTACGTGCTGTCAACAACCAAGATATAAATGAAACAGGTGTACCGAGTGGCAGCTCATCCTGTGAGCCTGTAGTACGTGGCCTGGAGTCCATCCAAATTCGGCCCCAATTTACGGCCAGTTTGCATGCTCCACGGTCCAGTTGTCCTTGACTAAACCACCATTGAGGATGTACGCCTTTGCAGTCGCATTGTCCCTCCATTGCCATTCCAGGTAAGCAACTGCTGCTTTACCTTGCTTACCGCCATTGGTAGCCTGCCATGTGCCTCCATGGCCAGTATCGAGGTTGGCTCTCAGCTTCGGTAGGCCAGCATTGAGCAAGGCATAATCCTTCGCGGACTTACAGAATGATCAGTATACAGTGTCTTGGTCATGAAAAGCGGAGAGCTTACAGTAGTGTAACCCATGTCCTTCGGTCCGCCGATGAAGTATGCAACCGGCACCTTTATCTCTTGCAAGAGATACCGTCTGTTGTCCTGGACTAGATGTTCGAGTACGAAGTCAGTGTATATCTCACATGCAATTCGTACATATACTTTACGCACAAATTGCGATGTTGAACATCATTATCCTCTTCACTCGATCATCGTGGTATGCGTTCGACATGGCCTCCAAACCACCACAGCTATGGCCTGCTGTCGTGACCTTGGTCAGATCGATATTCCCATACTTCTTCGCCTTGCCAGCAAACGCCCAATCAAGAGAGTCACGCATGTCCTGGACTTTGCTTTGGCCGCTTGTGCCAGCCCCGGTGGGCGTGCCATCCGCAACGATCACGTATCCATAGCTGGCAATCTCGACGAGCAGGCGCTCATATTCGCCGGCGTTCTGCGAACAACCTCCATTGCCCCAAGCAATAAAGGGAACAGACACGTTTCCAGCTGGAGGCGACTTTGGGGCGAAAATTGTATGACGGGGCAGCGTAGAATCCGTAGACATCACAGCTGGGTATGGTCCTGATCCCGATGTTTTGGGCCCAGAACCCTGGGGAGACTCGGAACCACTTCCTCCGGGACCAGCATATTGTGGCAGTTCAGAGAGCGGGATACTGAAGATACCTCCTGCATCTATATGTAAGTGTACCAAGTTAGCGTGCGTCTCGTGTCTATGTGAATGCCTTACGTACAGTCACCATCCGCTTTTGCAGGAAAGTTACCCGGCTTGGGCACAAATTGTCCAAATATGGGTGATGTAAGACTCAAGAGAGGGAGAAGGAGACCTTTGATCATCTTGTCGTGTTCAGGCTCTAGTTTTAGGATCGATGAACAACTTGGGACTAAATCGGACCACAGCCTTTCCACTTTATATTGTCCGAAGCATCACATGGATCTTCCTATAACCGCCGACGTGGACTACCGCTGCATGTATTTTGATGGTAGGTTGGGATGTGTCTCCATTAGCGAGGACTCAAGAAGGCTGGGCGTCTACGGCTAAAGCACAAATCTGGGGAACATGCATCTCGGATCTTGAATCGGCAGATCCCATATTAAATCACGTTTCGTCGACCAACCCTGGAACTCGAAGTTTTCTTCACGCGCACAATAGAGTACGTTTGAAAGCGAAGATTTTCATTTACAATCAGGAAGCAATTTACCAAGTGGGGGATTGACATCCTCTAAAGATAGGATACAGGAAAGGAACTCAATGACCAACACCAAAGGTAGGGAATATTGGTCGATCAATCTAGCGAAGGAAGATGTTATGAACACTGTGACGTGAGTCCGGAGAAGACAGCACCAGGTGCTGCAATGATTTGTGCGCGCTGAGCCTCGTGATCGTAAGCACCGTCTAAGAGCATTCAATCAAGCTGTCTAGCTTTAAGGTTGTTTTAGCTCTTCGCATCGTACTATTCAGCTATTGAGTCTATCCAGGATTTCATATAAGATGATAGTTGCTCTCTCATAGTAGGTTGAGTTTTGACAGAACGCGCACGAATTATAGCCGCACCTGGTGAGAGTCGATCACGATTACTTCAGCGTACAGCAGGATAAAGTGAGATCCAGAAAAGTAAGCACTGCGTAGATTTTGAAGAGCGGCTACTAAAAATCGAAAGCTAGATATACTGGGGTCACGAAGTAAGGCTAAAAGCCAGTCGGTTCCCAGAACCATGGAATGGTGATCACAAGCTTGGACATCTACGTCTCTCCTATCTCGCTCACGGATGCTAGATCGCAGCCTGCGCAATCTTGCACAATGTGTCTTTACAACTCATCATGGTCCTCCCTCGAGATGCTCTTAGCCTCAAACTCGTCTCCTTCCTTCGCAATTCTGCGCAGCCTGAAAACGCGCGCAGCATGGCTCTTCACATCTGCCTTCAGCACACCACCAGCCTCAACAACACCAATCTTCTCGCCAAAGAGACGTGGGTCCTCCTGCGCCAGACCCTTTGCGTAAGGAATTTCCGTGGAATTGTACCAGTTCGCCTTCTTCAAGATGGACTCACGCTCCTCTTCCTTCTTTGCCGCGAGCAGTTCCTCGGCGATAGAATCAGGCATCCGACTCCGCCAAAGATCATGGATCGCCCAGTCGTACTTGACGTGAGGCGCAGATCCGCCAGGTCCGTAAGGGATAAAGATCTCAGCGAGGGTGACGCTCATCTCCATATCTTCACCACCGGCATTCAACAGAATGACAACCTCATCGCCGTTGTGGAGATGGCCGGCCCAGACGTGCGTCTCGCCCATGCCCCACTCATCCTTTGCTACGCCTTCAGTGTCGCGTCGAACGCGTGTCACACTTCGACCATGAGGGTCTTGACTGAGGGCAATGATGGCAGGGTTGTTGATGATGGTCAGAGCCGAAGCGGGCATACTCCGCAGGTCGTTACCTAGGAACAACGGTGATTTGATCGCGGCCCAAAGTGCAAAGTGCGCTTTGTACTCTTCATCGGTCTGGCCGCCTTGGCCAACTTCAAGCATGTCAAGATCGCTCCATCCGCCGGGGATACTGCGGTCCGCAAAAGGCGCAACCTTGTTGAGAATGAAGAGTGTCGAGCAGTGAGTGCCTGGCGCCACACAGTTTACATCACCGGGTGCAACAGTGTTGCAACCGCAGAGGTCGTCTGGGCGAGAGAACGAATCGTAGATATCGCCTGTGATACGCCAGGAGTTGGCGATGGACATGCCCCACTATCAAAATGTCAGTCTGCAAATCTCGTTGAATGACTGATGTGACATCGCTCACCGTATGAACGAGGTCCTCTCCCCAGTTGCACAAGTTGAAGAGGATGTTTTTTCCAGTGGCTTTGAGAGCGTCTGCCATCGTCTTGAAACGATTGAACGACACAGATGGCGTGCCAACACGGCCCATGTGATAGCAGCTGTCGTACTTGAGCATATCGACGCCCCAGCCAGCAAAGCTCTTCGCATCGTCGACTTCGTGGTCCAGAGATCCTGCTACTCGTTGTTAGCATCTGATTTAAAGATTTGAGTGTGATGCATCGTACAAAACCTTGCGCAGGTCATCTCGCCAGCGCTACTGTACATTCCAAACTTGAAGTTCTGGCTGTGGAGATGATCCGAAATCGCGTTTAGACCATTCGGAAACTTGTCGTAGTTGATCTGCAATTTTCCTTTCTTGTCCCGTCCTTTGGGATCTTGCCAGCAGTCGTCCAGGACAACATAGTTGTAGCCAAGATCACGCAGACCAAGGCTTATGATCTGTTCTGATGTTGTGAGGAGCAACTTTTCAGACACGTCGCATCCAAAGGCGTTCCAGTTGTTCTTTTTCCATTAGCATAAGGTTCGATTGCTTGCTTAGGAAGTCGTACCCAGCCCATAGGAGGTGTGATGGCGAGACCATTGTTGATGGCAGCAGCGCCACCCAAGAGTGCAGTCACCGCGATGACGGTGTTGCTACGAGACAGTGTCATTGTGCGAAACTGAGAATGTGCTTTGATCAAAGCCGCCACTTCAGCGTTTTAAGCACACTTTGAGGTGGACATCTCGAGTGGGTCGTGATCCCAGGATGCCAAGTCCGCGAGTTCGGGCGGTCAATGGAAAGGCTCCGCAAGCGTGCAGAACGTCGACGAGTTTCCCGCCGCTACCAACTGCCCCGCAACATGGTAGTCTGAAGCTATACGCAGAGTCGCAATTGTCCGATTGCGGCAGCAAGACCCTGTGTACAACTTCAGGATGGGCTACCTATGGTTACACCCTAGTCGATTTCCGTCATAGTGGAGATCACGCAGTACGATATCAGGCGCAATTACGCGTGTCTTGCCTTTCGCGGCTATCGCAATCTCGTGACTTCGGACGCCTGACTGCCTACACAGACAACCCTGAATAGCAAGATAATGGCGACTGTCTACTCAGTGCCAGCAAAGCCTCATACTCGGGATCATTATCCCTTGGTTCAAGCTCCATATGAGGCGCAAACTGGACGAGGAAGCGCAATAGCCATCGATCAAGAACGAAACTCGTCTCCTTGCTTCGAAGACAGGTTTGGTGAAAAGCTCGCAGACGACTCATAGCGCCATCTACGCTCGGCCAATAAGTCCGCAATTTGAGCAAAATCTCAAAATTTCGCTCCAATCTCGATTTCGAGACTCTTATCTGGCTTTCATCGCCAGAGAAGAGGAGTGTATGGATTTGGACTGTGGACGCAATGACGAGTATGTGCGAGACGGCTGAGTATAAGACTTCGCTCCCAGGAGTTGAGTGCGAGCGATATACGAGAGAACAGAGTCGTGCAGCATAATGTTTGCAGGCGTCAGCGTAGGCCGATGAACTTCCTTCAGCCTCTGAAGAAGTTGACAGGAACTGGTAAGTCAACAGCTGGCCGTAGTGATAATACCCTAAGTACACAGCAACGAACATGCGACCCAGGCCCATTGATGCGAATTTCTTGAAATTCTCGGGCGTATCACGCATGTGTTCTGGTAAGTCTCCCAGCCATGTATCAAGCTCGTCCGATAACTGGAGTATGCCTTGTTCTAGGGGCATACCAGTGAGATGTTGTGACACACAAGCTTGGTTGAAGTCGATGATCCTCATAAGAATCCTGTTCAACTTGATCATCTCTGCAAACAGTGGTGTGGTCAAGGTCGTCGTGTTCGGACTTGGATGTACCCCATTTCCATTGCTCATGGACATGAAGGCAAACTCGTCAATAGGTAACGGTGCTGCACTTTCAATCGGCATAATCCGTGGCAATTTGACGGCAGTGGACGACCAGACATCAACCATACAGATTGTCCACCATGTTCTGATATTCACTTCACGCTCGATCGGACTGGTAACTGGCAAATTCGACAAGTCAAGAGCCAGACACATGCGTCCACCCGTACTGTAGTAAAGGTTTTCGACGTCGGTCTCTCCATTAGCGGCAGCGTAGGCTCCTAGCAGAACGCAGGCTTGTACCGTGGTAGGACTGATCTCTCGAAGGCTAAAAAGTCTCTCGCTAGCCACACGATACGCATTGCCTCTTTCTCTTGCATCGGTTCCGTCAAAAACTGCATTCGTCGAGAACCTGGCCGAGAAAGCGAAGATGGCGAAAAGGACGATCGCTGGCACTTTGTCATGCTCTACGTCGGCCATGAAAGATGCTCGATGGTACATGGAATGAAACTGATCGTGGATGTAGTCGAAGTACAAATTGACTAGTTCTCGCCTGAGAGGAATGGGTGGTAGTTCTTCATGATGCTGTCTTGGCGGTGGCTCAAAGGGCCCAGCTGCGCCTTGGGCTGTTTGAAACTCTTGGAGTCTTGCTCGTCTTTTGGCATAGTAGCCGCCTTCTGGTGGCCCCTGGAGACACTCGGTACCATGCGACAGGCAATAGTCGCAAATAGTCGCGTGCCGACCTGTTGGGTAGATGCATTTGCGACGGCGCGCTCTCCAGCCAGGTCAGCGGTAGTCGGATGTGAATGTGGGGAAGCTTGTCACCTACCGACAAACGCTACAAGCTGACGGCTTGCGCATAATTGCGCTTCGAGAAGGACTCCATCAACTGGGCGGGATAAAAGCGGTAAATACGATGAGTGGACGAGCCTTGGAGAGACTCAGTGGTTGGGGCAAGCGCACCTGGGCAACTGACTCGTGTTCGGACGGAACCGCCAGAAAAAGGAACGGTGCCGCCAAAATGCACGAGCTTCGTCTAACTCAAGAAAGGAAGACGGCGGAAAACGTAGGAAAAGTCTCTGGAGCGGCTTGCCTCGTGACGAAGCTTGGCGACGGGCCTTCAATTCATTGGGCGCTTTGAGTATTCTCTCCCCATGGGCACTCTTTCTGAACGTCCCGCCATGTGGCTACCCCGCAAAGATCTGGTCTTACCCCTTCTCGGACAGTTACCGCGTCTTGGTCGTCCAAACTATCGGGCCACGCTTGGGTGCATGACAAGGAGTCCAGCCTCGGGTGACTTGATATCAAGATGTATATAGAGTGCAGATCTCTGCACGCAAGAACGCCTTCATCCTCATCTTGACAATTCGTCAGACGGAGACCATCAAAGACCTCGAGCATCGTTCGACATGGCCACCATGGAGAAGACCGAAGGGCATGTCTCCGAACATGTCACATCTACGACTGGCCAGAACGTTGCCGATGACACCACCGCTGCCATCAACAATGAACACAATATGTCAGTTCGTCAATCGCTGCGCTTCTGGTGGAAGGCCATCGTCTTTTCCTTTGTCATCTCGCTCTGCGTTGTCATGGAGGGCTACGATACTTCTCTGATGAACAAATTCTTCGCTTTCCAGCCCTTCCGAAACAAGTTTGGTGATCAGGTTGATGCCGATGGCGTCAAGATCGTCTCATCGCGATGGCAGACAATTATCCTCAACGGAACTCAGGTATGCTTATTTCCAGCATGAGAATTGAACAAATCTAATGCAATCAGGTTGGATGCATTCTCGGTCTCATCATCAACGGATACATCACCGAATGGATTGGATACAAGAAGACTATGATTGGCAGCATGATTTTCATGGTTGGTGCCATCTTCATCCCGTTCTTCTCCACAGGCTTGGAAATGTTCCTTGTTGGTGGCATCATCCAGGGTCTGCCATGGGGGGTCTTTCAGACCCTTGCCATCTCATACGCTGCGGATCTTTGTCCTACGCATCTCAGAGGTACGCAGAGCAAAAGTGGACATGTAACTTCTTGCTAACAGTTCGCAGGATACATGACTTCGTGGATCAACATGTGCTGGGGTATGTATGTGCCGATAGTGCTGCGGACTCTTCAGGCTAACCCTCATCAGTCATAGGAGGACTCTTATCGACGGGTATTCTGACTGGTCTGATGAAGAATACAACACAATGGGGCTACCGCATTCCTTTTGCACTGCAGTGGATTTGGCCCATACCCATTATCCTGGCTACTTTCCTCGCTCCCGAGTCTCCGTGGTGGCTCGTTCGACAGGGTCGTATCGATGAAGCGAAGGTAGCAATCAGCAAGATCACTACCCCTACGGAAGGCATAGAGTTCGACCTCGATGCACACGTTGAGATGATGGTCGTTACCGACAAGTACGAGAAGCAAGTTGGTGCTGGAACCAACTACTGGCACTTGTTCCGCGGAAGTGATTTGCACCGCACGGAAGTATCTGCGATGGCTTTCATAACTCAGGCGCTCTGTGGTGTCCCATTGTAAGCTTCACGACCAACTATGATTGAATTTTTTACCTGACTATCATTCCAGCATGGGCTTCGGCACTCAATTCATGCAAGGCGTTGGCCTCAGCCAGGACGACTCTTTCCACCTTACCATCGGTCAAGACTGCTTGGGTTTGGTCGGTTGCTTCATTGCATGGTGGATCATGACGCGTTATGGCCGTCGCCCCATCTACCTCGTTGGTCTTTCCGCCATCTTCATCATTCTTCTGATTGTTGGCTTCATCGGCCTTGCACCTCCTACGAACAAGAGCGCGAGTCTTGCGGGAGGTGTACTGATTATTCTCATGATTTTCTGCTTCCAGGTTAGCTTCCTCACCCCTTCATTGTTCAAGCCTGACTGACCTCATTAGCTCTCTCTGGGACCTATCTGCTACTCTCTCGCCGCCGAGATCCCCTCGTCCCGCCTGCGTGTCAAGACTGTCGCCCTCTCCCGCGCATCCTACAACTCCATTGTCTTCATCACCAACACCATCATGCCGAAGATGGTCGGCAAGAACGACTGGAACTGGGGAGCCAAAGGAGGCTTTTTTTGGGCCGCTATCGCGCTCTTGTTCATTGCGTGGGGCTACTTCCGTCTTCCTGAGCCCCGGGGCTTCACGTACTCTGAGCTGGATTTGATGTTTGAGCACAAGGTTTCGGCACGCAAATTTACGCGTGAGGCGGCCGATGCGCTAAAGCCTGCGCTTACGGATGTTGCGCACCAGTATGAGAAGCAGAATGATGCTGAGCGTGTTGAGTCTCGTGCGTAGGTTGGAGCCGCTTGGGGTCGTGCTACGTAGCTAGGCTCCACATAAGAATATATATGGATCCTATGGATTTTAATTTCTAGCTCCGTGCGCTGCGCTTTCCTGTCAACACGATGTGAGAACTTTTTTTATTGCGAATAGTTGAACATGAGGGCAGATGGTAAGTTCTCAGTAGCCGCGCACGTCAAGCAGCGCCAAAAATTCCTGCCTATTCTCAAGACTCCAGTACTTGCGTCGTAGCCATATGGATGGCTGTATATACTTATAGCCTTTTCGGTGTTTTACATCGCGCTGGGAAGCCTCTGAAGCTAGGTACGCTGATGTAACGGCATATTACTTGGGTTCCTCGGTCAGATGCGCTCAGTGGCTCAACAAGGTACTAGCCAATTGATAGGAAGCAAATTCGGCAATATATATAATCATACAGAACAAGGGTATTAGCAAATCTGTCATGTATAGTTTGCCTCTCCGGAGGCAGACTCGCAATCATTGGTCGTCGTATTGATCGAGGCGTGGAGTGATTCGACGAAGTAATTGTCTTTTTCAGAACTTTTCGGATGAACTGACGCAGTAGCGCTGGAGCTATATGTGGAAGATGCATGTTGTAGTCTGTCAGCTCACCACTGCGCAAGCCAATTTTGTTGACAGTCAAAATGTCCATCTTGCTAGCTTACAGAATGGACCAATCTCGGCACTCGAGTTGTATGATATCAAAAACTTTATTTTGAACAGCACTGCGATCAACGACAAGCTATTGTACCTTTCTGTACAGGCCCACGAAGGTGTGTGGGCCAGCATTTTGCGAGGGCCGAGATCTATCGCATTCTTTCGAAATCTTTAGCCGCGTATGATCTGGAGGCTTCTATGGCATGCAATTCCGACGAGAAGAGCTAAGGACGTTCTTGTTGGTGGAAAGGCAGCCTTAATTCGTACGTTTGGAATCGAGTCGGAGTGAAGCACGGGCCTATGGCTCTGAGGGCTTTCAATGTTCTGGCGCAATGAAATTTACGTATCTCAATGTGATGGATACCGACCAAGGTGTAGCATTAGATAGCTTGTTTAATAGCCCGAAGCTATACACAGTGTCTTGGTTTCGCTTTCGAAGCCTAGCAAAACTGCCTACAGCTTTGGGCCATCGAAGGTGATGGAGAGGACCTGTTTGTCTTGCTTCGTCGTTGCTGACATGCAGGAGTCTGAGATGCTTAACGCTGCAGAAGTGCCACAACGGCCGCACGGCCAAATTCCGGACTGCGGCGTGGTGGCTTTTACGGCCCCTGAAAGATTGCGCCGTGTCAATGAAACGCCACAACTCTCTACGCTCGTCAGATTGTACCAGATGTTGACGGGATAATCGCGCATAATCACTAGAGATGATGATGTTGGTTGAATGAAACAGGAAGGAGTTTTTGGTACGACCTCGGGAGTCGGTGAAAATGTGAGTGCGAGTGTTATTTGAACTCGCTCATCCACTGTTTGGGCGCAGTAAGGCTGAGAAACTGAGGTGAGTATCTAGGAGGAAACAGTTCTGTCTATGTTCGATATATAATATGTGCACCTATTGTGTCGATCCTAGGCAAGCAACGGGAGCCCAGAAAATGCCCAGAATTTGGTCCACTTCCACAAAGCTTGCTCAACCACGTGACGAGTTTCAGCCAGTCAAGAAAAAGGAGGTGCTGCCAAAATTACCCAGTTCATGCCGTCCCCTGCTGCCTAAGGAGCGTTTGACAAGATGGATGGAATCATACGGCAGGTGCAGTATATCAGCGCTCGGTTCGCAGCCAAATTGGTAGACTCTGATTTTCTGATTCGCGGAATGCACAATCTGAAATCAGGATCGCGGACCATGCGCCACCGCCCCTTGCCTCAGTTGTGTCGCAACATCACCTAGCGCGCAAAACGACAGTTCTGACGTTTGGAGCCTAACCAGTTTCACAAGTTTACACGATCAGGCTCTCCTCTTCTAGTTAGTAAACGCCAAGTTCGGAGCCGAGATCCGGTCTGTGCCGCAGTTGTAAAACCACAATGTTGGATTTACTAGCCTTCCCATGGATGGGATCACGGAGCAAACTCCCTCAAGGGCATTTGCATGTCGCAGCCAGGCGGTGATAAAATGAGCGCGCTTTCCCTCTCATCGACCGTACAGTCCTTCCAAGTCATACATTCTTTTCTTTAGGCTATTCACTCCCGACCAGTTCGGCTTACATTCTTTACAATCATTCTTTATTCTTGTATTATTTTCAAAATGGTTTCTCTTGTTCTCCTCATTGCGTCCCTCGCATCAGCAGGCCTCATCGAGGGAGCCGCCGTAGATGTATCCAGCAAGGTTAACATAGTAGCTAGGCAGCAGCGCGGAGGTCAAGGAGGTCAGCAAGGAGGGCAACAGAATGGAAAACAAAATGGCCAGAACGGTGGTGGCCAGAACGGTGGTCAGAACGCTGGCCAGACTTGCTTGAACAACAACCTCATTCAGTCCGCTAGCGGTCTCACGGGCCAAGAAACAGGAACTGAGGGCATCAAGCCTGGACAAGCACCTTCGGCTGTGTAAGCATTCCTGACAACTCAATACTGATCGCACCACTAACTTACCACCCAGCGACAAAGCAAACTTCATCAATTTCTGCCAGGGCTCAGAACTCACCAATGGCATGCAGATCAAGACCGGGTCCTGCAATGGCATACCTATGGGCAAGATCCCCGCGCAGACCAACATGGTCACGGCCGTCATCACTGAACCCAAAGTTGGTGTCAAAGTCCCTTCTGACACCACGTTCGACATCGTGGTTCAGACTCAGCACCTTGACGCTGGCTTCTTTGTCAACCCCACGACCAACTATTACACTGCGCCACAAAACCTGAACCAGAATGGCGATATTATCGGCCATTGCCACGTTACGGTCCAAGACATTGGCAATTTGCAAGCGACCACACCTCCGGACCCAACCACATTCGCCTTCTTCAAGGGCATTGACGATAACGGAAACGGGCAAGGTCTACTCAAGGCCACTGTTACAGATGGTCTCCCTGTCGGCATCTACCGTGTATGCACCATGATATCGGCTAGCAATCACCAGCCGGTCAACATGCCTGTGGCTCAGCGCGGCGCTCAGGATGATTGCACCAAGTTCGAGGTAGTTGCGTCCGGCAAAGGTGGGCAACAGCCATCTCAGAACGGCAAGAATGGCAACGCACAGCAGAACCAGGACCAGGAAGGCTTCTTGAAGAACAAGGGCGACAAAGGCAATGGTGACAAAGGAAATAACGCTGGTAACAACGGTGGAAACAATGCCAATGGCAATGCTGGCAACGGTGCCAATGCCGGTAACAACGCAAATGCTGGCGCGAATGCTGGCAACGCAAACGCAGGAAATGGTGCCAATGCCGGTAACAATGCTGGGGGCGCGAATGCTGGCAACGCGAATGCTGGCAATGGTGCTGCCGCCGGTAACAACGCAAATGCTGGCGCCAACGCCGGTGATGCCAACGCTGGGAACAGCACTGGCAACGCAAACGCTGGCAACGACGCCAACGCTGGGAACGATGCCAATGCTGGTGCTAATGCTGGCAACGCGAATGCTGGAGCGAATGCCGGTAATGATGCCAATGCAGGCAACGCAAATGCTGGTGCCAATGCCGGTAACACGAATGCTGGTGCTAATGCTGGCAACGCAAATGCTGGTGCCAATGCCGGTAACGCGAATGCTGGTGCTAATGCTGGCAACGCGAACGCTGGTGCCAATGCCGGTAACGCGAATGCTGGTGCTAATGCTGGCAACGCGAACGCTGGTGACAATGCCGGTAATGATGCCAATGCTGGAGCGAACACCGGTAATGGTGCCAATGCAGGCAACGCGAACGGCGGCGGTAATGCGAATGCTGGACTTGTCCCAGGTAGTACCGGCAAAGTAGGTGGTGAAGGCCAAGCAGGAGGTGAAGGCAAGGCTGGCGGCGAAGGTAAAGCTGGTGGCGAGGGGAAAGCTGGCGGTGAAGGCCAGGCTGGTGGCGAGGGCGCAAGGAGGTTCAGGAGAGCGTCGAGAAGCCAGGATTCGTGGTAAATGACTTGCCTAGATGGTGTCAGTGGAGAGAAAACTGTATATACGGATGAGTATGAGTGAAAGGTTGCCTGCATCGAATGCCACCTTCGAGTGTATTAGAAGGCACTGATAATCGAGTCTAAACAGGCTGGTATATAATACGATACTTATTCTATGACATAGTAGCACTTGGTAGTCGTGAATATCTTCACCTGTACTTAGGTGTCGTTCGCTGTCACATTTCCAACACGAGGAAAGCATTGAAAGATGTCGCCAGAAAGTGACAATATTGGGCACTCATGGTTAGCCGATTGAAAGACTTCTCTAAATGAAGCCTCCGATCTAGATACAACGGCAAGTCATTGTCCGTGAGATTGTATCAGTGTGAAGGACGAGATGCGGTGTGTTCGCGCCAAATTCCTTCCCACGAGTCAGACACGGGGGTGGCTGCTCCGTGCCAGAAAAGGGAAAGACTGGCTTCAACGAGGGGTCTGGCGACACTCGCACGCTAGAACCACACTAATCCACGGCACGAGAGACATGCTAGTCTCCCCCGCAACCGAGATGCGACCGAATCACATCACATCGTGCGAGCCACATTCCAAGAACGTGAATGTTCGGTACAGCGAGATGCTGCACGCTGGCTCTGGGCTTGGACGCCCTACTTGAGCCGCCATTCTAGCTCAACCTCCCCGGACACACTTGTACGGTGACAGTCCTGACGCGATCCGTGACCACGGGCTTCCCGAGAGATCGCATCAGCGCCAAACCTATTCCATCGATTTTCGCTCGGCGGTAACATTCCGTGCCCAAATTGATCAGCACATCCTCGACTTTGCGGACATAGAAATGATGCCAAAGTTTGAAGAGGTATCAACCATGTATATATGGTACTTGTCCTCTTGATCGACAAACCCCACATCCTTGTTCACATTTCGTGTTGCTTCGACGACATTCCTATAAGCGTACGTTCGGAAACGCGATCATGAACAGCTCCGATAAGCCGTACATCATGCACGATGAAAAGGAGTCACCTGAGAAGCATGGCGAGTCTACGACTGCGATAGAGAGTGATCTCACGACCATACTCAAGAACCAGCCGATAAACACTTGGGGTCGTGGCTCCTTGCATCTCTATGCTGTGTGCTTGCTGGTGTACTTGTGTTCCACGATGAACGGTACGTCCTGTATCAATGGAATCATCATGAAGGATAGCGTACTGACGAGAAACAGGCTATGACGGATCACTGATGGGCTCCATCAACGCCGTCCCAAGCTACACTTCCTACTACAATCTCCCCAAGGAAGGCAACAGTGGTACAGGCATTGTCTTTGCAATTTTTCAGATCGGTCAGATGACTGGAGCCTTCTTCTGTTGGGTATCGGACTGGCATGGCCGCCGGTGGCCTATCTTCGTCGGATGTGTAGGGACCTGTATTGGCGCCATTGTAACATCTGTCGCTCCCACGATCCCTGCGTTCATCGGCGGACGATTCCTGCTCTCTTTCTTCTCGACCATCGCAACGACCGCAGCACCGTTGTACCTGATTGAGATTGCGCCGCCGCAGTACCGCGGCACTGTTGCAGGGATGTACAATACATTGTATTATTTGGTGAGTGTGACACTCAGAAACGAATCTCAAGTGCTTACGAAATGCCCCAGGGATCAATTATCGCGACGTCTGTCGTCTACGCTTCGCAAAAGCGCTGGGGCAACGACGGCAACATTCTAGCTTGGAGACTTTCACTCTGGCTGCAGATGATCTGCCCTGCCATCGTGGCCGTGTTCATATGGCTTTGCCCAGAGTCGCCACGATACTTAATGGCAAAGGACCAACCCGAAAAGGCACGCAAAGTCTTGGGTACGATTCACGCAAACGGCGATGAAACGCATCCATTGGTCGAACTCGAGATGGCTGAGATGCGCCGCGCAATTCTGGAGACAGGACTCATGTCTTGGAAGACTTACTTTGATGTCCGAGACTTGTTCAAGACGGGTGCACGCCGCTACCGGATGATGTTGAACATGACCTTTGCGTGGTTCGGGCAGTTTTCTGGCAACAAGTAAGTTTGATAATCCAATGCAAGACGAAGAAAAGCTAGCTAACTTGTGATTGTAGCGTTGTATCCTACTGTAAGATCTCGCCTTATTTCTGCATATGTGGTGTCCGTGCTGACTCTTTTTAGATCTCCCCACACTCGTGGCCTACGTTGGGGTCACCGACCCCAGCACACAGCTACTCCTCAACATCATCTACGCAATCGGAGGCTGGATCCCAGCTATAATCGGCGCGCGCCTTCACGATGTCGTCGGTCGCCGAAAGATGCTTATGGGTGTTACAGTCGGTATGGCAGTTTGTCTAGCCATCGCAGCAGGGACCGCGGCCGACTTCGTCAACACTGGCAGCAAGACAGCTTCCGTCGCTTCGATCTCATTCATCTACATCTTCGGTTCGGTCTTTGCGCTCGCGTTCACTTCAATGCAACCCATTTACCCCGGCGAAGTCCTGTCCAACGACATGCGTGCGAAGGGCATGGGTATCTTCCAATTGACGTCCGGATGTGCAGGGTTCGTGAACACGTTCGCTGCACCAATTGCCCTTAAGAATGTGAGTGTTCATCTTGAAAGAAGCGTGTGTGTAGCTAATATGCTGTAGATCGGCTACTGGTTCTATGTGTTCTTCGTATTCTGGGACCTGTTTGAGTTCGTATTCATCTACTTCTTCTATGTCGAGACAAAGTCAATCACCTTGGAAGAGCTGGATGCCATCTTCGAAGCGCCGAACCCACGGAAGGCAAGCACGAGAGCGGTGCGCTTGATGCATGTAGAGGATGCGCCATCGTCGTGATGCGGTCGTAGATGGGATTCGGAAGGACATTGATACACATATGGTAGGGATCCGAAGTCGCTAGGTCGAAATGCGGAAACGTAGGCTGTAGGCAAGAATGTTACAAGATGAACTTGTGTTGAAGGCTACTGCAGAGCCGAAGATGCCTTTCCATGTGCACTGATTGTGTGCGAGCAGTATCCGCTTCTCTCACACTGTAGAGCTTCACGATCTCCAGAGGATACAAAGCAAGATCTTTCCGCGAACTGAAGCTATACAGGCTCGTTGAACAATCGGAACTCGTACAGACAAACGCATGGATAAGACGGTGGCCGCTCGGAGTGCACTTGCTGGCATGCAGGTGCGATCTTAGATGTGGTGGATGTTTGGGGCGTCAAGAGCCACTCACCACGTGCTCGCCGAACGCACTAAATCGTCTCATAATCTGATCACGCATCACCAAGACAGCGATGCTGTGTCAAATAAAGGCAAAGACCAAGGGGGAGTGCGCAGAGAGGTAAGCACAAGCTGAATAGTCTCGACTAATTCGTGAAAGTGAGGGAAGACATACAGGTCTTATGATGGCACGCTAGTATGAGGCATCCATAATATTGACTAATGGGGAAGGAACCACCAAGCGTCAGGACGCGTCAAGCTGTTCTTCGCGCGATGAAGCTTCGTTCCTCTTCCACCACAGATCAAGCATAGAATCCGACAGGGAACCTCCCACCTTTGCCGAGCTCAGTGAAGTATTTGCCAAGCGAAAATGGCGGAATGTTGCGAGGTGTTCAACGCCTTAGATTGATCCAGCAAAGGAGCAGGCAACCATAGACAGAGCGAAAGCGGCCATTGCCATAGCGGATCGCATTATAGCTAGCAGGCTCGACCGAGAAGTAAACCCCAGAAACACCAACTGCGCCTGAGACTTCACTGGCACTTGACCTCTACCACTTCGGAAAGCAGCGCCTGGTTTATCTTTACCTAGCGATGCCCATTCCGTCAGCAAGCTCGACCAGGGCAAGATTCCCGAAGTAAGGCATCGGAACCAGTTGTGAGTCGTGCTGGAGCTGACACATGTAGCTTATCCTCGAGCAGAATATGCAGCTGCAGCAAGCAGCGCAGTCTCTAAGCGTGCACCTAGCCTCATCGGTCTTCTCTTCGCCTTTGCCGGGAGCACCGATCCTAGCATCAGATCTGCCAGACCTGTCTTTGAATTGAAAGTATTGTCTTTCATCTTCGATCCTTGCCTTGACCTGAAAGCAACGTCTTTTATCTAACACCTAAGCTCTGTCTTATGGCTGTCGAAAGCTTTGACAAAACCCAACTCTGCATACCACCACGACCAGCTGCAAACCTACCAGGACAGCTCGAGGCCGAAAAGCGCTTCATTCTCTGGAAATCATTCACGTCAAAAATAAACGTGGTTGCGCCACGGCTCCTCGAGCTAGTGAAGAAGCTACCATCATAGATGACGGGAGTACTTCCATATCCAAGTAACCATACGTCAACACGGGGTGGTAATTCTTCCGCATCACATATCATCAGTGCAGTCTCTTCAAGCCTCGAATTTCGTCATCGGCGAAGACCTCGGAAAGATTTGCGGGATGTTGAACGACGAGAGTAGGTTATTTAAACTACCTTGCCGACTTTAGCTCCTGCAAGTCATGTCCTGCAGGCTCTGTCCCCGCAACCCCACACATCCCCGGAAATGCAGGGTTCATTCTGTCGATCTTGGTTGAATCCGCTTACTCTCTTCCATGCACCCCAATGATCGGCTGATGCATCCCACCCCAGCCGGTCGAAGTGGCATTTTTACCCATTTGCCGAACAACCATGCAAAGTCGCAGCGGGAACTTATGCATAAGCTCTTCTTCACCGAAGCCAGCTCCATCCAGCACAAGCGATAGAGGCTTGGAAGCTTATAAGGCAAAGAACCGTACTTGCAATTACTTCTTATCTTCCTGAGAAAAGCTGACTGTCTTCTTTGTAACTCTTCACGTCTTCAGTCACAATGCCGGGCATTCTACGTTCACTTTTACTGCTAGTCAGCGTAGTTCCCTTGATCGCTGGCCAGACGCGACCAAGCTACCACATCACTCCAGGAGAGAAATGGCTGAATGACCCTCAACGCCCAGTCTTCGCAGGAGGTGACTGGCATCTCTATTACCTTTACAACTCCAACTGGGACAAGTCTAATCCCGGCGCGGGTGGTACTGAATGGTTCCACGCCACTAGCGCCAACATGGTGGACTGGACCCGCAAGGGCGTGGTCATCCATAAGTACCAGCCAAACCCTGTGACTGGCGTGGTATTGGGCGATATCGAGACTGGTAGCTCTGTCGTAGACACAGCCAACACAGCCGGGTTTGGTCAGAATGCTGTTGTTGCAATTCTCACTCAGATGCAAGATGGCATCCAACAGCAGTCTCTTTTCTACTCCAGCGACAACGGAACTACTTTCACAGCATACGATGGAAATCCCGTGATGCCAAGCCCGGACGCTGCCGCCAAACCAGCATTTCGAGACCCCAAGATCATCTGGGATGATACGGCAGATCGTTGGGTTATTGCGCTTTCGGAAGGAAGCAAAATCGGCTTCTACACTTCGAAAGATCTCAAGACTTGGGCTTACGTCTCGGGCTTCTCGCCCATCAATTCTGGTGTTGACCTAGGCACACTCGAGTGCGCCGACATGTATCAGATCGACCTTGACGGCATCTCCGCCTCACGCACCTGGATCCTTGCCACTGGTGCTAATGGATACAAGTTTGGAAAGACGACAGGCACAGCTTACTGGTCTGGATCATGGAACGGCACTCACTTCACAGCCACGACTAGCGTCCCGAGGTGGATGGACGAAGGCCCGGACTTTTACGCCACTGTCAGCTGGGATAACCCCAACGACAAATTTGGTAGCCGCTATGCCATCGCCTGGATGAACAATTGGGAATATGCTAACACGTTGCCCTACTACGGCGGGTATCAAGGACAGCTTAGTATGGTGCGAGAAGTCAAGTACCGCACAGTCGGCGGTACTCCCATCCTGGTCAGCGTCCCAATCGTAGGCTACGCAGACAAGTTTGAACGTCCTGTTTCAACGAACGGCTCATTTATTACAACAGACCCGGCAACGGCATCGCTTCCTCCTGGTCTCACCGGAGGTGCGTATGTCATTCGCGCCACAGTCACCAAGGCAGACGGCGACGATGGCGACGAAGTCCACTTTCGCATCAAGTCGAATGGAGCGTACAACACAACAATCGGGTACAACTTTTCCAGGAACGAGGCTTTCCTGGCCAGGGCATCTGATGGCTCTGCTGCGGATGTTTTGGTATCGGGACCAAAGCAAGCTTACGATGCAGTGCGAACTGCAATCAATCCTGCTGGTGGAAACACAGTCGAACTCGCGATTTATGTCGACTACAACTCAGTGGAGACGTTTGTGAATGACGAAGGTGTCGCGTCGTTGTCGGGTCTCATCTATCCAGATCAGGGTGCCGAGGGTATTGAGGTCGTATCTCCTTCTGGGAGGTTGACGTTGGCTTATTTCTCCTACGCTGACTATGCGGAATAACTCCGGGTATGCTGGTGGATTGAGTTAATATTCCTGCACCGGGACTTCGCCGCGTGACCGTGCCTACGATACATCTTCACTTAAAATCCCGCGCTACACCAACGCATTTGTTCGGTTGTGATCATCGGTGACGTTTAGTTCTCTGTTGCCAGATGGGCCAATCCGCTTCATTCTTCAAACCACAACGATGATAATTTGATGGCTTGCAGCGTCTTTAAAGTCACCTCCGCTTGGCCGACTGCAATTATGTCATAGTGTGGTAGACTGTGGGTTAGCGTAATCTTACGCTACTGTATCTAGCCTACAATTTAGTCGGCCGAGGCACGGATCTACACTTCCGCTCGGTAAGATTTCAATTCACATGTTTGGCCAGTGAGCAGGTGTATTGTACAGTGAGTATTTTGGTATTACAGCATCTTGCAGCTCCGTTCAAATCAGTCAAGACGTCTAGGCTAACTCAATCGTCCAGTCAGGATCATTGGTGTTTCGGTGTTTCGGTGTTACCAATGAGCCAATCTGCTTGCTGCAAAAACTGCTTCGGTGTTTCTTGGTATCCGATCGTACAAGTAATGTTTGTACGACTGTACAATCGCATGATTTAGACTACCATAACCGAGGTCCGGATCTTCCGTTTCGCTCGGTAAGAACCCACTTCAATTGTCTGGCTAGTGAGCAGATATGTTGTAAGTTTAGCGTTTTGGTGTTGTAGCATCTTTCGGTTCCGCTTGAACCAGTCAAGATATCTAGGCTGTCAGACGTATTATTGACTTTGACATAGTATCATTTATTTTTTAAAAGCTACCTGCGCCTTATATTATGGAAGCACCTCCGTTCTATTCATCTAAAGGGTCGGAAAATGCCACAGCCTTCGTCAACGGACGGGTGTATACCATAAACGACGCACAACCTTGGGCTGAAGCCTTCATCGTCGGCCCCGATGGCAGATTCGAAGCTGTCGGTTCGAATGAAGAGATTCGAGCTCTCGCACAGAGCAGGCGGCTTGTTCAGTATCAATTGCAAGGGAAGTTTGTCATGCCAGGCATCCACGACGCGCACACTCATCTCTTGGCTGCGGGATGCCAACGCACTGGTGAAGCGCACATCGGTTGGGAGAGCAGTGACAAGACCCTTGCCAGCAACATCAAATCAGCATCGTGTGCTTGTGCCTACTCCAATGTGATGGGCAACTGGACTATCGGCAACTTCTACCAGGCAAGCAACTTTGCAGATGGCATTCCTGACAGGAAATACCTGGATGAGTTGTATCCGGACAATCCGGTGATTGTCCGGGAGATATCCTGCCATCGGATTCTCGTCAACACCGCAGGACTGCGTGAAATGGGCCTCGATGAAAATGTCAAGGACCCGCCAGGAGGAGCGTACTTTCGAAGACCTGACGGGACATTGACCGGAGAGATCATCGAGGTAGCGATGTCTTCTGTCTGGCGACACTTGCCGCGCACTCCTCTTAGCTACGCCAAGACTGTCATCGAATTCGCCGTGTCTGAATGTCACCGGTACGGCATCACATCTGTGCAGGAATCATCCGCCAACACTGTCTATCTCCATGCCGTGCGTGAGCTGGAGGCCGAGAATCGCCTGCCTCTCGATATTTGCACGCACATTGTCGCTGCGCCGGAGACGCAAGGCGATAGCGAAGAATCTCAAGCAGCTCTGCTAAATGTCGCAGAGGCCTTTGAGAGCAAGCACGTTCATACAGGGTTTGTGAAGTTCTTCCTCGACGGCGCTCCGTTGCCACCACACTCCACCCAATGCAGCCTGGACGAACATGGCCATCCTGACGCCAAGCGTGTTTAGATTGCTCATGACCAATTGGTCGAGCAACTTTTTAGATACGACGCTAAGAACATGACGTGTAAGATTCATGCAGCAGGAGACGGGAGCATGCGGCTCGCGTTGGACGCCTACGAGGCTGTTCGGAAGCAGAACCCTAACGGCCCGAAGCACGAAATTGCGCACTGCAATGCGGTCCATCCAGGTATATAAAGCCATAAGGGGAGACATGTGCGATGATGTTTGAAAGCTGATCTATGTTCTAGATGACGTGTCGCGAATTGCACGCCTTGGCCTCACCGCAGAAATGTCTCCAGCGGTCTGGCACTCTCCAATGGTGCAGGCTGCGCCCCATCTACTGAGGTGGCCATTCAATGATATTTTGGCAACAGGCGCGCACATGACAATTGGCTCGGACTGGATCCTAACTCCAAGCCCGAGTTTGTTTGATCCACTTGCACATCTGGTGGAGAATCTGGAGGTGCCTGGCCCAGTTCAGGAAGGCCTCACCAAAAAACAGGTCGCTGCTGCTGCGCTCTGTCGGATGATCACGCTGGGAGGTGCTGAAGCTGTGGGCAGACATCGCCTGCAGGGTAGCATTGAAGTGGGGAAGATGGCAAACTTTATTGCTGTTGATCGGGACTTTAGTCAGGGAGAGTTTGCGGGAGCTACTGTCTTGAAGACTTGGTTCGAGGGGCGACAGGTGTACAGTTCTGTGTCAGGGCAGTTGGGGTTGTAGTATTCGTCTTTTCAAAGACTAGCTTTGGTTGGTCGTGGACTGCCTAGTATCTACCCCTGGCGTCAGCAAAATTCCTGCCCGCTGTTTCCAACAGAGAGAAGAGGTGAAGAGGTACCCTGTATATATTTAAACATTTATATGAACCAAAGTAAAATGTATCTTGAAGCTGCGTATACATTCAGACTCATCTAAGCTTAAAATAAGCATATGTCTAAAGACCATTAGCTAATGTCGTGTAAATGCAGAGACGGCACTAACTTTTGGCGCTGCCTGGCATCACATCTAGCTCGTAGGCGCATGTTGCGCCAACTACAAGGTGAAGCCGAGAGTAGAAGTCGCCCTTTGGACTCACTCTAGCGTTGCACCTCTATCTTGCCACAGATCCCGTTTCACGCTCATACTGATGTCGTTGTCCTCGATTTTTAGAACGCTCTTGCAATGGTTCATGTCGGGGCAGTGTAAGGTCTCGAATTTCGCAAGAGTCGGCAGCAGGATACAGATTAGGAAAATTCCCGAGCTGGGCACTGTAATAGTAAAGTCGCTTGCATACCAGCACCCGTATACTTCGTCGTATCCCATTGATCTGGTGTCTGGGCCGAGATGATCTCGCAGAGTTTGTACTTCGGTACGATTTACATCTGATAGGACAGGCAGGACTTCTCCTAGTATACTGGTGCTGGTGTTCTGTTTCTCATCGCTGGCCCTCATACAATCTCTCTGTAGTGGGCTTTGCCAGCAATTCACGTAGCGCAGCACCCCCAACAGGTCAGGGCAGCACGCTTCAGGCGTGCCGAATTCGAAACTGGCGTGAAAGCCTTGGTTACTGCAAGCCTTCCGTAACGTCATTACTCTACCACGAACCTTGATTTCGAGAAAAGGTTGGCGGTTTGTACCACGCGTCGTCATGGCTGACAATCCGCCTCTTACTCTCATGCCATTCGCAATTACTCCTGGCGCACACGACTGATTCTGCACTCTATTCTCCACATCTTCCCAAACCCAGGCGCATTTCTCTCCATCACCTGTAGGATCATCGACAACATTGACCGCCACCTCTCGCTGTCCAGACACAACTCCCGAACCTCCCGTAATCCCATCGAAGAAGAATCGCGCGCGATCTTGACCTCAGGGGTCGTTTACATCTGTGCATCGCAGAAGAAGCTTGCGCAGAGGAAGTGCATAGCCATGAACGGCCTCAATGAACTGCCTCAATGAACTGCCTCAATGAACTGCCTCAATGAACTGCCTCAATGAACTGCCTCAATGAACTGCCTCAATGAACTGCCTCACAGAGATGTACTGTCCTTCTGCATTCTCAAAGAGCAACTGTGCTGGGCGTAGATGCTGGGTTGACGAGTCGTGCCAGTGCCACCAGCTATTCAATAGTTCGATTGATACATGCAAGCGTGATTGCGGAGGATCTGTTGCTGCTACATCAAATAGCAAGTTGTTGGAAGGATCGGAAAGGAGTTGCCATTCCAAGAATCCTTGATTGTCTAGTCCGAAGATTTGCACATCTGACGGAGGGTCTAGAATAGACCACTTCAACCTGTTGAAGATATCGTCCGGCTCTAGACCTGTTGGTGGTTGCGCTTCTGGAGGAGGTCCGTACATGAGCAGATGAGGTGGGATGTCTTGCTGCATTCCACTTCGGCCGGTACCAGTCCAACTGTGGCGTCTCCGCAGACATGGCGCTATATTTGATCGAGAGGCAAGTGCTGGTACTTTTCTGCTGATTAAATTTCGAGTGTAATCCGCACAGATGCAGCTATCGCTCTTCGGAAACGATGTATGTGTGAAGGAAGAAGGAAGGAAAGAACTGGGAGCAGCCGCCGCCTGAGAAGCCCCGCGCTCATTGGCTGCATGCCAGCCTGGTGCTGGCAGCAGGAACTGATATTACCGATTATAAAAACAATGAGCAAGAAACGTTCTACTATTGCTCCATCTGGTCGGAATTGACGGAGAGTGATTTTCGTCTGGTGTCGAGTTTTACCTTTTTGTCGTTGCAGGTACCTACCACTGCGTACGGGATCAAGCATGGTGACATGCACCAGGATATCGACTCGACGGCAATGCGCGACTTGTTTATTTATGGCGAACAGCTCAAATAAACCGTAATGCGCGAGGTGTCCGTCTTCGAGCAGCTCTACTTGGTGCACCGCCATAATGCAGCAAGACATCGTGAAATCGTGGTCGTGGTAGCAAAGTGATCAACCACGCACTAAGGTCTCCGCGCACCGCCCACGGCCCACGGAACCTTTCCGAAGCGCCGCGCCCGATCGCCGCTTACCTAACCCCCATCACGAGACTCGCCACCCCAGTCCCATCAATCCTACCCTACTGCACCCCACAAACGCAGATCAAACCCCAGGTCTTATGACCGCAATGATCTCACCATCGTGAAGTTTCTTCAGCGTCACACTCGCAACTCTCTCGCCCAGTGAGCTTTCCCCCGCATCATCATAAGCCACGCGACCGTCGGACGCCTCTTCCACATGATCTGCGGGCCGAGGGAACGTCTTGGCGGAGAGAACGACAGCGATGACTGCGACTGACGGAGGTGGCCTTGCTGTGGAGCGCGTTGTCATACGCCCATGGGTTGATGCCTCACGATGCCGATTCGTTGCTGAAAGACTAGCCCGGGATGTGTGCCGAGGTGGGCGAGGTAAGGGATGGGAGAAATGCTGATGATGATGATGACATTCTTCCCGCCATGTTTTGCTTGCAAAAGAAACAAACATCGTCATTCGCGATCGTCACTACATGGCACTCTCTGTCCAACTCCAAGGTCCGGATGCTAAGCATGAGCTGAAGTGTTGGCGAATAGTAGATGGGTCTTGTGCAACTTGTTTTCTTCACCGCCCTGACTGCTGCTCCGATGCCTGGGGCTACACAAAACAACACATCACGTCGGTGAAGGTGGAGCACATGCTACTGCTACCAAGCGCTGGTCTGGTGGATCTTCTAGGGCTCCTCGGCAGAATAGCGGGTATTATACCACAATATTGCTGCAAAGGGCATGAGATCTTCAACTGCGGCACGGTTGGGTTCCCCGCAAAACAGGACTACAATACTCCCAAGAGTAAAGTATCTGGCGGGACTTTGGAAGCAATAGAAATGTTTCCTCGCACAATATTGTTGAGGTTTTGTAAAATTGGAGGCCTGCCAAAGGGCCGACCCACGAACCATTCGCCAACTGTACATAGTGGATATGTTTCTACCGCATCAAGCAAAACACCCACTCGAACCCTCGCAATCCTTAGCTTAACCCTTGATGTATAAAACCACAGCGTGGCGCTCCGCCATCCGTCTTGAGTCGCATCGGCCGCCGATCCCTGCATCATCGCCACAGCCCCTTTGTCCAATCATCATGCGCAACGCAGCAAACGCGATGGCAGTGAAACACTCGTGCCTGAACGTGCCCTCTGGTCTAGAACAACCCGCAGCCTTCGATTGGGCACGTCTGCCGGGAATTAGGTCCTTCGTCACAACGTCATTGTACATCAGGGATGCTGCCAGCTCACGAGACAGCTGTCCGCGGTGCAAGCGGGTAAAGATGTTCTCGAATTGTGGATTGCGGACGGAGCTGAGTGGGTGGAAGTTCCAAGGCGAGATCCCGGACACCGCTTGGTATATGTCTGGCAGAATTAGAAAGGGTCACTGGGTGCAAGGGTAGCTTTCGGGCACGAAGATCTGGTGGAGGAAGCTTGGGGCATGACTCCTTCTTGAAGCTTGCTTGTTCGTTCGTGCCGTGGTGCCTGGGGTTATATAACGTGGGTAGATCCCCCGGAATGTGGTTCGAGTACCTTTGAGTTATACGAGCTTGTGTATATCAATACTCTTCTTGTAACTGTCGACCATACACCTGGATGAGCTTGTGAAAGCTAGATACAAACACATAACACATCATGGTTGGACAATACCTGACAGCTGCGGCTGTTGGTCTTTTGGCTTTGAGCTCAGCTTCTCCCCTGTAGGTGTCTTGAAGCTTGCTTAAGCTTGCCTAAGCTAATTGTCGCGTCTAGGCAACCGGTTAAGCGCGCCCCATCATTCCCCTACGGCGAGCAGAAAGTCCGTGGTGTCAATGCTGGTGGTTGGCTCGTCCTCGAGCCATGGATTACTCCTTCCGTTTTCGAAGGCAATGCTGCCAAAGATGAGTGGACGTTGACTGAGCTGCTCGGCAAGGACGCTGCCAAGGCGCGCCTCGAGCAACACTGGAATAGCTTTTTTACCAAGGACGACTTTTTCCAGATGGCTGGTGCTGGTTTGAACCACGTGCGAATCCCGGTTGGGTATTGGAGTGTGCTACCACGAGAGGGCGATCCCTATGTGCAGGGTGCGTACGATAAGTTGGGCGAGGCTCTGGGCTGGGCGCAGGAAGCTGGATTGAAGGTCATGATTGATCTCCACGGTGGTGAGTGCAATGTTGTTTGGATACTTGTCCCCGTCCTAATGGAATACAGCTCCCCTGTCGCAAAACGGCTTCGACAACTCTGGCCAGTACGGCAGTGTTCGCTGGACACAAGGCGACTCTGTTCAGCACACTTTGAATGTGCTCAACAAGATCCGCGACGACCACGCCTCCCATCCCGCTGTTTCTGCTATTCAGCTACTCAACGAACCTCTTGGCCCATCTCTCGACATGAACGTTGTTCGTCAGTTCTACATGGACGGCTGGGGTAACCTCAAGAACTCCGAAGTCGCCATCACCTTCCACGATGCCTTCCAGGGCGTCACATCCTGGGGCAACTGGGGCGCAGGCATGTGGAACCTTCTCCTCGACACTCACCACTACGAAATCTTCGACAATGGCATGGTCTCTCAAGACCTTAATGGCCACATCAAGCAGGCCTGCGACTTTGGCAACCAGATGGCGAGCACTGGCAAGAACACCATTGCGGGCGAGTGGACGGGTGGCCTGACCGACTGCGCGAAGTGGTTGAACGGAAAGGACAAGGGCGCACGCTACGACGGCACCCTCAGTGGGTCGTCCAAGGTTGGTGACTGCGCTGGCAAGTATACCGGCTCGGTTGCGGCCCTCTCCAACGACGACAAGTACAACATCGGACGCTTCATCGAGGCGCAACTGGACGCCTACGAGAAGGCTGCTGGATGGATCTTCTGGACCTGGAAGACCGAGGGCGCGCCTGAATGGGACATGCAGGACTTACTTGCGAATGGCATTTTCCCGCAGCCATTGACCAGCCGAAAGTGTAAGTCGCTCGTTCACACTGCCCCGTTGACATGCATGCTGACTTTCTATCTCAGACCCCGGCCAGTGCGGCTACTAAGCATTTCATGCTTGAAGTTACGGTTCCAACTCTTTTCTTGACCCCCTTACACTCACACTCGCTCCGCCCCACCTCGCCTACACTTTTACCGCAAGTAACGACTTTACGAATTTTACTTCACTTCGAAGATACCCCGATGCACTCGCTCGCTGTAGGGCTTGACGTCGTCGCCCACTGTACTGTACATACGCGTTCCGTTGTTTATGTGAAGGATTACCGTGGCCTACCTAGATAGCGCCAAGCAGCACGCGGGCTTATGTGAAACCCGGCAGCTAGCTAGAGATGAATGCAACCGTTGGATCGCCAGCTTACAGTTCGGTACGACGTGAGATGACATAATACGGATGGTGATGTCTAAAATTGCTGGCGATGAGCGACACGCGACACGCGACGCAACGGCACACCGTTGGCGCAATAATTTCGCGCGCACACTTGCCCAAGGCAGCGCAATCTTATCGGTGGCGAAGCTCGTGCTTTGCGAGAAACGTTGCGAACATGATGCACATGTGGTCAGTGAACTGGTGCGACGAGCAGGATCTGGATGGGCGCTGCAGCGCGCCAATCGGCCCGGGCGCGTTTTGCAAACTGGCTTCGAATCGGGCCATTGGTGCCGCCGTAGTCACAGCGTAATGCGGCCTTGATGGAAGCGGCCGAGCAGCGCACAACAGCGCCGATCAAGACTCCATGGAGTACGAAATCTGGAGAAGCCTTGCAGCAGCGCAGTGAAACGTTGTAGACGCTGGACTTCTTTGCTGATTTCTTCAACTGCGCACACTGCGCTCAATATTCGCAGTGGTGCCACCCGCTTGGGCATGTCACCGGTAGTCAGTAAGAATACAGACTTTGGACGCGATTTCAGGCGGCCGCACCTCATTAACGGCTCGCAATTTCCCATAATAGACCGTGCAGGCTCCTTTGCTGACCGGAAAACAGCCTTTTGGCGGAGTCTGGCTTATGGAACACGCCGCGCCCCTGAATGCGAGAAGGCTAAATTACCTTCACCGTCGCTCATTCGCTGCGTGCCCGTAAGCCAGCCCAATGGGCGCAAGCGGCGCAATCTCGAGAGTTCGCGGCGTCGTCTGGGGGACAGGGCCTGTGCTAATGCAGGAACCCAGTTGGGTGCGCTACGCAGGAGATTGGACGCCCGCGTGCGCTTAGGGGCCTGTTTGCAGTCGTGACCGGAAATCGATATAACCTAAGCCTCTCCCTTCTGGCTCTCCTCTTACCTTCTGTACCGCAACCGAACATTCCAACGAAGTCATCTGTTCTTCAGCCTCTCTTTACTCCCGTCTTCTACCGACTCCCACGCTCTCTCAACCTAACATATAATTCTCGCGCCTACGCGTTAATACCATAATACCCACCACCACCGTCAACATGTTCGCCCAGACCGCCATCGTTGCCCTCTTCGCCGGCCTTGCCGCTGCCCAGCACGCCCCCGTTGGCGAGCCCAAGGGTAACCCCATCACCCGTCCTCTTCTCGAGGTATGTATTGACCCCGCATTGCGCGCAATGCCTTGACGTTGTTGCGACAACACTGGAGGAATGCGCCGTGCAACGCGAAACGTGACCAAGGCGCTAACCGCAACCAGGTCGTCCCTGCCTGCAAGCCATTCGAGATCACCTGGCAGCCAACCACCTCGAACAGCGTCTCGCTTGTTCTTCTCCGTGGCCCGTCCACCAACGTGGTTCCCATTTCCACCATTGTCACTGGCATCGCCAACAGCGGCAAATACTCCTGGACTCCTTCCTCCGGCCTCGAGGCTGATGTCACCCACTACGGTCTCCAGCTCATTGACGATGTGACCGGCCAGTACCAGTACTCCACCCAGTTCGGTATCTCCAAGGGCGCCGAGTGCTCCGGTGTCGCTCCCTCCAGCGCTGCTTCCACTGCCTACGGTGGTGGCTACCCTGCCAGCTCCGCCGCTGCCAGCTCTACCCCCGCTGCTGCTTCCAGCGCCCCTGCTGGATACCCCGCCAGCTCTGTCGCTGTTTCCAGCGCTCCCAATGCCACCACCATTGTCACCAAGCCCTCCGCGGCTGCCGTGAGCACCGGTTACCCCGTCGGCCAGAACTCCACCATCGTCATGCCCACCAAGTCCATGTCCGTCCCTAGCTCCCTCCGCCCCACCAGCACTGGTGCTGCCAACGCTACCCGCCCCGGTCTCCCCGAGAGCACCGGCGCTGCCTCCAGCCTCCAGGCCGGTCTCAGCTTCGCTGGTGTCGTTGCCGCCTTTGCCCTTATGCTATAAGCATCTTTTCTGTCAATCACTTTTGGAGCTTGATTGTTCCGCCTAGAAATGTTTATACGTCATGACTTCTTCTTGCATTTGGGTTTATTCTCTTCGTGGCTATTTCGCGCGTGAATAGAAGACACTCCTGGTGTTAATTTAGGGTTGATATATACCCCCGCGTCGGCTCTTTGTTTGTTCCTACCGTCTTGTGTCGAGGTGGGCGGTTGTATCTAGTCAATTAGGGAATGGAAAAAGCGTGCTTGGCATGCGATATAAAATCAATGAGGTGCTTGAATTGCAATGTGGTGATACTTGGATATGCGGACCTATGATCGCTTCACTTGTTTGATCTCGTCGTGGTTAATGTGAATCATGTTGATGATGATGATGTTTGGATCTACTTTGGTGGGTTATGGAACAATCCAGCCTGCCACAGAACGGACAACCGGTGTGATAATGAGAGGCGAAAAATTGTGAGATGTGCAAAGCTGATTGATATATGTATGTATCCTCCTGGCGTGGTGGACCTCAAAGCGATTGATACATGCCATTCTCAAATCTCATCTTCACGCAACAGTCGCACTCGGCATTACATTACATGCGTCTCATTCCAAGCCACCTGCTTCACACCTACTGCGTAATCACGCCATCAGTCATAAGCTCCTCCTCCAAGCCCACCCAATACTTGATCCAATTAAATATCGCACCATGCCACAGCATACTATTCTCCCTCTTCGTAACCCAATGCCCCTCATCCGGGAAATGCAAGAATCGACTCGGCACGCCCATGGTCTGGAGGACATTAAACGTCTGCAACGGCTCGCTGATAACCACGCGGAAGTCGAGATCATTGCCCACGACAAACTCGGGCGTGCTGAAGTTGGCTGCGTGGAACAAGGGGTCCCATTTCTCGTAGTTGGCACGGTCGTTCCAAATCGTGCCGTTGTTGTCGCGCTGGATAAACCAGATCTCGTCGGTGGCGTAGGAGCCCACGTTTGTCATTTTGCCGTCGTGGCACACGAGCGCTTTGAACTCGCGGCCGAGCGCATGGCCCTGGATCCAGTTCATCATGTAGCAGCCGAAGGAGGCGCCGGCGGCGATGGCGCGCGTGGTGTCGATGTAGGAGATGTTGTCGCGCATGTGCTCGAAGACCTTGACGAGGTCGGTGTAGGGGGTGCCGCCCCAGTTGTTTTGGATCTGGGAATTTGGTTAGTTGGGTGGAGAGACGATTCGGGTGCATGTGTTGGTTACCTTGTCGGTGAAGTTCTGGCCGTAGCTGGCTGTTCCGGTGAATTGTGTGGTTGTCACGATGAAGCCTTGATCGGCCCACAATCGCAGATTCCAGCGTACTGACCAGGCATCACCTTGAGAGCTTTGAGGTCCGCCGTGGACAACAAAGGCAAGCGGGTACTTCTTACTAGGATCAAAGCCGGTGGGGTAAAACACGAAAGTTTGGATGTCATCGCCATCGTCGTTCTTTACCCAAAAGTTGGACACGTCTTGAGGCCCTAGGCCCTTCAGCTCGGGGTCGACTTCATTTGCAGTGAACAAGATCTTCTTGTCCTGACCGGGCTGCTGACTGTAGAAGATACGACTGCTCCAGCTTGAGGCGGCAGAGACGAAAGCAGAGCCGTCTGGCAACACAGCAAAGTCAGACAGAGTTGTGTCTGGTCCAGTGATGTTTACGGGCTTGAAGTCTGCCGCGGCATCCTGAGGGATGATCCACAAGCGAACAGACGCATGTAGCTCTGAAATCACCCAGAGGTCAGAATCGTCGGGGCTCCATGAGAGACCTGAGGGCGCCGAGTCCCAATCTTCTGCAACAGAGCGTATCTTGGAGTTCAGGCCATCAATCTCGGCGATGTAGAGCTTGTATCGGTCAGATTCGTAGAAAATGCCATCTTGCTGGCCATAAGCAATCTTCTTGCTGTCATGCGACCACGTGGGGTAGCCAGACGCACCCTGAGCGGTCTCAGGTGCAGTAGTTCCGGGGCCGTTTATGGGCACAGCAACTTGAGAACCATCGTGTGGAACAATGTAGATGTAACTGGCAGTGTAGTTTGCCTTGGCGAGCTCCGGTGCTTTCGTGCGGAAAGCAACCGTGCTACCGTCAGGGGATAGGTCGTAGTCGCCAGGGTCACTTGAGGAGCCTTGAACGGGGCTTTCGGGACGGGTGACGGTGTAGTTCATGCCATTGAGCAAGTTCTTCATCTCTCCAGTGAACGCGTAGCTACCGTTTCCACCAGCCAAACATCCAGAAAAGACCGAGTATCGCTCTTGTGTAATGTAGTAGTTCCAGTGACGTACGAAGTTAGAAGAGTACAGCTGACCCAGACTCTTTTGCTTTGATGCAAGCTGGGGATTGTAAGCAGATCCATTGTTTCCGTATGCCAAAGTGTTGACGACGAAGTTGATATCGCCCGATTCGGTCTTTGCAGCCTTGAGGCCAGCAAACGGCGCACCGAGAGATGCAACAAGTTTTCTGTATATCATTAGCGTTCGAACTACAATTTGTTTCTGGAGGCTGCCTACGGTGAAAAGGTGGAAGCGCTGAGATCCGCAGTGTACAAAGTCACACCTCCAGGAATGGCCTCGTTTGTGGCATTAATGTAGAGGATACTGTCGTCGCTATCGCCAACCCAGACAACTTCAGAGACAGCGCTGTTGAAAGGAGCTTTGGTGATGTTGCCGGTTTTGGTGTCGATGAAGTGCCAGGTCGTTGTTGTCTTGGCAGTTGTCCAGTTGTACTTTGCCTCAGAAAACAATGCTTTATCCTGTTTTGTCAGCGTAGGTCACAAACAAAGATCGTGGCACATACTCCCTTGGCATTCAAGATGCCGGTGCTTCGTCTCGGGGCAGCAAGCATGCCCTCCGTCGTGATAGCCTGCACGGACCCTAGAAGGAGGCCAGCGGCCAAAGCTACACATTTCATCGCCATGGTTCAATTGACTGATCGCGACGAGGATTCGAAGACGCCGGGCCATGATGCACACTTTAAAGTCACCCAGAAACTCGGATAATGGTACCGGTGCACCGTTGCTGCCAAGAAGGTACAAGTCTAAAAGGGAAGGAGCCAAGGAAAGCTTTCTGCGGCTTGTCCAAAGTTTGATGGAGCCGACGCTCGGCGAGCGTTGGATTTGACGGGCCTGCTCGTGATGGTCATGTTGTGTTCCTCGACCTGCCGCATGAGGATGGATCTAGAAAGAAAAACTGGTGGCGTATGCACGATGGATGGCGGGCATGCCAAGCGTTGCGATAAAGCAGGCTCGGCGGTGCGATGCTTCGCATACTTGGGGTCTAGAGTGTGGTCGCGATGGAATTTTTTCGTGGTCTTTGATCTGACATGAGACTGGGACTGGACGTTCATTCGCGGCCTGATGTCGAGGCCTGCGACGTCATACAGGGTCGCGCTTGCTGCACGACATAGTTACTGACAGCTGCCTCGAACTGCGATCTTTAAGATGAAAGTTGTTGTTTGAGTTTATTGGAATCTGACAATCTCCAGCTGCCATGTGAAGATTATGTCACATTCGAGATTTCGCGAGAAAGATCAGCTGATATAGCATCGATCGGGTTCAAGCTGAACAACCATACTATGCCTGATGCGAGGGCGGAGACAGCGCAATCGTTCGACATGGCAAGATGCGCTTTGTAAATAAATTTAAAATGCAAAGTGCACGATGAATCACATGAAAGGTATTTGGCTCTCTGCCTAGGTGGTGAGAATGTGGTCATACCAACAAGGGCCAAGCAGATGCGGTTAAGCGGCACAGGGACTCATTGATACGCTGGTAGCGCATGAGTGATGGCATCACGCAATGACATGGTCTTCTTCGTCGGACACGTTCTCGAAGGCTGTCAGAATGTGCATCATGCTCGGGATAATTTAGTCGTGGTGACACGGGGAAGATGGGAGGGGTGGAACGTGGTTGGGGAGGCATGAGCTGGATCGACGGCGAAACAGAAATAGGTGCGTGGCTGTGCAGAAACGGGTCGTCTCAACACAGTCGAGGTGGTGATCCTTGCGTCTTCCAGCCGCGCATGGTTATTGAAGTGTTTCAATGCAAGGACGGTCGACGGCGAGCATGACAGGCAGTGATTGTCGAGATAGGGGATAGGAGCAGCAATGCGTGGAGACAGTCGCAGCGTTGCGGACATGCAGAGACGGGCGCACGTATTTCTTTAATTAGGCGTGCCACAGCCAATCAGCAGACATGGCAGGGCAGGCGAGGACGACTCAGGAATCGCGATGAACACCAGCTCTCCTGTCACGTTTCTTGTAAGACATGCGATTCTCTAGCGCTTTGTATGACGTTGTAGAACGTGGTCGATATCAGGCAGCCTATGGAGAGGGATTCCGACCTGATTTGACGCAGTGCATTGCAACGCATGGCCTGATTGACGGCCATCTGCCGAGTGGTGTGCGAAGACAAGGCGAAGTCGACGTGCCTATACTCTCACACGAGGGATTCGCAGCTAAAGTCGCGCTTGCAGCTGCACCCCGCCACCTCAGGAGTCTCACCCGTCTCCGTGGGCCAGTCCGTGTTGAGTCCGGTCTTGTTTTGTCTTGTTGCTGCTGAGCACTCTGCCGGACTGCCTTCACTTCGTACATTCGCTACCACGCCGTTGCTGAGCAGAGCATCCTAGGCTGCCCCTGCCAACGCACCAACGCACCATCGCTCCTGCCTCCGCGCGTCTCAGCTCTGGGCAGGCCATCCTCGTCCACTGTCTTGGGAACAGCCGTCGCTGAAAGAGGCTCTTGCCCATCACCACCGCCGGCCCAGCCCAGCGACAGAAAATCTTCGAGTTGCGACCACCGCCGGCGAGACGTCATCACCACCACTTTCACCCGCGCATGCGACCGCCCCAATCGCCGCCTCCGACCCGCCATTCCCACTGCCGGCAGAGTGAAGACATGAAGAAGGAAGGTGCGAGGCAATAATGGCAGTCACGACACTGCGCACTCACGGCGGCACCCTTCTCGAGATACCGGCGCATCAACATGCACAGCGCCCCCCGAGGTCGCGCCGGAAACCATGCAGCATGCCGCCTGTCTGCGGGTTCCCGATGCTCCTCCTCCTTCTTGCCCTCACCTCGTTCCTCCCGCTCGCCAGCGCCGTCTTTGTCAGCTTCGAAAACTGCCTCGAGCCAGTCCGTCTGCGCGACGAAGCCAACTCGCCGTACCTCGCATTCACCCCCAAGTATGTGTGGGCACATTTCGACACCGTTGACCCGAATCACCCCTTGAACATCACCGTATATGGAGACGTGTCGGGGCAGACCACGTCGGGCACCTATCCGGATAAAAACAGCCCGACTTGGACGGACAATTCTAGCACCTTTGGCAAAATCGTGGATCTGGAGCCGGGCAACAAGCTCTACACCACGCTGCTCCAGAGTTACAGGGTGCTGACGTATTCTGCTGCCATTCCCGAGCCGCGCCAGTTCTGCGACACAACTCGGGGCTGCCCAGTCGCGCCTGCCTTCCCTGCCAATGCGAGCAATCCCCAGGAATTCCGGACCTTCAATGTCTCCAACAACTTCCACAGCTCATATTCCTTCACCACTTGGGCAGCAACACTAACCATCTTGTCCGGCAACACAGACAGGCAGGCGCTAGGCTGCGTGTCTGCCAATATCACACCAGACCTAGGCCCCAGGTTATCCAGCTCGCTGCGTTATATGCCCGCGGCTGTGCTCGCGCTCGTGGCTCTTGCAACCATTTTCGCTGCGACGTGCAGTCCATGGGGTACCTCGAACGTGTTCCACTGGACAAGCAATTATGGACGCGACGAAGACCTGTTGCGGCTGGTCACTCCTGGCTTCGGTGACTGCCTTCAGTATATTCAATTCATCGTATTGGCGGGCAGCTTGAGTCTGAACTATCCTGGCTTTTTTCAGCCGGTAGTTAGCCAGGCCAGTTGGTCACTTCTGCTCTTCAACCAGAGCTTTGTAAGCCAAGGGAATGGATCCCAGAGTCTTGTTGATGGCATCTACTTTGTGAACGGCACCTACGGACTTACGCGCATGAGTCAGTACGTGGGCATGACCAGAGAGCGAGACATGTGGGCATGCATGGCCATCTTCCTGCTTGTTCTTATCGGCATTGTCATTGTCATCACCCAGCTTGGCTTCCTTGGACGATGGGCTTACCGAAAGCTCACCCACAACCAGGGTGGTGACCTTACCGGCAAGAACTGGCCCTTCACTGCTGGCAACGTGGTCCGGATCGTCTTCAACTACTTCATGCTACCTATCATTTGCTTATCTTTGTTCCAGTTGGTGGTAGCACCTCGCTCTTCGGGCTCCGTCGTGGCTACTGCTGTCATCCTCCTAATTGTGGTAGCCGGATCTGCGTCCTTGATCTTTTGGTCCATTTTCACTACGAGGCCCCGTGCCCACCTTTTCGACGATCTACCTACCGTCTTGACCTACGGACCTCTCTACAACACCTATTCCGACGACGCCGCTCCGTTTGCATTCATCCCTGTACTTCTGACCATCATACGCGCCATTGCTATTGGCGCTATCCAGCCTTCCGGCATTGCGCAGATTATTATGCTTGCAATCTGCGAAGTAATCCTAATTCTTACCTTACACGCCTTCAAACCATTTCAGTCGAATACCTCGATGAACGCCTATCACACTTTCTTTTCGGCGGTACGACTAACGTGCATCCTGCTCTCAGTCGCCTTTGTTCCTTCCCTGGGTGTCTCAGAAGCACCAAGGGGATGGATTGGATACATCATCCTGTTGCTGCACGGCATAGTCCTCGTCTTTGGCTTCTTCCTCAACGCTCTGCAAACAATTATCGAGGTCGCTGCGAGGCTTGCAGGTGCTGGAGCAGACCAGCGAGGAGGACTCACCAAAGTCTTTGGCAAACGACAACTTTCCAAGCGCCACCATCGAAAGCAGCGCAGCAGCTTGAATTCGACGGCAACAATGCTACACCACGACGAGAACAAGAACATCCGGCTCATCGACAGTCGATCAAGAAGCCTTTCTGCCAGCTCGGGTGTCCTCCTAAATGGTCCGTACGATAGAGACAGTCAACGCGCCAGTGTGGGCTTCGAAGGCTTCAGCCAGGGTGAATACAGCAACAACGGAGGAGGCACTAGTCCAGGCACGCCTGGGATCAATGCCACGCCCTTCACCTTCCTCGGTGGTGCTTCTTCTCAAAGCTCGCGACGGCCAACAATGGGCACGACATTTGACGCTGCGGATCCATACTACCGTCCTCCAAGACCGCGCAAGCACACAATGGACTCGCTTGGGCCTGGCGCATCAGGCAGGCCATCCATCACTGCAGACGTCGCAGATGCGCCCTACTCGGACAATGTCGACATCGAAACAGGCGACTTAGGAGAAGGACCGTCTCGAGCTTCCGGAACCCCTGCTCCAGCCTATCTACGGATGAATAAGGATGACTCTGACCCGAACCTTGAGCGACGGAATAATACAGATTACTCGGTTCGAGAATCCGACTTTTACTACGGACTTCGTGGACCGGCCCTGTCCTCGCAACCTACGCGCAAGTTGAAGACTGGACCTGCTGACCCAATGAGCCCAGTGTCGTCCGCAACTGGCTGGTTCAAGAGCTTGAACCTCATGGGTGGCAGGAAGAAGGAAAAGAGCAAGGGTTTCGAGGTGGTCAGAAGTACACGCATGCCACCACAGATGATGGCAGTAGAAGAAGACGGCGAGTCTCCTGAGGTTGCGCAAGAGCCATACCGGGACAGCCCTGAGTCTCCACCACGGAATTCAACAGCGAGGGCTTCGCCGCCTCGACGGCAGAATTCTTTAGGAGTTGCGTCAGCGGGTGTTCTCGCTGGTGATCGGAGACGGTCTTCTGACAGCTACTCCAACGCGAGTGACGTGGAATTTGAGCCCGTTAATCGCATCTCCGCCATTGCACCCACTCTTGGGCCCATCGAGACTGGCGGTGGCATTGAACTGCCCAGCAGGATAGGATCGCGAGCATCGCGTGTCACACAGGGGCGGGCGGGGCCTCCAAGTCGCGCCCCTACTCTTCCTCGAAAGAACTCGCGACGGACGCGGTCCACGGAAGCTGCAATACATCCGGATCGGTTGTCGACTGTGATGGACACATCATCACCACCTCCACCACCTCCACCAATGTTTCCAACCAGCCAACAGAGCCAACATCTCCACCCCACGCCTGGCGGCCTACCGATCCGCCTACCTTTCGGCTCTACAGAACCTTCGCCGTCACCTGAACGCTCACCCAATCGTTCTGCCGCGTCAAGTATCTTTCCCAACGATGGTGTCAGCGACTTCAATGTTCCACCACCACCGATAGGGGCGCAGGGCAATCGGCCTCTGAGCACAGGGTACGTCCAGCACCACGTGACAAAGGATAGTCTACAGAGCGACGGATACGACGCTGGAAGTCACCTAGAGGCATCAGCCGAATTTGTCGATCGAAGTCGCAGTGGCAGCACGCAGAGAAGCGCACGAAGCCGGTTCTCTATGCACTAGGCGGCCACACATATTCATTTTCAGTACATCAGCGGAACTACATATACCCTTCTTTTTAATTACACATTCCTTATTGTCACGAGTCTCCTTGCTGTATAGTCGCAGTAGCATCAAAAGCAGTCTTTTCTGGCGTTGGTTGAGGATAAGCATCGCGCGGCGTAGAGGGTGCATATCGAGTACACGACTTTTGGATTAGAGCTGGGCGAGAGGTGTATTTGTTGTTTTGTACGTTATGTGGATTGGCAGATGGATAGCTACGTACACTATTAATTCGATGACTTTGAGCATTATCTTCAGCATTACCTTGCAATAACGAAAGTGACAAAGTTGCGGTGTCGGGCCGTTGATAGTCCATAGCAAGGGTCGCGTGCTTAGCTGGGGTTTGTTTTGGCGCGATAAGCCGATAGCATCACATCATGGGTTATCGGCGCCTGAGGCACGAGACGTCAGTTCCTCCAGGCCGACCGAGCGTAAGTCTCCAACAGGCCGGGAGTACCCTCACTGAACAGCTTCGCTAGCACAAGAAGTTATATATCTCACTGCGCATCGCTTCAGGCTCAAGTATTTTTGTCACCTGTCCAGGAACGTTGCCGTAGCCCACTAGCTGTACCGGACCCCCGATCCCCGCGGGAACCACATTAGCTTCACCACGACGCTCTGCTGTGCACAGTGAGTGAACCGTTGATAACAGTGACCGGAGCACTGATAGAAGGCAGTAGAGACATCTTTTACTGCATTTCCAACGCCGCCTCAACGGTCATCACGCGCGGACTGGGTGGCGGCATGTCGCCGTGAGCGTCCGATCACATCCCTACGCCCATCGCCATTGCCTTGCACCCTCACAGCGCACTCGACCCCACCGCCGGCTCGTCAGCGCACCGTTTTCCTCGCCCGCCTCCAACCATCGTGAATGCACCCGCTTCAATAACATGGCGCCGAACAATACCACACACAACGCAGGACCCTACCCGCCACGGCATTCGTCGTTCCAGAACCAGCATGATAGAGTGCAGGACAGCGCAGGAACAGCAGAAGAGGGAGTGAACGAGGCATACAGAGGCTCTAGTTATCCGCATGGAGTGGTAGCATCACACTACTTGGCCCAGCAACCGCCGAATGCACGCGAAGGGGAAACTTGGATGGACTTCTTAGCCGACCCGAATGTGAGCCGCTCGCGCAATACTACCAACCCAACCCACCCAGAGACCTCTGCACAATCTACGTCCTCACGATACAACCTCCCGAATCGGCCACCGCGTACCGATTCCTCGTCGTCCCTCAGCTCAGACCGCAAGAGGCGTTTGACCGCGGCCGACTCCCCAATGAGACGACCTTCAAGTATCAGAATGCACTCGAGCAACCCAGGGGCCTCAAATTCGGATCCCATTGTCCTAAACTCTTCCCCTGTCGCCGCACCATCTCCACTTCCACCTTCACCAGCACCGCCAATTGGCAATGACGCCCGAAGAAGGGGGAGCGAGATTGTGCTACCATCATGGCAGCCAGACGCCGAAGTGTCTCAGTGTCCTGTATGCAGACGAAGCTTTACATTCTTGTACAGGAAACATCACTGCAGAAAGTGTGGAAGAGTCGTGTGTGCCTCGTGTTCACCGCATCGCATCACCATTCCACGGCAGTTTATCGTTCACCCACCTACGGAAAGCCTTTCCAATTTTGTCGACCTGACTGGCGACGACGATGACAACAACATGTCTCCATTTGGGCCGCTCCGCAATCCAGCGTTGGGTGGAGGCGAGGAGGTTCGTGTATGTAATCCATGCGTGCCGGACCCGAACTACGGCCCCCCACCCCAATATACCCCAAGCGTACCACCACGACGTCCAAGTCAAGCTTCAAGCCATCACTTTGCATCTAGGCCGCCGACGCATCCCCGTGCTCACCGATCATCATCGAGCGTGCACGATGCTTCGCGAACAGTCGGCCATGGACAAACGTCGCGGTCCCAAGAATCTGCTGGCGACACTAGGCGAGTGAGTTATCACGGCGGACAAGCAGGCGGAGAGCGCTGGCTACCACCACTACCCTCCAGTCACACGCAGCCGTCCGCTTTTCACACTTCTCGATCCACCTCATCTACATCCCGCTACACCACTGCCAACAATGGCCACCTCCCCTTCAATCTCGGCCCAGGGTCCCAATCCGGCCTCAACATGTACCCCCGATCAGCCTTCACACCCTACCCGCAACCCCCTCGTCGCCGCGAAATCGCAGAAGAAGATGAATGTCCCGTCTGCGGCAACGAACTACCACCCAAAGGCCTCAACGGCGATGAAACTGTCCGCGAACAGCATATCCAGGAATGTCTCGCCCTCGCAACGCACTCTGCTTCGCCCGCGCCCGCACCGTTGGCTTCTGCGTCCCTGCCCATTCAGCGTACTCGCGGCATGAGCTCTGCCGCCGAAGCGAGCACTGGTAGCAGCCGCATGGCGCACGCCGCGCGTGGCATGTTTACTTTCACGGCGACGGAGAAGGATTGCGTGGACGCCGAGGGCGAGGAGGAGGAGTGTATCATCTGCTTTGAGGAGTATGAGGCCGGGGATAAGATGGCGAGGTTGGTGTGTTTGTGCAAGTTTCATGAGGTAAGTTTCCATGTCCCCGTTTTGCGCTGCTGGGAAAGAACGACGGGGGCTAACCTATTCGACAGAAATGCATCAGGGAGTGGTGGGGGAAGAAGGGGCGGGGCGCGTGTCCGACGCACCAGTTACATGAGTAGAGGGAATGAGTATGGAGATGGTTATCTTGGGAAGGCGTTTTGTTCGGCATTGGCATTGGCATATACCCCCTTCCTTCACTTTTACAAATGGAATCTACACTACAAGCCTTGAATCAGTGGAGTTTCTCCAGCATCACATGTCGCTGCCTCTCCTCCTTTCCTTTCTAGTTCCCCACTGCAGGAATGAAGAACCTACCCGTGATGAAAACGATGGGGAAAATACCCCTTGCACGCCGATCTCTGGCGTTATCTTCGCTGCGGGATGGAGACTCGTTGGGACAAAGATAAACTACTCCCCCAGAGTCACGAATTCCCGCACGTGTAATCTGCCCACCCGATGAAGCATTTCGATAGCGAGCGACTGTAGCATAAAACGAGTACATCTGTATAGACATCAAAAGCCTCGGTGCTATGGCATATGTGTTGGTTTACTACTATCACCATACACCTGCTCGTGGGTGTATGAGCAGTTCTTCTGCGCACATTTGAGTCCTTGCTTTTGCCGCTCAGCCAAGGTCTATCCAAGGTGAAACTTCACGAGCGTAAGGTGTGGTGTTAACTCGCAGCGAAGTTGACGTGATGTAGGTGTGCATTGTTTGTATTCCAGATTGACGAGTCTCACTCACTCAATACGACGCGTAATCGGTATGTGACTTGGCTTCACTTCAACACAATCAGGCGGTTCTGCTATATCTCAGGAAGCGAAGAATCCTCAAAATATAGTGGCCTGTTACCCAGGAAGTGTAGGAGAAACTGCTGAACGTGTGACTTCTGCGCGAAGCCAAGCTTGTCTTTAAATGCAGCTGAAGTGACTGTATTTCAGCGCAGACAGTACGGCGAATATGCGTACCCGCGGCAGGAAGACGGACGAATCAAAGGTAGTGGGGTGAGGTGCAATGGTAGTGTTTGGAGCATGTTCTACTTCCCTTCCAGTGCAAAAGACTTGGAAGCAAGACTATCTGGCTGTCTTGCAAAACGAGACGGAGTTTGCATTTCGGAAGTGACGCTGGGGCTGGGAAAGATGCACTGTTCAAAGCTGCGTATCTGCGTATTCCGATCACATACCCCAATGGCCGCGCCGGACTGAATTAGCACTTGCTGCATTTCTACTCCTATCGATAACAGTCATACATATATCCTCGAATGCAAAAGCCCAGCTCTATTTCTGCTATCTTGCAAGACGAGGCAGAATCCACATTCTGCAAGCGGTACTAGAGTTCAGAGAAATGCACTCTCCAAAGCTGCGTGTCATCGTCGCATACCCAAACGCCAACGCCTGACTGAAGTTTTAAATCCGCACAGCTGCCCACTCCCGTCGCTATCGCCTCATCACCCCCCCCCCCCACACCCCCCAAAAATTGTGAATGAAAGGTTTCCCCCCCGGCACTGTACGGGCCGTACTGTCTGGGCTCAACC